GGGGGGGGCAAAAAAAGAGAATGAAAAATTCATATGGGGCAGTTGTACGGCTCCCGTTATCCCCCCCCCGACAATCGACCGGTACAACGGGCCAATCAAATAGCCAAGCGTCGAGCCGGCAGCGGTGGCGCTGATTACCGTCACAGACGGAACAGTCCGTCGTCAATTCATCCGTCGCATTGCCATCTACATATGTACCGTAATTCGGAGCACAGACTGTATTACGTACTAGCATTGCTAGCAAGCATCGTTAGCTTCTTTGTAAGTAATCGATAGCTTATCGATTGGGTTAATCCTCCATGTGAATTTTTTTTTTCTTTTTTCTTTTTTTTCTTTTTTTCTATTCATGTTCTCCCCTGCCGGTTCTTCTGTTCTGCGCGGGGCCGTCCATGTCCCACACCTGGAGAGCGAGAAGCCCGAGCCAGAGCAGAGATTTTGCTGCTACAGCCTGCGGGTAGGCTGCCGGCTGCTGAATGTCCCGCTATTGTCGACAGGCGTTTACGGCAAAAAGGTTGATTGAAATTTCCCCGTCAACTTGCCATTCTCATCATCACCATTATCGTCACCCACCAAAACGACCTTGTCTGCTACCCGCAAAGCGATACCTTTCTAACAAATCAATCACAATGTCTGACGAAATTACACACGAGACCATCAAGGGTAACACTTTTTCTCTTCTTTTTTTTCTCTCTTGGTTTAATACAGTATAGAGAGAGAGAGAGACAGAGAAACCCATGCTGTTGTGTTTTTTTTTTCTTCCTCTTTTTACCCCGCCATCGACGCCTGCCTTTGCCCCTCCAAAATCTGCCCCTCTGCGCTGCAAGATGAGCAATTGGCACATGATGTCTTCGAATCCCTGCTATATAACGTCGCCTTGAAGATGGGATGCTTACTTTTCTCGTTCTAGATGGATGGTTCCGAGAGATCTCCGACATGTGGCCTGGTAAGTAGCAACGTCCATTAGACCCAGCCCGCCACCCCTCCCACTTCCCTCATACTGACAACCTTCTTCCTTCCCTCCAGGCCAGGCCATGACCCTCAAGGTCGAAAAGGTGCTCCACCATGAGAAGAGCAAGTACCAGGATGTCCTGATCTTCAAGTCGACCGACTACGGCCACGTCCTCGTCCTCGACAACGTCATCCAGGCCACTGAGCGTGACGAGTTCTCGTACCAGGAGATGATCACCCACCTGGCCATGCACTCACACCCCAACCCCAAGAAGGTGCTCGTCATCGGCGGCGGCGACGGCGGCGTCCTCCGCGAGGTCGTCAAGCACGACTGCGTCGAGGAGGCTATCCTCTGCGACATTGACGAGGCCGTCATCCGCCTCTCCAAGCAGTACCTCCCCCACATGTCGGCCGGCCTCACCCACCCCAAGGCCACCGTCCACATCGGCGACGGCTTCAAGTTCCTCGACGATTACAAGAACACATTTGACGTCATCATCACCGACTCCTCCGACCCCGAGGGCCCCGCCGAGTCCCTCTTCCAGAAGCCCTACTTCCAGCTCCTCCACGACGCCCTCCGCGACGGAGGCGTCATCACCACACAAGGTTGTACGTCTCTATTTTATCTTCACTGGGAGAGTCTGAGGATCGTCTGTCCCTACCTAGGTTGCAGAAGAAGAGATGGGAGAAAGAAGAGACGACCAGCCTCCCTTCTCTCTTCTTCTCTTTTTTTTTTCGCCCGAGAGAGAAAGCAGGGGAGAGAGAGAGGTCTCTCTCTTCTCTGACATAGGCTTCGCCTCCATACACACATGACATGCCTTGCCGACCACTCCATCCACCACCCCCGTTTTTGCCCAATGTCTCTTTCGGGGACGGAAAGGAGAGGAAGAGATGTAGAGCATCAGAGACTTGTCCAAAAAAGGGGAGGGGGTAGGTGATTGGCCTGGCTGGTCGGCGTGCTTATCGGAGAGCTCCCATTTTTCTCCCTTCTCTCTTCGGGCTGGTATCACCATTCGAGATACCTATTCTCTTCGATCCTACCTAGGGGCCATCCGAAGCGAGTGCTACTCTCCACAGCCATTGCGCCCGGTAGTTCCGTGTCGCAGGAGCCAGGCGGTCGATCAGGTTCAGGACTCTCTCGTTGATGAGAGCCGTAAAGGACCTCTTGCTACTCTGTTCTTCTTTTCTTCTTCTCTGCTACTCCCCCCCCCTCCCCCCTTCCTTCTTCTCATTGATCCATGCATTTTCATGCACGGTGCCATTTCGCACGCATACACCCTCCATGTTCCATCTCCACGGAACCTCCTTCTCCTCAGCCAACCGCCTGGCACATCACACGACCCAAGATTTTTCTTCCTCGTCAACGTCCCCCTCACAAGAAGACTGATCAAACCTTCATGCTGACTGATATTCCCCAAAAAAACAGCCGAGAACCAGTGGCTCCACCTCCCTCTCATTGCCCGCCTCAAGAAGGACTGCAAGGAAATCTTCCCCGTCGCCGAGTACGCCTACACGACCATCCCCACCTACCCCTCGGGCCAGATTGGCTTCATGGTCTGCTGCAAGGACGCCAACCGCAACGTCCGCGAGCCCGTCCGCACTTGGACTACCGAGGAGGAGTCCGAGAAGTGCCGCTACTACAACGCCGACATCCACAAGGCCAGCTTCATCCTGCCCACCTTTGCCAAGAAGGCCCTCGAGTAAATCTCTCCGGAAAAAAAGGAAGAAGAACAAGACAAAAAAACAAAAAATCTGCCATTTCTCAAGTTGGAAAAGACCAGGATGGTAAACAGATCAGTTCTGGGAAAAAGGGGGGGGGGGGGGAAGATACAATAAACGAAGCATGTTTAACAATCAATGGAAAGCCGCGGGATACATTTCACGACTTACATGGTCGCGAGACTTGTGAATGACGTAAACTTCTTCTCATGTGTATGTATGCGCCGGAGGAGTCTGCATGTAAAATCCGATGACGATATCTTCCCACAAGTAACTTCATTGACTGTGAAGATGTAACAAGAGTAGATGGTAGCAATGTATATACATGTATATATATATATATATATATGTATGTATATATATACGTTTGAGTGTGTATGGCTGTCTGTTACGAAGTCACATCTATGGCATATGGAGGATCAGCTACTCCGGCTGAGGCAGCGTAGGATCATGGAATTGGACAGAGCCCTTGCTGACATCGGGGTAGACGTCGAACCTCCGCTGGTTATACAGGGCAATGTTCTTGCGCGTGTCGTCGATGGGGGCGGGCTCGATGTCGGCGTAGACGATGTCGGCGGCCTCCTCGGCCTCGGCGACGACCTTGGCCATGGGGTCCACGAGCAGGCTGTGGCCGTAGGCGTGGTAGGAGGCGCCGAGGTCGCGGGCGGGGCTGCACATGGCGACGTAGATCTGGTTGTCGACGGCCCTGGCCTGGGCGAGCAGCCGCCAGTGCAGGGGGCCGGTGGTGAGGTTGAAGGCGCCGGGGTAGATGAGGGCGAAGGCGCCGGCGCGGGCGGCCACGGTGGCCAGCTCGGGGAACCTCACGTCGTAGCAGATGGCCACGGCGATGCGGCCGTAACCCTCCAGGTCTACGAGGGTGACCTGGTTCCCGGGGCTGAGGACGTCGGACTCGCGAAAGGTGATCTTGCCGGGTATGTCGATGTCGAAGAGGTGGACCTTGCGGTGGGTGGCCAGCAGGTCACCCGTCGGTCCGAAGATGAGGGACGTGTTGTGGTACTTGTTCGTGGCGGGGTTGTACTCGGGGATAGAACCGCCAACCTTTTGTGGGGGGAATTTCTCTGGTTAGTATTATATATATTACCAACTAATCTGTAGTAATATCACCGATTTGCCCCCCCTCTTCTTTACTGTCTCTCTCTCTCTCTCTCTCTCTCTTTTGGGGTTTTTTTCTATGTGTGTGTGTGTGTGTGGAGGGGGGAGGGTGGAGAAGAGATATCTACAAGGGGTAAATTTAGTAAACTCACGAGAAATATGGCATTGTCTTTGGCCATTTTGCTCAGGGCATCATAGGAAGGTGCATCTCGTTTGGATCCGTCAGATGGGACGAGAACCTCGGCGTATTCGGGGAAGTAGTTTGTTCCTAGATACACAGAGGAAGAATTGATAAATACAAAGTCAGTCTTTTTTTTTCTCCACGGCCCGGAGGGGGGCAGGGGAAGAGATAGAGAGATGGAGAGAGAGAGAGAGATACCATATGGAGAGTTGAAGCACTCAGGCAACACACATAGCTTAGAACCGCCGGCTGCAGCCTTGGCCACTTCGCTAGCCGCGTGATCGAGGTTGGCAGCCTTGTCCTTGCCCGATGCCAACTGGATGAGGGCCGTCTTGATGGGCTTCTGGAGCACTGGTGTGCCCGGTGTCCAGGATGACATCTTGCGCAGCGTCGTGGTGGCGGTGGTGGTGGTGGCGGCGACGACGGCGCGGTAAGGGAAGAGATAGCTTGGCGATAGTGATGAGGTTCTGGGGGAGATGATGAGGTGTCGTAGGATACTAGACGTGGTGCGCATGGCCTTTTTTTCTTCTTTCTCTTTTCCGGGCTTGCAGCAGCAGCAGCAGCAGCAGCAAGTGGTAGTAGTTGTAGTAGTATCTATTATCTGGTCAAGAAGGGTTTGTTACTATGGGATCGGTTGTGGTTGGTGGTCGTTTGGCCGATGACGGAGGGTGGGGGTATTGCGCAAAGGTGTTGCGTGCGGCGTTGACGTGACGCGGGGGTTGGGAACCGGGTCGGGAACCGGAGTCCGAAATGCCGATGGTCGTCTCGAAGCTGGGCTACACCTTGAAGTAGGATGACTACACCACCACCACTATTACAATGGTAATATCGGGTAGTAGTAGTAGAAATGCTACTACTACGACTACTACGACTACTACTACTACTACTACTACTACTACTACTACCACCACCACCACCACCATCACGAATATGTATGCATATATCGAGTCTATTAGTTGAAAACGCAATCCACGGCTGGTTGTAATCTTGCTGCGGGCACCTCCCCCCTGTGCCTGCAGCCAATTGGCCGGCCCGTCAGAGGCTCCCCCGGATATACTCTTTTGGGGATTGATTTCCTCGCGGCATATGACCGATGTTGTCCTGTACATGTCTCAACATGTAATCTGCATTCTGTCCTCTAACTGGGTGTTGTCACTCCCATAGTGTGGCTGGCTGCCTAGTGCTGACGTAGTTGTCCCTACCCGCTTTGCAACTTACATCATCGGACACGTTAACACGTTAACACGTTGACGTTTTCCCGCCCCCACGTCATCACTTGCTTCTTCTCTCCTTCTACATACAAGATTGACAGAAAGAAGTCCATCATCAAGAGACTGGGATTTATCGAAAAAACAGCAACGACAACAGATTCTCCTCTCTATCTGGTAAATCATGACTCGCGTCTCCGTCTATTCAGGTGCCCTCATGGGCTTTGTGGCTGGTACTTAGCGTCCCCTGCCCCCCTTTCGCGATGACATCGTTGAGAGTCGAGAAGATGGCTGACGGTTTTCTGCTTGTTTTGCTTATTCCTGATCGTGATAGCAACCGCCATGATCGTGGCCTCGATAGCCACTCCCCGCTGGGTGACATACTCGGTCACCACGCCCCTCGGCGACAGGCTCGAGAAGCACATCGGCCTCCACAAGAGCTGCTCGACCCTCGACGAGCCGCACTGCCGACCTTTCCCCCACAGGGAGCTGTGCCAGGCGGGCCAGCGGTACTTTTGCGATATGTGGAAGACCATTGGCTTCCTGTCGTCCCTGTCCGTGGTGCTGTGCCTCGCGTGCCTGGTCACGTTTGTCGTCGTCATGCGTGGTGGCAAGTATAAGCGTGAGACTGGCTGGCCGTTTGTGACTGTCATGATGGGGCTCGTCTCGGGTGTCGAATTTCTCATCATCTCCATGGTCGTAAGCTTTCTCTCCTCTCTCTCTCTCTCTCTCTCTCTCTCTCCCCTCTTCCTCTATGCTCCCACCTCCTTTTCTTGGTACGCCCTCTGACACTATGCGCAGGCATATCTCTACGATCATGATAAGCAGTTCATTGTCCCGGGATGGAAGCTCGACATATCCTGGATCTTTGGGACAGTCGGCGCTTCCCTGTGCTTACTCATCTCGGCCGGCCTCACAACCTCGGCATTCGTGCTGCCTCCCGAGGACGGGTACAACTTTCTTGAAGATCCGGTCGACTCATAGGAGCCGGTCCCTGTATTATTCCTCCTCCTCCTCCCCCGTCTGAGCACTTGGGTATCAGCGTCTTTGATCCATGTCCTTCTCTCTGTAATCACGTGCATTTTTCTCTTTTTCTCTCGCTTCCAGCTTTCCCATTATCCCTCGAGGAACATAATCTCCCAATATATAGCATTTGACTAGTGCGGCGGTTCGGCGTCAATGGATCACGTCTTCGTTTGAGCTCACGGTAGCACGCATGCACGGTACAGCAGGTCAGGCAAGGTGCGCATGTGACTATGTCCACCAGCGCCACTAGCAGTCCAAAGCAACAGCACATGGGGTTCTGTGAGCTGTTGATGGAGCTGGAAGAGGTTGGTTCGTATGATGAAGAATCTCGGAACAAACTTGATGTGCGATGGATATTAGCGACAAGAGCTTCCCTTACTCCAACAACTGTGACCCTCTACCGCGGCCTTCCGCGCAGAATCACTGGGGACGAGAGGTATAAACCTTGTGCTACCCACAATAGGTTCCATTGAGAGTCATCACTGTCACGCCATAGAAAACATTCCGGCATGCCCACCCACCAATTCTCTACTTACGCCTCTCAGCGCGTCTCCCAGCCGAGTAACCGACCTTGCCAAGAGAAAGAATTCTCTCGCTCAAATCTGAGAATGGATGCTATCAGTACCTGCCCCGGATTCGAGAGGGTGGAAAATTTCCCACAATGGAGGTGGCAGTCGAGCTTCGGGGCCCGAATGACTGGGAGGATTGGTATCCGCACGTCCGATCGGTTGCGAGGCAAGAGCACGTCCTGGCAGTGTGAAGACCCCGATAATCCGACGGAACCGAAGCGACCAGAGCTTGCGCGACCCGTCGAGGAGACCATTTTTATGGGAGCGACGACGGAAAAACCATCACCGGCTACTGCTGCTGCAAGCCCGGTCTCAGCATTCGAGGAGGGATCATCGGGCCTGAAGCAGCGAGATAGTCATCTGCCGGTGCCGACGAACGGCAGCAGCAGCAAGACCACCACCGTGAAGAAGAGGGGACGCAGATACGACGAGCCACAGTCCGCCGCCCTCGAGGGCTACGAGTCCCTCGACCTCTACGTCGAGGCTGTTCGAGGTGAAGTGCCCCATGTGGGCTCTGTGGTGGAGGCGCCGGATGAGGGAGAGCCTGCGTAGGGACAAGGTGCAGCGGTATACCTTTGACATGCTCGAGACGGAACTCTCTGCACGTCAGGCATCCCCGAAGTTGAGGCTGTGGCCGGGAAGGGTAAGTTGCCACCACCGCTACCATACCACTCGAGCAGGATGAGACGCCCGAGTCGGTGAAGGGGGCTGTGCCTGGGACCGGGGCTGGGGCTGGGGCACCGGGCGACGATTTCCGCGTAGATTGGATCGAGAGCGATGCTGAGGCGCTCGCTCCGTCAAGTGGTGCTGCTTCCGAGACGCCTCGTCCAGTCAAATGGCTCCGTGAAGCGTTTTCGGGAGCCCGTCATATCGGATGGCCACTCCAAGGGCAGTAGTGGCACCCCGAGGCCTAGGAAATAGGGGAAAAAACCCCGCATACTGCTCCGAGGAGGTCTCTGATATGCTCCAGTTCCCAAAGCCAACCTATAGAGCAAGCCCTGTCCTTCTGAGTGGCAGTGTAATGCCGAAGAGGAAGCTCGGTTCAGGGCCGCGGGCCGGACGTAACAAGTGTGAGCTCTGTGGCGGGCTGCATCACCCGGCAGACGGCAGCGAGCTGGAAGGTCTGCTTCCGTGTATTCCCCCAGCTAAAGTCTTAGGGGGTAGTTCCCTTCCGAGCAGCCTGAAGGTTTTGTAAAAGTTCATCTGCCATCTTGAGGTTAGAACGTTACAGGGGGACATGTGGGACTATGCCGGAGAACGAGTATCTACAATGACGGTAATGGGTGAAGTGGGGGGTGCTACCAATATCTTGTCCCCTCCTCTCCATCCGGATTCTCGGGCCCTTTCCTGTGGCTGCGGGACGAAGAACATCTCGTCACTCAGGGGGCCCGGCTCTGTCAGTCAAGGGTACCGCCGTTTGGAGATTCGACCTGCACCACAAGTGCATAAGACTCTATTGTATATGAGAGATTGGGAAACATCAGGTTCTTGGTTTCCCCTCCCCCCCTCCCCCCTCGAACCTTGGAGGGCATGTCATTATGGTGGTTATCAATAGCTGCAGAGTCAGTACAGTGGTTCAAAACCAAAAGAAGGAAAGAAAGAAAGGTGTAAGGTGTAGTAGATAAGGTGGTTGTTGAGTGCCCCCCACCCCCACCCCGCGATGGAAAAAACCACATGAGCCAACTTCCCCCACCTCGGCTTATCAACATCTTGCCCCTCTCTATTCTCACATCATCGTTCTCATATCAATCAGTATCAACCAACCACTGATTCGGATCCAAAACTAGAGAGAGAGAGAAGAGAGGAAAAAAGAAGAACAAAGGGGAAGACAGACCAGCTGAAGGAGAGAGAGAGAGAGAGAGAGAGGGGAAGTCAAAGGGAAAAAGATAAGTGGAAGAAAGCAGAGGAAGAAGAAGAGAGGAAGAAGAAGAGAGGAGGAAGAAAGAGAGTAGAAGGAAGAGGATAAGAAAGAGAAGAAGAAAAAAATGAAATGGCAGGCCTAACAGCAGATCAGCTGTCGGCCTTCAACCGAGACGGCTACCTCATCATCCCTCGTGCCCTATCCCGTTCCACGGTGACGGCCCTCCTGGATGAGACGGACCGGCTCCTGTCCTCCCTGAGCCTGGACGACCACCCGATGACACGCTTCTCGACGGGGACCACGTCCGAGCACGTGGGCGATGACTACTTCCTCACCAGCGGCGACAAGATCCGCTTCTTCTTCGAGGAGGACGCCTTCGACCGACAGGGAGAGCTGACGAGAGCCAAGGAGAGGGCCGTCAACAAGATAGGCCACTACCTCCACGGCCTGAGCGAACCTTTCAAGAGGATCCTCCTACTACCACCGGCATCAGCAGCACCAGCGGCATCAGCAGCATCAGCAGCATCAGCAGCTGCAGGGGGAGGCATGCAGCAGGGTGGCAGGGACACGGAGCCCGGCCGCGTCGGCGGCGATGGCGTGGAGATCAGCCCCGCAGCCGTGGCCAGGGACCTGGGCTTCAGGGACCCTAGGTGCCTACAGAGCATGATCATCCTCAAGCAGCCAGAGATCGGGGGCGCCGTGCCGCCGCACCAGGACTCGACCTTTCTCTACACCGACCCGCCCTCGGCCGTGGGGTTCTGGTACGCACTCGAGGATGCCACGCTGGAGAACGGATGCCTGTCCTTCCTGCCTGGGTCGCACAGGTCCGCGCCCGTACGGAGGAGGCTCGTCCGCAAGGCTGGCGACGTCGGCACCGAGATGGTCGACAATCGTGGGCCAAAGTTTCCGAGGGGTCAGGATGCTGCCGCCGCAGCTCATCTGTCTGATGATGATGCTGGCTATGTTGCTGGAGAGGTCAAGGCTGGAGATTGTAAGTTTTTGTTTTTGTTTTTCCTTTTTTTTTCTCCCCCCGCCCATTTTAAAAAAAAAATTCCTTTTCTTTCCTCATTCTTCTTTCCCTCTCCTTGAATGAAGATAAATGATTCTAACTGGGAAAGTGGTTCTTATTCATGGAAACTTGCTGCACAAGAGTGAGAGAAAGTAAGTCATCCCACTTCTCCTACTTCTCCTACATCCTACTTTCCCTACTTGACCGAGCACCGGACTGACGGACAGATAGCACCAGCGGCAAGGGTAGGATCATCTACACATATCACATTATCGAGAATGACGAAACCGTATACGATGCCAGGAACTGGCTGCAACCTCCCCCAGAGGGATTCACCAAGTTGTACGTATAGATGAAGATTCTAGCCATTTGTGGACAGATGAAGCAAGCATGAACGAAATGAATCAAAAGGTATGAAGTATATACAAGAAAATAAATCTATATGAGAAGAAGACAAAGAAGAAGAAGGAAAGAAACAAAGAAGCGAAGAAGAAAGAAAAAGAAAAACAGAAAAAGTTCCCGAGGGTATCATATCTAAGAAAGACTTTTCTCTTGAAAATCAACCACGTGGTTGCGTCAAATGATCTAAAATGCGTCTCGTCGTATATGCACAGCATGTCTTCCTTTTCCTTTTCCTTGAATTTTTTTTTTCCGTTTCTTTTTCTGATGAGCATGACTCCCAACCATCCACTTTGATGACAAAAAGGAAAAGAGAAAAGAGAAAAGAGAAGAGGAAGATAGGACGGCAAGAATGGTGGCCTTTAGTCGTCATCTTCATCCTCGTCATTAGAGTCCATGTCCTCATCCGACGTCTCGCCACCGGAAGAGGAAGACGAAGAGGAGCTGCTGGAGGTCTCGTATCCGGCCTGGGGACTCTGGACGGCGTTGCCATCGTCGTCTTCCGAGTCGGAGTCGGAGCTACTGCTCCCGCTAGAGCTGGTGTCCGAGTCGCTGTCCGAGTCCGACTCGGAGCTGCTGCTGTCCTCCATGTTGACGCGGAGCTTGCGGCGACGCTTTCCGGCCGCGGCGGCGGCGGCGCCGTCGACGACGACGGGCTTGGCATTTCCGCTGCTGCCGCTGCTGCCGCCGTTGGTGGTGGTGGCGGCTGTGACGGTGCTCGTGGTCCTGGATGAGGTCGACGAGGTCGACGACTCGGTCATCTCGCCGCCGTCGGAGAGCTCGTCGAGGACCATCTCGGCGCGCATGCGCTTGACGATGCGACGGAGGACGGCGTCGGTGTCCTCGCTCTCCGAGACGTACTGGGCCTCGTTGAAGTATTTGCGCTTGGGGCTGGTCTGGTGGTGGGGGGGGGTCTGCTGCTGCTGCTGCTTCTGCTGCTGCTGCTGGAGGCGCTGCTCATGCTTCCGGCGGAGGACGTCGGCCAGGATGGAGTCGTAGATGTCCTGGCTGGAGTCGAGGTCCATGGTATCGTCGGGGAAGCCCCCGGTGCCGGCGGCGGCGTCCTGCATCCTCATCTCCATGGCGGTCTGGCGTAGCCTGGACCGCACCAGACCCTTGAGGTCGCGGATGTACTCGTAGAAGATGTCGGCGTCGGCGGCGGGGATGACGTCGGACTCAAAGATGTGCTTGATCAGGGTAGACTGCAGGTTCTTGCTGAACTTCCAGCCCGACTCCCTCGACGTCTTCCACTGCCTCAGGTATTCCAAGGCGGGAGTGACGTCGGAGGGTTGAGACTGCTGCTGCTGCTGCTGCTTCTTCTTCTGCTGCTGCTTCTTGGAAAGCTTGTTGCTGTTGTTCTTGTTCTTGGCGGTGGAGGCGGGGTCGTTGCTGTTGCTGTTGCTGTTGTCGTCCTTGCTGGTAGGTGTGTCGTCAAACGAGACAGATTTCTTGGGTTTTGTCGATGAGCGAGCAGCATTTTTGGAATTTGTGTCGATACTGAATTTAGCAGGAGCGGAAGAGGTCGCAGGAGAGGAGAGAGAAGAAGGATCCCCCCTCCGCGACCTTTTAACAGGGCTCTGCTCAGTCGTGGGCGGGACCTCGCCCCTTCTTTTGTGCCCAGCCGAGCGTCCTGGCTGCCCAACGACGGGGCCGTCGTCGCTTGTGGCGGGCGCCGACGCAGGAGAGCCGGCAGCGGCTGGCTCAGACTTGAGCTTCGATCCGGACTTCTTGCATGATGAAGAAGGAGCACGTCGTGCTGGCACGCTCTCGGTGGAGGACATATTTTTCTTCTTCTTCTTCTTCTTCTTCTTCTTCTTCTTCTTGTCTTCCCTCGCCCTTTCCCTGGTTGGGAGGTGGTTTTTTTTTTTCCCTTCCTTTTCTGGTTGCTGGCCCTGGTCTCGGTGTCAGTGCGTGGGTTTGGTTGGTGGTTGGTGGTTGGTGGCGGTGCGACTACTGCAGGACACGGGTTCTGTTTCCTAAGACCAATATCTCCCCGCACGCGTTTAAAAGGAAAGATTCCAATAATGGGAAGGGTGGAGGGGAAGACAGAGGCGGCAGTGGGTAGGGTTTGCTGAATGCCTTGTGTTGAATTGGGTTGAGGCCTGTTATCGTGGAGTCATTGGGCATAAATGTGTACGCCGGTGCATGAGCAGGGTTGGGGAGCTGCATTCTCTTAGCGAGGGGGGCGGTCTCTCTCTTTTTTTTCCCCTTCTTTTTCCTCTCTTGATAACGGCTAATTTTTTTTTTCTGCCAGGCCTATTACGTCTATGGACATAATAAATGGCGGACAGTTATTTTGTCAGCATTATGTAAGAAGGGCGGGGGAGAAGGGAGGGGGGGGGGGTAACGGGTAGATCTCTTGCCGAACTTATTCCGGTCGATTATGACAGCAGCAACAGGTGGGAGGGAGGGCAAAAGGGCGGGCGGCGGCGGCGGTGGGACAAAGCTCTAGGCAAGCTACCGGCCAACGCGTACATGAACCACCAAGATTCACCACGACTCCCCGCGACGATAGGCACTCCCTCGCAATCCTCCCGACGCATATGAAATCCTCCCTTATCTCGGCATCAGTGATTAACTAGCTCCTGAGCTCCCGACCGGAGAGCTCCAACGTCTTTCACCATGTCCGGTGCGCTTTGACGTCCTTCCCCCCCCCCCCAAGCATCGTCTCCGCGCAGCCGTTACTGACCTCATCATCACAGCCGGTGCCTACGACCGTCACATCACCATCTTTGCCGACAATGGTCGTCTCTACCAAGTCGGTACGTCTGAATCTCTATCCCCCGCATCCTCTCGTCTTACCGAGATGGCACCTCTGCCGTCGCAGGTCCGGACGGCTACGACGTACGTGGAGAGAGAGCCCGATAGGCTAACCATGGCGTCTACACCAACCCCAGAATATGCTTTCAAGGCCATCACGGCGGCCAACATAATGTCGGTCGGCCTCCGCGGCAAGGACTCTGCCGTCGTCGTATCGCAGAAGAAGGTTCCCGTAAGTCAGCACGCACCCCCGGGAGCGAGGACGGGCCCTCGTGCCGAGATGTACCGGCGGCTGACGTAGGACGACGCCATGTCGGCCCTGTACAGGATAAGCTGATGGACCCCTCGTCTGTCACGCACCTGTTCCAGCTCTCGCCCTCGGTCGGCTGCGCCATCACAGGCTCGATCGCCGACGCCAGGGCCTTTGCGACCAGGGCCCAGTCCGAGTGCGCGGACTTCCAGTACAAGTACGGATACGAGATGCCCGCCGACGCCGTGGCCAAGCGTCTGGCCAACATCAGCCAGGTCTATACTCAGAGGGTAAGCTAGCGCTGGACGAGGAAGAAGCAAGCAAGCAGGCAGGCAGGCAGGCAGGCAGGCAGGCAGGCATCGGCGACGCTCGTCGTGTGTGCGCGTGTGTGCGTGTGTGCGCGTGTGTGCGCGTGTGTGTGTGCGCGGTCTGGGATTGATCTGCTGACGCAAACGTGTGACGACGCAGGCTTACATGAGGCCGTACGGCGTGGCCACAACCATCATCTCCCTAGACTCCGAGTACGGCCCCCAGCTGTTCAAGTGCGACCCGGCCGGGTACTACATCGGCTACAAGGGAACGGCGGCGGGTCCCAAGCAGCAGGAGGCCCTGAACCACCTGGAGAAGAAGCTCCGGAACAAGGACCACGCCGAGGGCGACTGGGAGGAGGTGGTGGAGCAGGCCATCACGACGCTGAGCACGGTGCTCAGCATGGACTTCAAGAAGAACGAGATTGAGGTTGGCATCGTCGGCGGACCGCGCACCGACGGCCAGGAGGGCTCGAGCCCGCTGTTCCGCAAGCTCACAGAGGAGGAGATCGATGACCGGTTACAGGCTATCGCCGAGAAGGACTGAAGGCGGTCAGACGAAGCGGGCGGAGGAGGGGTTGAGATGGAGGGACCACGGCGGAGAAGGGCGGCATCTGCACATCAGAAACAGGCAGAAGGACGATGAAAGGCCGACAGGACACACCTGCGACTCATGGCCTGTCTCACGGGCGGAGTTTCGGGAGCGGAGTGACGGAGCAGAAAAAGGGCGTGCTCTCGGAGCATGAGCGGTCACTGCCAGATCCCGATGTTGCCGTGACGAGTACGACGAGAGATGCTCTGGAAGACGAAGAGGACATGTGCGCTTCGGCCTGGCCGTGTGATGGAGGGGGTTCCATGGGAATATATAATTTGTCAGCCTCCTTCTCCATCTTTCAATATGAGTCTTGTGTGTTCTGCGTGTCCTGTGTGTCATGCGTGTCCTGTGTGTCTTGTGCGTGTGTGTGTGTGTGTGTGTGTGTAGGTGTGTGGGTGGGTGTGTGGTTGGGTGGGTGTGTGCGCTGTATAACTCTTTTTTTCTTCTCTTTTTTTCCTCTCTTTTTTTCCTTTTTTTCCTTCTTTTTCTCCTTTTTTTTTTCCTCTTTTTTTCCCCTCTTCTTTCTTTCGTTCCACGATGCTGGGATTTCAGCACGGTCCAGAGTGATATCTGCAAAGAGAATCAAGTAAAGAAAGGGGAAGATGCTGCCGAAACATCTCACCTCTACTAGGATGTATACTCCGGCCGATACTGACGGATGATTAGTATTGTCTACGACTCGGATAGACGTATCCGTATGTGTTTTCTGCGTGTCTGACCCGTGTTGGGTGGCTGAGAGAGAGAGAGAGGAGGGAGAGGGAGAGGGAGAGAGTGTGTGTGTGTGTGTGCATGCGCGTTTGTACGTGTCGGATGTAATACTATGTATCGTGAATTAGGGATGGAGGGAGAAGGAACGAACTAGACCACAATGAGAATCAACCTACGAGACAAGAAGCAAAATGAAATGAAAAGAGAGATGAAGAAACGTGTGGTTGAAAAAAGCCAATCGAGGCCGTCTGCTGAACAAGTGATTTCCCGTTGGGAGTTGTATTCTGATTTTGATTCTTGCATAATATATCTTTCTAGGGAAGAGAGAAAGCCGATTGGTCATTCTTTTTTTTTTTTCTTTTGTTTCTTTTTCTTTCTAGGGACAAGGGGATTGTTGTCGTCAAAGTGTGGGGTGGTATATTCATATTAGGGTGTGTATGTGTGTGTGTGTGTGTGTGTGCTGACAGCTTTCTTTGGGAGAGGTGCTCACCAAAAGACGATGCAGGGGAAGGAGGAGAAGGAGAAGCGAGAAGCAGAAACGTATGCATGATCGCAAGGGGTTATGGTGTTGACGGCGCGGTATTCCCCCCGAGAAGGAGTTTCGATTTCTTCCCCTCCTTTTTTTTTTTCTTTTCTTTTCTTTTTTTTTTTTTTGCGACAGATGATGTGGCGTACCGGGGATTTGGCCATGTTGAGACCGGGAATACCGAAGATGGCCAGGATCTGGTACGCACGCTGAAATGCCCGGGAGTTGAATACAGATATCAATGTACAATGTATGTTGTGCAGTGTTGCAGAGAGAGTCACATTTACAAGGTGGGACACGACCCATCTAAAGAAGGCAGAAAAGGGGAAATGAAAGATGATGAATAAACAAAAGAGGGAAAAGAGAAGGAGAGGAGAAGAAGAATTCTGAAAAAAAAAAAAAAAAAAAAAAAAAAGACACAAAAAAATTCTAAAAAAGAATCATGATGCTTGAAACCAGCTGTCAAATGTTATACATGTATACATATATACATACATATGTACATGTATACATATAAACATATACATGTATGCATACAGACATATACATATATACATGTATATATAATCTGTATACGAACTCGTGGCAGCGGGGAAGAATGCAACGTTGGACAACGACGAACATGTCTCCCCTATGGGTAATACGTGTCCTACCACACTATGGACTCTACATCAGGCCAATGCGAACAGAGCAGGATATCGGTGGCTACGTGACCGGGGTAGTGATATGTCCAGTCAGTGTATCGTGATGATGATGATGCATCATGTGTACAGGTTAACCCGTACGCATGCTTGTTACATGACGGAGAGACAGGACTCTTTGCGGAACTCTCCCCCGTCCGTACATCATGCGGTACTTGAGATGTTCAGTCGCGTCCTCCTCTTCTTCTTCTTCTTTATTTTCCATTTCTTTTTTTCTTTTCTTCTTTTTCTTGGCGGTGATAGGCGACAAGGGAAAAAGACAAGTTCCCCTCGTACAATTGGTGAAATTAAAACAACTGTCTTCTTTGACAAGGCCCCCCCCCCCCGGTGTCCAACTGTGGATGCAAAGCAGCCGGAACCCTCAGCTACCGTCATCTTCACGTCGGGACCCCGGCACAGCCCGTGATTGGACGCTGGACAGGACAGATCTAGTCTCTTTTGTGTGTCCTTCTGCTGAGTCAAGACATATCCCCCAAAGGCAGACAGACACATGTACGGAAAGAGGGAGGGAGAGTGAGGGAGAGAGTGAAGGAGAGAGTGAAGGAGAGAGAGAGAGAGAGAGGGTGAAGGAGAGAGGGAAACAGGTCAAGGCAGAAAAAAAAAAGGATAGAATTCAAAATTTATATAATATATATATACATATATATATATATATAATATAAATATAAATATAGTATAGGAAGAAAAAAAAGGGTGGGTATTGCGCGTGGTTCGTTGCAAGGTCCCCCCGCATGGACGCCAGGTTCTTCCCAAATAGGAAAAGATGGATGCACACGTCTTTAGCTGACCTCCCTTCTGCTGCCCTGGTTGGTACCTTGTTATCTGTACAGATTATGATTTGCTTGTAATGAATATCCGAACCCCCATCAGAGGGCGTGTATCTGGTATCTGGCAGACAAACCACACGTCGTCACGTAATCTGTACTACTTGCCACACGACAAGAGGCAGGAGGCTGAAGAGGGAAAGAGCGACGGACCCAGATGGCGAGCAGTTTTTTTTTTTTTTTTTTTTTTTTTTCCGCATCTTCATCTTCATTCTCATTCTTCTTTTATTCTCAAGTGTTATATATACATACATACATATATATATAATAATAATGATATTTTTTATGAATAATACAAACTGTGATCCCCCCTCTCTCTCTCTCCTCCGTCCTCCAGAAACGACGAGATTGGAAACGGTCGGCTCATGATTCCAAGACCCTTTTTTTCTTTTTCACTTTTCACTGCCTGTCCAAATCTCCTTATAGGGCTGTATGACCAATGGGGCCTGTCGGATGGATGGGGAAGTACAAGGCTGCTGTCGTGCTGTCCATCCATCCCTTCTTACCCCCCCCCCCCCCCCCCCCCCCCCCCCCCCCATATTATTTGCGCATGTGTCTATCTGTCTTTTTTTTCCAAGAGAAGGAATAGTTATTTCTTATTTGTTATTTCTCATTTGCTCTTTCTGATCCCTTTGTTGATCCTGTCGCTGGCTCTTTCTATTGTCTCGCCTTTTTTTCTTTCTTTTCCATTCTCTTTTCTGACCGTTTTGACGGTCATGAGCCATCTCATTTGTCGATTCATCCGAGTCTACCCTTCTCCTAATCCTCCCCCCCCCCCTTCAACTCCTTTCTTTTCTTCGTCTCCGTCTTCGCCAGGTTCTCCGTCCTCTCCTTTTTCTCTGCACCCCCCTTGCCTGTTGATTGGATGAAAAGGCATGGGAGGGGGAGCGGTCCGTCCCACGGGTCGTCGTGGTGCCGGATGGTGATGATGATACCTACCAAGAGAGAGAGCAGGTTGAATATAACATCTCCTCTGTCGTCAGGATCCTGTTCTGTTCTCTGGCGTATAAGTTGATGCCAGCTCTCTCGACTCGTCTCTCTCTCTCTATCTCTTCTCCTTCCTGGTTGCCATTGCTGCTGTCATCGTTGCTGCCGTTGCTGCCGTTGCTGTTGTTGCTGTTGTTGCTGTTATTATTGTCGACAAGCAAACCCGGTTCTCTCTCTCTCATCTCATCTCTTCACGTATAATCGATGATTCGAACTTTCCCTTTCGGGATATCCTCTCACTACCTTTAAACAAGAAGAAAAGAACATTACACTCCTTCAATCATTATGGACGGATGTATGTTCCACCTCTCCTCCTCCCTCCCTCCCTCCCTCTCCCCATCTCTCAAACTCTCTCTCTCTCTCTCACACACACACACAACTCTCCCCTTTCAAATAAATCCAAAAGACACTGACATTTGAAAAAGTAAACGAGCATCGCACAGCTCGCGTCACAGAGCTCATCCACGAGTTTCACACCATACAGCACAGCATAGCCGCCGTGCCTACCGAGCCTCCCGACTCGGAAGACTATTACACCGAGGGATGGACCACCCTTCGTCAATGTGCCATCGACGGCCAGAACATTCTCGACTGCGCCGCCGACACCACCGTCCCTACCCCGGGGGGTGGTGAGGAGGAGCAGCGCAAGGCTGAACTCAAGCAGTATGTCTCATGTCTCTCCCATCCTCTCTCTCTCTCTCTCTCTCTCTCTTCCTTCTTTATGTTTTCTTCTTTTTTTCTCCCCCCCTACCTCTTGTCCTCTTCCTTCCTTGACCCTTCTTTTCTCTCCTCCTCTTCACCACGAGAACGCTTCTCGGACTACAGGCGCACAGACGCTCTGCTCTTGACATGTATGCTAAATCGAACCCAGAGTCCTGCTCGACGCTTACTCGAGACGTCATGAAGGTCAAAAGACCCGCATGCGTCAAGACGCGGTCCAGAGATGGATCGAGTGGCGCAGCATCATCCTCGCGGGGGGCAGACCAAACAGGCAGAACCGCAACCAGCTTTTGGCATGCGACCAGCAGCTTCACAGGGTCAGTCAATCAACTCCTCCCCACCCTCACACCCTCTCTCCACCGGTCCCCTGTTGACGAGAAGGGTCACCAGGAACTGGCTTCCATCACCGATGAGCTGGTCTACAGAGATTGCCAAATGTCCGACATGTTTGTAGGCCGCTGGACGGCCGAGGATCCTAGTCTTCATGCTGTCAAGCGCTGGCTTCGAGGACGGCGATGAAATCATCTCTCTCTCTTCATTCTTCTTCCATCTATTCTGTTTTACTTCATGTCTCCGTGTCTATTCTTTTTTCCCTGTTTTCCTATTATTTCCTTGTCATTTGTCCTTCATCTTTCGTCTTTCGTCTCTGTTTACATCTACTTCGCGAAAGCATCGGTGTCAGGGTTATAAATATCAAAGGGGTGGGGGGGGGGGGGGGGAGGTATTATGAAATCGAAAAGGAATGGAGAAATGGAGAAAAAAAAAAAAAAGGTGAAAAGCACTTGGCCAGGATTTCTCTGTTCTGGGAGGGATCCCGATAATATTCATGATTAGGAAGTCGATTAGAAAATAATAGAAAAAAAAAACCAGTATTCATATTAAGAATGAAAGTTTGCAACCTTGTGTGTCTTCTTCTAAACCAAGAATGAGATCCACGAGGATCTTTTGCCATAGCTACTGCTTGCTCTTGACGCACAGACCGATCCCTACTAAGGAGAGTACCATGGCAATACCGGTGTCTAATATTCTTGTCAATAAAAAAAAAAAACCTCTCTCTCTCTCTCTCTCAAAAAAAAAGAAGAGAAAATTTCACACGAGTTTTCCATGGGAGGAAGGAGATGTACACGGGACTACTTGTTTTTTAAAAAAAAGCTCACCTCGACTGATGACCTTGCCCTCAACGTACCAGTCTCCTAGGACGGTGAATAGAAAGGCCATCGTGTTGACAATGGGGACAGTCAAGCTGAGCTCTGATCGGAAGGGGTCAGTACACGGAGCACACACGACACAACACACACGTACACAGCATCTGATATCGTGCTTGGATAGAGAATAGAAGAGAGAGGAGAGAGAAGAATAAGAAGATAGGATACTAAAAAAATATGAAGAAAATATGCAAAAGAAAAACTCACCAGCCTGCCCAATCAAGAGGAAGAACCATATGCTCCCCGTAAGGTTGAGCAGCAACGGAACGGCATATCTCGGATTCCGCAGCAGATCGACGACGGCAAAGAATACGCCGTACAGCTTGGCCCTGACCCAGCTATCCCGGACGGCGGGCGTCTCCAGTACCGGGTGAGGTGGAGGGCTGTGCGTCTTGGCCGCTTTCCGGATGAAGGGGGTCGTGAATCCCCACGCTATACCCACGAGGATGAAGCTGAGGACATAGTTGAACACGGGGGGAGGTCTATCCTCTATGACCTTGTCCGTCATCGCTCCGCTTTCCTAGGTTAGGTCCAAGTTTCTCGAGCATGTATGTGAGAGTGTGTGAGGTACGAGTATATGCGTATATGCGTCTCCTAGAGAAAAGGGGGAAAGGGCTGGCCAATCATGTAAATGTTTTATGAATAGAGAGAAAGAAGAAGAAGAAAAAAAAGGGACAAAAAAAAGGGGGGGGGGGAGGAGAGTCTTTGTCGGCCGACTGCTTTCTCCGCACACAAAAGATAATAGCTGAGGTGGGGTTGGGGTTGGGGGGGACAGGGAGGGGTGTACGTCTGTTAGGAGTGTGTGTGCGCTCGTGTGTGTGTGTGTGTGCTTGATGATGATGTCGATGAGCAGACGTTGTGTGAGAGAGAGAGTGAAAGAGAGAGAGAGAGAGAGAGAGAGGTTGTTGTGTGGTGCTTGAGCAGTTGAGAGATGGCCCGTGGGAGAGAAACATCATTGGTCAGATGCGTGTCTCACCCCAGACTCCCCGCCACCTTTTGCTATCGGCACACCAAAGAAGCACAGCCTCAGCCTCAGCCTCAGCCTCATAAGGGGGGGGGGAAAAGGTGGGGGAGGGACCTGATGTACAGAGTAATTTGGTAATATTGTCGTAGTAGAATACCCCGTATATGTACATATATATGTACATGATACACACAAGATCACGTATTCACGTCTTGGGGGAATAACCTCCCTCTCTCTCCTTTGTGGTGCATGCCATCTATCAACAGTATGAGCGGCCCCTGCAGGCTACAGATGGACAGAGTACGAGTACAGGAACAGATTTCATCCTGGTTGGCTCAGATACGTACATTACATGCTGCATACGTTTCGCTCATACGTCTAGATGGAACGCCAATTGATGGACCTGTCGAGCTGCTTTCAGAGATCGAAGTGCATATCTGATTATTAATATTTAATATATATATATATATCATGTACTGCATCATGTACTACATCATGTACTGGTGGTATGCGAGCAGGTTGTGCCCTCTGCATCTTCCATGTGTCAGGCCGCATTTGCGTCCATCTCTCGGTTCGAACGGCCGTGCATGATAGGCCACACTGACAGCTCTCCCTCCCTCTCTCTCCCACACACACACACACACACACACACACACACACAAGGGGCCCCTCTTCCCAACTCGCATCATGAACCCTGCCCTGCTGAACCTGAACCCCATCTTCCCCGGCCCTTGCTGCTCGCCCGTACCCGTCCACGCGCTCTCACTCGCCGCCGCTCTTTGCAGGCCGTCGCAGATCGAGGATCTTACCCAGCTTCAACGTCCCCTTGGCACCCCATCCGGCCGGACCAGCATCTACGTCGGGCCTGACGGCGACGTACCACGACCAGGCCCTCCTGTCGAGCTCTCCCGGCCCCAGAACCCCGGCCCAGCTGGAGAAGAGCATGCGCAGTGCCCCCGTCACCCTCGCCAGGTTGACCTGCTTCTCTTCGTCGGCGGCCGCTGCCGTCTTCGTCGTCGTCATCGCCTTGCTGGTGCTACCCTTCTCGACGTCACCCTCGCCGGATGATGGTGATGTTGATGCCGCCGCTTCCGTAGCCGTAGCCGTGGCAAACGACCGTAGGAGATAGTTTCTCGCTCCTTCGGGTCGGTGTATGGCCATACCCGCCATGGCTGGGGCGCCGGCGGGGGAACCCCCGTTGCCGTCTTCGCCCCGGTCCAGCAGCGCCCATACTGCCTCGTCCCCGGAGAGCGTCCCGGCCGTGCGACGCTGAGCGGCCAGCGCCTCGATCACGCACTCCCTCATCAGACGCCACCTGTCGGGGCCCAGCATGACACCGCCGTACCACCGCGTCAGCACGACGAGCATGTTGGCCACGTCGGCCTCGCGCATCAGCTCCAGCAGGAACTTGCCGCACCCGCTCTCGCCGTCGTCGGACGACGCCTCCTGAACCAGGGGGGAGTTCCCGTACCGCGTGCGCACCGCCCAGGCGTTGTGGGATGCCGTCTCCATCTCCGGCTTCCGCGCCATCAGCGTCCTCATCAGCTCCGGCCGCGCCCCCGCAGACGTCAGCTGCGCAGTGTGCGCTATGAATGTCGATCCCCGGGACAGCACCTTACCGCTAGCCTTCCATATCTGCTGCTGCTGCTGCTGCTGCTGCTGCTGCGGTGCTGCGTTTGCCTGTTTACGGGTCTCCTCCTCTTCCTCATGCTGATGCTGCTGCTGCTGCTGCTGCTGCTGCTGCTGCCGAGGTCCACCGGACCACGTATACCCCCCGCGCTTGAGGACGGCAACCTCCCTACTCATGATCCGAACCCTAGGCTGACCCTCCGATAACGACCTCGCCGCCCCCGTCGCAGACTTGTCCATCCCCAGACTGACAGCCTTGGACCGTGAATTCGCACTCACGACCGCCTGGCCCAGGCTGAGACGGCTGCTGGGCGGCTGCTCCGGCATGGTGAAGCGCATCAGCTCCACGGCAAAGGCCAGCAGCAGGGGCGCCCGGTTCGTCACCACGCTCGTCGCCCGGATCAGCCCCTCGTCCTCCTCGGCCGGCGGCAAGGCCAGCGACTCCTCCAGCTCGTCGGCCGACATGGACTCGAAGTCTAGGTTGCGCCTGTGCAGCTCCAGCCTGGGGTGCTTACCACCCGACGTCGACGGGCCCTGCGACGACCCCGGCCCGTCATCTGCCGGCCGCTTCCTCGAAGACCTCCCGCGCGTCTTGCATGCCGTGTGCACGCTCTTGGCTAGCTTGGCGTCGCCGCCCAGCGCTGTCTCCACGTCTGCCAGCGGCGAGGCGGCGATCTGTTCGATGCTTTTTGATGCCGACTTTTAGCTTGTGGAATCTCTCTCTTCTCTCTTCTCTTCTCCTTCTTTTTTTTTAATGATGTGTGCTGTGGTGATAAAACTACCTTTTGAGGCTCTTGAGCTGCAGAGCTTGGACGTGCTTCATCGCCGTCATCATCGGCACGCGGCGCGACGTGAAAATGCGGAGCAGCTCTTGTAGGTCACCATGTCCGGCCATGAGTGTTTTCCTCCTTTTCCTCCCTCTCCAAAAGGATCCGTATACTCTGTGTACTTTGTGTGGTAGATTCTGGTGATCCAAAGATGCAGATGTGATGATGGGCACGTCAGATTGATAGCAATAACCGGGGTAGTGCACGTTGCGCAAAGATGGGGAGATGCCCGTTGGGCGATGACGGTACGTTGATGTACAGAAGAATATTATAGTATTACCGTCATATACTCGCCCCACAACCCATTCATTCTCTCTCTCCACACACACACACACGTCGTTTTCTCTACTCTTCTCAATCATCCCTTCTCACTACCACCACCACCATCTCCCCGCAATGCCATCCCGATGATATCTCCCGGCAGAGCGCGACCCGTACTCACACGCTGTACGCGGCAATGGCGACACGCCAGCTCCTCCACTCGGCGACCGCCCAGTACATCGCCCAGCAGCAACAACAACCAGCGGAGCGCAAGACCGCTGCGCGTACCGAACGAGTATAAGCCGTATGTTGCCCTCCCGCCATCCTCTCTCTTCTCACTCTCCCACCCTTTTTCCAAGGGAGAGGCTGACTTGTTTCCCAAGCCGTCGACCTTCCGCCACCACCGCTCCTCCTCCTGCCCCCTCCTCCCCCGACAACGACACCCTCCTCAACCTCTGGCGCAGATCATGGATCCCCCTCTCCGGCGCCGCCGTGCTAGCCAGCCTGCTGGGCTTCTACATATTCGGCACGGCAGCGGCGACGATACGCGACACGGCGGCTTCTCCGTGCTCCTGCGGCGTCCGCGACCATCACGAGCACGCCGTCCCCACCGGCAGACCACCGGCCATGACGGGCGACAACGCCGAGCAGTTCGACAAGGAGCTCAACCTGCCGGAATGGTGGATGGGCATCACCTCCCTGCGCAGGGACATGGCCGCCCGCGCGACCGGACACGTCCTCGAGCTGGCCATCGGTTCGGGGAGGAACCTTGAATACTACAACTGGGAGGGTCTAAGCGCTGCTGCTCTTGCCGCCACCCCCACCACCACCACTGCTACTGCTGCTGCTGCTGCTGCTGCTGCCGCTGCTGGCATAAGCAGGGCAGGAGGTGGGAGGGGAAGATCTCAGCCCCCTCCTCCTGGGATAGCATCCTTCACAGGCCTGGATATATCTGTAGACATGCTGGACGTCGCCCGTCGCAAGTTGGTCAGGACCGTACCGCCCATGAAGTCGTTCGCCACCGTGGTCCGAGCCTCCACCATGGCCGACCACACAGGCGGTCAGATGTCCTTCATGGACGACCGTCTCCGCCTCGTCAACTCGGACGCTCACAAACCTCTACCTCCCCCCTCGGATAAGTTTTTTGCTGCCGGCGGCGGCGGCGATGATGATGATGGCGGTGGTGGTGCTCTCCAAAATCAACAACAACGAGAGGAGAAGAAGGAGAACAAGTACTACGACACAATCATCCAGACCTTTGGCCTCTGCTCCGTCTCCGACCCCGTCGCCGTCCTGAAGAACCTCGCCTCGGCCGTCAGACCCGACACCGGTAGGATCCTGCTCCTGGAGCACGGCAAGAGCTGGCTGGGCATCGTCAACGGACTGCTCGACAGGAACGCACATCGCCACTTTGACCGCTACGGCTGCTGGTGGAACAGGGATATACAGGAGCTCGTCGACGAGGCCGCCCGCGCTACCCCAGGCCTGGAGGTGGTCCGCATCGAGAGGCCGAATATCTCCCAGCTCGGCACGCTGGTGTCTGTTGAGTTGAGGGTCAGGCAGCAGCAGCAGCAGCAGCAGCAGCAGCGAGGCGAGCAGGGCAAATAGGGAAAGCAGGGGAAAGCAGGGGAAAGCAGGGCAAGCAGAGTCGTACTGACCTCGCTTCCCATCATTCCCCACCCAGCCCACCTCTCATCAATTTAATATACATGTATCGATTCAAGCCAAAATACCAATCACACTCGGCCGGGTCATGACAACTGTATTCTACCACTACCGATACTTCATATCGTTGCACTGCCAGTGCGAGAAATCACACAAGAACCATCACAATCTGCTGAATCACCGATAGACAGCGGGAAGCTCGGGTGCTAATAGTCTTTTTTTTTTTTTCAATTTTGGTGACGACTGTTTCTTACAATGCCAAACTCCAGTAGATACAGAAAATCGTTCAAATCATCAGTCAGTATAAAACAAAAGCCTCGGCTCCCTCCCCACCCTTCCGTCTTCTTTTTTTTTTTTGCGCCGCATGCTCCGATATATGTGGAAAAAAAAAAGTGAGATGAGAGCAAATAAAAGCAAAATATAACAAGGATATATCTACTCCATAATAACGTATAACAATCTGCCCCTCCCTTGGATTTGTTGTAGTTTTTTAGTGGAGACTCCAACAAAAAAAAAGGATTCTTTTAGCAAATGAAAAAAGCATTCTTAGCAAGAAATGTCCCCATAAGGGACCCATCTGCGCGTGCCCATCGAGCCATTATGGGGCGCAGACTCATCCGAGCTATTGACAAGAGAGAGGTAATAGGGGAAAAAAAGGCTCAGGAGGGCGGAATTAGCACTCGTCTAGGAGACCATCGAGCTCATCAATCTCAATGCTCTCGGCGCCCTGACCCCACTCGAACAGCTTGTTGAGCTTGAGCCAGTTCTCGGCTGCGTCATCGTCCTTGCGGCTGGTGTAGGGCGTGAATATGGGCTTCATGGCAGGACTGGTGACAAGGTTGGCGGGGAAGCTGTTGGAAAACCAGACGTCATCGCGGAAGCCGTACTCGCCAACGTGGTAGCGCTCCGTTGCTTCCGACGGGGGAGGCGCCTGATTGAACTTGCGCTTCTGCAGGGTGTCGGCCGTCTGGGTGAACTCGCGCTCGTCCTTCTCCAGGGGAGGGAGATTGCTGGAAGTATCATTGGCGTTGCGTGACTGATGCCTGGGCAGCGACCCGATGGGAGAGACAGGCATGCAATCGTCGAGGTCCTGGGTGTCGTAGAAGTCGGGGCGGGGCAGGTCAATCTCGGGCGAAGGGCTCAGCTCCCGGCGGCGCTCCTCGAGCTCGTCAGAGCCGGAGTCGTCGGTAAGGGATACCGACGGAGTCGCGCCGCACACCGGATTGCTCTGCTGGGTGGCATCCGTCGAGGGAAGTGGTTGGCGGGGCATTGTGGTGAGGTAGTAGTATGTGCGGCGGGGGTGAGCAGGCTCGAGTTCTTTGGCCAGGTGACAAGGGGCCCGTGCGGTCCAGCACGGGCGCTTCATGTAGGAGCCTAGGCGGGAGGATATGATGGCACAAGGATTGGCAGACCTGTGGTGGTTCAAGTTAGTCGGCCGATTGACTACTTGCTCGCACTCAAAAGGGCGGAGGGCGGTGACATACTGCTGTACAGAGTTTAGCGACTGGCCGAGGACAGTCGCCAGGTCCTTGATTATGTGAGGCCTGTTGGCGGTCGACTCCAGCTGCGTGATGACGGCCTCGACAATGTCGTCCTTGACAGCCCCGAGGTCAATCTTTTTAGGAGCAGCGTCAGAGCCAGATGTAGCAGGAGGAGAGGGAGGCGGCGTCTGCTCGACGGCAACTGAGTCTGCGGCGGCACCGCTGTGCGACTTCTTGAGGCGCTTGCTCGGGTGGGAGTCAGGCGAGTGAGATCTCGAAAGCGAGCGGCGCGACGACGCTGAAGAGACGGAGGAGGCTGACGAGGTCGGCAGACGACTGGAGTTTCTCGAAGCGGCCTCGGCGGCGCGGGCTGCGTTGGTCATGGGGATATGAATGCCCAGACTGGGAAGAGAGAGTGACTTGCGACGTGTATTGTAAGGCATGATGGGCGGGGTGAAGTAGAGATGAGAGAGGGGTAGGACGAGGTTATGAAGCCGTAAATTATTGTGAAGCTGGTTGGTATGTGTAGTGCAATGATAATTATTCGTAGTATTATTATGATCGAGGGGCACGTGTGATACGTTCAATAACTTGTCTGTATAGATGGCGACAAGGTTGGAGATGAGTTGCTCCCTAGAGTACACAAGGGAACTTGGATCAAAGAGAAGGGGTGTTTGGAGAAGGACTGGGGAGAAGGGAGTAAGGGAAATAGAGGTGAGTGATGAGTAGGAAAACAATCGGAAGAGGAGGGGGGGTGTGGGAGGCGAATAGAGATGGGGGAAGAGCGAGGCGGTTGGCGGTCTAAGGGAGATGGTAGGGGTTTCAGGCCACCACTGGACTGGGCAAAAAAAAAAAAAAAAAAGTAAAAGAGATGGTCAGCGACCCAGAAAGACCCCAGAGCTGTGAACTTTTTTTTTCCTTCCTGCATCCATTCGTTGTGGTGCCATTGGTCGAGTATGCAAGTTCTGGGTCAATTTAAGTGGAGCATCAACGTCAGTGGGGCAGGAGCCACATCAAGTTCTAGGTCCCTCTTTCTTTCCTCGTCTCCCGGATTAGCGTCACTACTCATCTGGCTTTCGGCCGAGCAGTAGGAAGGAGGGTCCCTTCGGTTCTTGCCTCGTTACGAGTACGAGTAGAGAACAGCAGACTTAGGAAGGTACATTCCTTCCCTCTTTCCCTTATCACGCCCACATCGTTATAGTACATGTAGTAGCTTATCACATCTTCGGCTCATGCACAGATATTCTCTTTACTTTTTTTTCTACTCTTTGTTTCTCCTTTCTTTTTCTCCCACGCATGCAATTCATTCAGGTCCAGCATACTAATTACTACTACTACTACTACTACTACTATTACTGTACTCGTACGCAAACACACTGCCTCGTTACCAGTACAACTATCTGTACTAGCGGCGTATCGGCATCGTACATACGACCCCGGGGTCGAGAAGGAGACCCTACCCCTGCTGGGTATCCCTCTTTTTTTCTTTTTTTTTTTCCTTCCTCATCTTCTCTTCCCACCGTTCAATTGATGCCTCAGGGTCCAGCGTCAAACCCACTGGTAGCAAATGAACTTGGCCCCACCCGACTCACGAGGGAATGACGGACATGACGAGGGGAGTTTATTCTTTTACCACAAACCAAACTCTTGCCTGACTCGTAAGTTGCCGGATAAGTTGACTCGAGGGGGGGGAACCAATCTACTCGTGTCATTAATAGTCGACCCAGCTAACGTCTGCTGGCGCTGTACGCAGGTTGCATACATGTGCATCCATCAGCGTGAGCGGTCACTCTTGTTTCCCATCGCTAATTCGAGAGAGAAAAAGAGAGAAAGAGAGAGAGAGAGAGAGATGCACACATCCGGACGTGAGAGAAGAAAGGAAAAAAGGAAGGAATAAAAAAACCCAACACACGATCTGCTATGACTACGAGTATACGGAGTACATACGTACGAGTATCTGTACTAGTCTCGGACCCTCCCTGCCAGACTCCCCTCTGGCTCTTATACATGCCAAAAAATGAATAAACAACGTCTGGCTGGCTCCTTGACCCTGCTTTTGTGGATCTTTTTACATATGGCGGACGCACTCTTGCCAGATCGGAACGTCGTACGACTAATAATAACCAAGCATCCGACCTGGGCAATGGCCAGGGGCTCCACCAAGTCTTTTCCAATCCCTTTGCTTTTCCAATGCGCGAGCGGTCCGTCCCATGTCTGCTGTTGTGGTGAGCAGTTTGGCGGTGACGGCGATGGAGGTAAGAGCAGCATGGGAGAGCACCGCCGGAGAGCAGGGGAGGTTAGCATCTAACAATCAATCAATCATTGTTTCACTTCGGCTGACTGCACAGCATGGAACAGGGCTTTACGGTAGGGATGGATAATACATCATATTCGTACACACAAACATTATTACTACCTGGTCCTTCTCCTCCACAATCTACAGGTACAGGTGCACCCAATCCCACACCACATGTCTCGTTTCGTCGTGACCTTTCCGAGCTCTAGACAAGCAATATGGGTGGCGTCATCGAGACCCCCCGAACCTGCTCTATCAAACATGAAGTCCTGGCCCTCACTACTTGTGCGTCTATCGAGTACGATGACAGACTGGGGAGCTACCAGTAGCCGTACGAGTCGAGTAGCTTGGACTGACGATCAACCATATCCCGACGTCACCCATTGATCTAGACGGGCAGTCGCATGCTGCCCCAGACCGAGATCAACCACGGGGGACAATGCTACAACAGGCCAAACCCGCCAATAAACTATGCTTTATTCTTCCCATGTTCAAGCTGACCAGCTCTTGCTGTTGATGTCAGTTGTCTGCTAACCTGTTATTGCTGTTTGCTTCAGCTGCCCCGTATCCCGAGACGGATCCGTCGTCCAAGCAAGCCCCTTGAGAGTTGCAGGCGGCTACGTCGTCCCGCGCTACCCTCGCTGGCCAGAACCCTGAACTTGTTGCTCTTGAATCTTAGAGCCTCCGGAGAAGAGCACACCATGCTTGCGCCTAGTGAAGAAGCGGCGATACGGCATAATCCAGCTCAGCTGTCGACTGTGATGACAAATGAATCATGTATTACAATACAATGTCCCATACAGCAGGAGGATTCGAAGTCTCAGGCACTAACAATGGAAGGCCTCATGTATACCAGTCACAGACGGTATTGACAATGAACAGGAAGGCTCTGATGCACCTCGCTTGTCGTGGCCGGGCGTGGAGGACAGCCTGCATTGCCAAGCGTGAGTCACCCGAGGAGCAAGGTGAGAACGCGATGTTGCTGTACGTCCGTGACCTTGGAGTCATCGGGTGACGGCGACGCAGGGCAGAAAGAAGAGCATTCGAAATGACGAAAACACCCAACCCCCCCCCCCATTCTTGACGCTCTATATAGAAGAGTAGAAGACGATGACACTCCTACTTTTAGGCCCAGACGCTCTACATGCAGCCTTCAACCTTGCCGAGTCAGTTTCCAACCACCGCACCTAAACCACACCTTGGGCCAACCCCCACCTAAGTTAAGTCTCCAATCCGGTTCACAAATGGTTCTAGAGCTCCCGTTCATCACGCTCGACGTCTTCAAGACGCAGCGCTACGCCGGAAACCCGCTAGCCGTCGTCACCATCCCTTCGGACCTCTCGCTCCAGCCGACACAGGACCAGAAGCAGCTCATCGCGCGGAAATTCAACCTCAGCGAGACCGTCTTCGTACACGACGCCACGGGGAGCGACACCCGCAACATCGACACCTTCCTCGCCGACGCAGAGGCCCCCTTGGCAGGGTACCCGACCATCGGCACTGGCACTGCTGCGGACCTCCTGCCTCAGAATGTCCAGACCCTGGGTCACCAAGGCCGGCCCCACCCCGGCCACGTCCAGGCCAGCATCCCCCACTCCACCCGTCTGCACGCCCGCCGGCACGCCCGCCGTCTGACGCCCGACCTTGTCGCCCGTTGGCGCCTATCCAGACGAGCATGTCCGCTCCGCCCTCCTGTCCGCTCTGGTATTTAGCACCGTTACCCGGGATGGCGTCCGTCCTGGTCGAGCTGCCGTCCCTCGACAACACCCTGCGCGCTGCCTCCGCCTCATCCGTCCACCTACCGCCCGACCAGATCCTCGATCAGGGCTGGTAGTACGGCGCAGTATGCCTGTACTACTACCGCATTATAGACAGCGACGGCCACGGCGGCGACGGCAGTGGCACCGCCTCTGTCCGTAGCGTGTAGCCTGTGCTTATCATACCTCGCCACATCTTCTCCCGCCGCTAGGCCCGACCCGGACACCTCGCGCGCAATCAGTTATCGCATCATCCAGGGAATCGAAATGGGTCGCGAGAGCGATATTCTTGTTCGCGTCGACGCATGAGGCTCCACGGTCGAGAGCGTCAGTCTGACCGGTACGGCCTTCCAGGTCATGAGGGGCCATGTAACCCTACCATGACATGTACTTTGCACACACGCTACCTGTACTAGTAATATCACATAAAAACTGATGATAAAGTACTATATATATATATATATATATATATATATACATATATACATACATATATACATACATATATACATACATACATACATATATACATACATACATATATACATACATACATATATACATATATATATACATACATACATACATATACACATACATAAATATATATGCAACGTAGATTCAGAACCGATGTAAATGTTTTTTCTCGAAAAAAAAAAAAGCATTCTCTTCACTGTATTATGCCTCATCGCCTCATCATGCCACCCAAGATAAATCAACAAGACGGGGGAAAAAAAGAAAGAAAAAAAGGTAGGAAAAAATTGAGTGAATACTCCCCTTTTGTGTTACCATTATACCCGTTCCTCCATTTGAAGAGGAGAAAATAAAAAGGATTGGAAAGAAGGTTAAAAAAAACATGAGAATGTGGATGAACCAACCAACCAACCACCCCCCCCATCGCCAACCTATTTACGTCGCGTACTATCATACACATTGAGTACATTATATCTAACGTGGAAACATGGCTCGTTTCGGCCTTCCGAGCAGGGACGAGGCTATGAAAAGGAAGAAAAAGGGTATAGTGAGCGATGTGTTTCTTGTCCCCTCTTTTCGCAAAAAAATAATAATAAAAATACAGTCCACTTTGATACTTTCACAATCAACCCCCTCCCCCTTCCTGTCAAAACTCCGATATAATTACTCCGGTATATCCCATACGTTCCAACCATTCCATTCGTTGCTCTTTTTTTTTTCGTATAAAAGAAGTGGCAGAAAAATGTCCGTGGCAAGATCCGGCCTTGAGAGGGACAGTATATACCACATGATTCCCGTATGGGGAAAACCTGAACTTCTCTCGGCTTTCCGGCCAAAAGCTTCTCGTAGTTGTCCATCTCTGGTGTAGGACGTCGGTTCCGCAAGTGCGTCCATATACGCAAAGCACCAGATCCACCAGCTACGACGTAGTGGCTTTACTGTCCGGTGCGAAGGACCGTCATGAATCGTTCGGTAACCTGTAAGGAAATTGTCAGCACTTCATCAAGTGGACAGGAGAACTGTCGAGAGGAGGGACAGGAATAAGATGAATATACCTCGTGGTCTGCCTTGATGAATGGAAGCTCAAAGAACTGGTACTTTTGGTTCTTGAGCAGCTCCATGACCGTCGCCATCAGCCCCCACGGGTGAGGCCAGATACCGCCCAGACGCTCGAGCAGAATACGAGTAATGTCCTGTCGAAGCTCCGTCTCCTCCGGGTCGTTCATGTCTTTGCCAAAGATATAGAGGAGAGCGTGGGTGAAGAATTCGCTCTGCCCGCTGGGTGCACGTAGCTGGTTGGCAATGCTGGACAGGAGGTAGTATCGGACTACAGGCGGCACCTCGTGCACGAGCATCGACAGCATCACCACCTCGGGCTCGCTTCCAGTCAAGTTGGCGAGAGCACCCGGCTGGTCCAGTCGCTCGGCTGCGACGTTTCCGATGTGAAGGACGACGGCCCCGACAATGCGCGAGTTGACCGCCACCTGGAAGTTGCCATAGCTGGTGTCCTGGGCTGTGCCCTGGGACATGGCGTGCGCGACTTGCGCGATGACATCCTCGCTCGGCCCGTCCTGGAGCGCCTGGTCGAGCATACCCAGGAGACCGCTCTCCCGCAGGATAGCAGCGGCCTGCTCGTTGGATCCCGAGGGCGTCCTCTCGTCCTCGATGAGCCTTTCGGGGCTCTGCTGAGGCTGCGCCGAGAGGATCGTGTTGATCAGCTGCGTGCAGTGGGGCGGAATGCTCGCGCAGAACCTTCCGCTGTGAGCAGACATGAAATCGGGGAAGTCGTGCTGGACAACAACGAGCAGCTTCCACGTGGCGCTGTAGAGCTCCTTGGTCACGTGCGACACATTGACCATCTTCAGCTGTTCACCTATGCAGTCAAGCAGCTGGGACAGGAGCTTGGCAAACGGCGCCCAGCCCTCGTTATTGGGCATCGAGAGCAGGGGAGGGAGGAAGGCACGGTGCTGGAGGAGAGCGACCCAGGCGTAGACAAAAGCCGGGAGGCGGACGGGGCCCAGACCGGCAAACCTCTCGGCAAACCTGAGAAGCATCTGCTGGCGTTCGCCCTCGGTGAGGCCGTCCGACATGGACAGTGTCTGGTGCAGCAGCATTGACAGAAGACGGAAGAAGACCCTCTGGTTCATCTGTTCACCGCGCTTGATCTGGTGGTGGTAGATGACCATGGATATGAGAGAGAGTACCGCGTCCAGGAAGATGACACGCGAAGTTGACATTTCTGTGTGGGTGCTGACAAAAACGCTGATGAGCGTTGCCAGAGCGTCGACGGTGGCGAAGAGGTCACCCATGGCACGGATGTGCAGGTTCTGCTCGTAGCGGTCCACCGACATGTCGAGGGCCACACGGACAAACTCGAAGAAGTCGTCCCGATCACGTACCACCTGCTTCGCGTGCAGCTGCTGGATGAAGACCGTCATAGTCTTCTCGGTAGCGTTGTAGTTGTTCAAGAGGTTCACCCACTCCTCAAAGACGTACTCCATCTGGTCGCGGCGGAACACTGCCGCGTCCTCGCCCTCTGGCTGAGAGGGCACCGGCCCCATCATCTTCGCCTTGAGTCGCTGTGCCAGTACGGATCCGGGTTCCTCGTTAATCCATGTCCAGGCCACTTCCAGAGTACGGACAAAGTCGGCAAACAGGGCGATAGGGCGATTGTTGAGCAGTGCGAGGTCCAGGACATGGTCGAGGAATTCGAGGGAGCCGTCCTTCCTAGCCTCCAGAGCACGCGAGAGGGCCTGGTCGATGGCCTTCCAGTCCAAGAGGTCGGTGCGGATAAGGGCGCTGAGCAGGGGAAGGCTGAGGAAGTTGCTGCCCGGCTGCTGGCCAAAGATGGAGCGGACCCGGTTGTTGACGCTGGGGCCCGAGATCTTTCGCGCAGTCTCCAGGACATGAACCAGGCTCTCCAAAGTCAGATTATCGTCCACCTGTTGGAAGATGATGCTGCTGATCTGCTCCACGGCGTAGATGGCAAATTCCTCGGAGCTCTGGGAAGCCTTGATGATCAGCTGGACCAGGGCGTCGACAACATCGAGCACCGGGTGGGGGCGCGGGAGTCCCATAAAATGATCCTCTCGGGCCTCGGCAGCAACCCGCAGGAGCTCCTGGAGAAGCTTGTTTGTGCGGTCAACCAGTACCCGCATCTCCAGGTGGTAAGCCGGGGTACGGCTGTTGGCCAGGCTGTTGTTCGTGCTCGGGGGGGCAGGAGGGTAAGGCTGCATCTGGCCTCCAAGATGCTGGACGGAAGGCGTCTCGGCGGGCGTGGGCAGGCTGGGGATCGTGCTGTACTGCTCCTGGAGAACCTCGTTGGCTAGCGACCTGGTGGCATCCGAGGTAGAGGGGGCATGAGACGGGCCGGCGGCGGAGGCCGTCGTGCTACGGGGCTGCCGGCCAAACTCGTCGTAAATGGCCATTTGCTCAGGTTTCAGGCCGTTGATGTTGGGACTGAGCTTGTAAGGATTGGGGATCGTCATGGACCATCGGCTGGCGTTGGCGTCATAATAAGGCTCATCGGGACGCGTAGCCCTGTGTCGTCGACGGCTCTCGAGGTCCCTCTCAATCATCTCCTCGATCTCGGGGATGGCGCGCTCTTCAGCCTGCTTCTCGATAATGCTGCAGGCTAGGTCGATGTTTGAGTTGACGCACATAATGATGGTGCCCTCGGGAAGGCCAGAAGGCAGGTCACCAGCCAGGTTGCGGACGTAGTTGGTGAAGTTTGCCCGGAGTGGCTCCTTGGACGTTACCAAGGCGAGACTACCCGCGGTCGCCTTGACCATGTTAATGGCCGAGTTACGAACACGGTTCTCGTCAGGCTCCGTGACAAAGTCTTTGCGGATCATCTGGATCGTCGAGATGGCAGCAATCGTGACCGACCTGTCCACCACGGGCTGGATGATGTCCTGAAGAGCCCGGGTGAGCGCAGTCAGAACAATTTCATGCAGTCGACTGGTACTGACAACCATCTCGTTTGCCGGAGGCACGGTGATCATGGGGCCGAGGTCGGGGATTGTGGGAGCAACGGAGTGTGACTGTAGTCCGTTGCCAACAGTGGGTCCGAGACCGTTCAGCGAGAGATTCTCGAAAGCGTCCAGCTGATCTTGAGGAAGGACATCGGCCGCTTCGTCTGCTGACGGTCGGTTAAGGATCTCGCCCGAAGGCTCGATGCTCTTGTGATCCAAATTTAGCCCCTTACAGAGTACCTCAATCTCAAACTTGAGGTTGAGCTTCAGCTCGGCATGATGATACAGATCTATCAGGAGATAGATGATGTCCATCAGCCAAGGGTTCGGAGGGCGGAAGACGGCAGAAGAAGCCCCCTGCAAGAGGACCTTGCAGACGAATGGAATGACCACGATCAGGCGTTTGGTGTCGTGGGCCTCTATGAGCAGCTGCTTGAATGCAATGTTCTTGTGCTTGATCGGCCTATCCCGCGCCAGAGTCAGGAGGCCCAGCCAGCCGCCAAGGTTCTTGAGATGCGTTCTCTCCGTCGAGTTCTGCATGGTCGCCTCCGAATTCAGCATGCGGGCGACACTGATATAGGTCTCACGCAGCACCTCGCCCCAGAGAGCGTTGTCTTGAAAGAACCTGATAAGCTCCAGATAGACGTGGTGGTAGTTCGGCTGCATCTTGGCACGCTCCTCGACAAGGTGACTGGCAAACCACTGCTGGTGGCGCTGCTCCACCGTGTCGCGAAGCTCCTGGTACATAGACCCAAGCGTGTTCTCCGTGATGTTGTTCAAGACAAACTGGATCCTATCTTGGGCTTCCTCTCCGGGGTCCTCAAAGGCGCCCGGGGGCGCCGGATCGACGGAGATGGCGCTGAAAGCTGGGGCCGGACGACTAACAGCAGACTCATCGGAGTTACCGTTCGTGAATGGCTCCGACCCAAACCCAAGGCCATGAGGAGTTCCCGCGCTGTTGCGACCATTGGAGACGTCCTCCTCATGCTCACGCACAGTCTCCTCGGCCTTCTTGTAGGCTTCCGTACCCTGTAGACCTGGAATCTGCAACAGTTGCTTGCAGAAGCCGGGCCATTCACGGAAGCGAACCAGAAGCTGCATGAGCGCCTGCAGGCCGAATTTGTACATGGGGTCGTCTGGAAGGTGGTCACGGACCGCCTCTAAGATCATACCGAGGCCGATCTTAAGGGGCAGATCCGATATGAGCTTGTGGGATATTATTCCACCGAAGAGGACGGCAGTGGTAGCGAGTGCTTCCAAGGGGTAGTCGACGTAGTGGTTGTACTCGTCGAAGAGACCATGGATCATGCAAGCAAAGACATCCTGATCCAAGGGCTCGCGGGAGTGCTTATAGCGGTCGAGGATGTCGACGATGTGGCGCACCTGAAGCTCGTCGCCGTACATCTTCTTGTAGTGTTCCTCCATCTTGCTGTTGGCTGCCAGGGGCAGGGCGTTACCTTCCTTTCCAGCCGCATCGATGATGTCATCGTAGCCTTCCCCGTAGTTGATGAGGCGGGGGTAGGCCGTGATGCAATGGCGCTGAACGAGGATCAGGTCTTGCACCGGTGCCTTTGGCAAGAAATCCTCGAGAATCTGCAACAAGGCAGACACAGTTCTGACCTGCAAAGTCGTAGTCGTCTTGGTGGGCACTTGACCATCTGGGGGTCGCTGGAACTGAATCTCCAGGTTTGCCTTGATCATGAGGAACTGGAGAAGAGTCCTGGATATTTCATTGCTCCTCTCCGCATTGAACTGTGCCCATTTAGTCAGGTCCAAGTAGCCTTCAGCATGTGCCAAGGCAGCCAAGTCGATTCCAAAACCATTGGGGAGATAGACCAGCTCATCAAGCCAGTTGTGCTTGACTGCGTGCTCAAAGATCAAGGGGAGGTCCAGAGGCTTGACTGCGTGCGCATCTATGAGACGCTGGGTGACCCATTCTTTGTCCTTCTTCCAAAGGCTGTCGAGAACAAAGTCGTGATTGGGTGGTGTCTGCTTGTACAAGAAGTTTTCGAAAAGAGAACTGAGGGTGTCCATTGCCATGGGTGCCCATGACTGCCGTGGGACCTCGAAGGCCGAAACGAGGAAGATGTCCAGATTGGGGACCACGACCTCCTGGAAAAGGCGTTTGGCCTCGATGGTTTGCGATGCGTGCAGAGAGCTAAGGGCAACGTTGAAGATGGAGGTTAGAGCAGCGACGGAGACCAGTGGGTGACGAACAGCAACTGCGGCTCTTTCCTGGACCTTGGGTGGAGAGTTGGCATAGTCCTCTATAGTGATGCTTCGGGTCAGGCCAGGAATCGTAGTCGCGTCGAGCTGATCGGGAGAAAGGGATGCGTAGGCGCTAACAAACGACAGCTGGGCTTCGGTCTCGTTCCACGAGCCACCCCAGAGCCGCTGCATGTCGAAATTACTATTAGGTTCTTGTGCAATAGGGAGCAGAGCCTTGAATAGTTGGAGAAATTGCGACGAGGATATGCGTGCCGTGGGCTGGTCGAAGAGGAGAGCAACATCGGTCCAGCTGAAGGGTTGTGAGATGATCTGACGCAGGGCAGCAACAAGAGCAACGACATCGTGGCTTTGGGTCTGACTGATGGAGGCAAAGGTGAGAGCCGGCGCCACCTGCTCGGCACTGAGAGGCAAGTCACTAGGCCTGTTCTGGAGGTAGGAGATGCAGGTCTCCTCGTCACGCGTGAACTCCGGTCCAATCTTATAGATATACCGTGCCAAAGAGTTCGAGGGGTGGTCGGCTAGAACCCTGGCGACATCGAAGGCGGCAAGAACCTCTGATGGCGGAGCTTGATCATTCTTGATGTAACGCTTCACCACGCACTGTTGTAGGTCTCGCCGGGACGATGCGTTGAAGTTCGGAGGATGGTTGTTGAGGAATCGTTCAACGGTGAGGGCGACATGCTTGGGGGTGAGGTCGGCATGGGCCTCGAGGTCTGGGCGGGAAATGATGTCCATGAACATGGCAAAATTGGTGGATAGAATGGCGTCGGCTAGGCAAGGAAGCACCCAAAGAATCAGTCACGGGCCCGTGCAAAACGTCAACGGGAAACAAACTATCTTGAACCAACCTTTAGTCTTCAAGTCCGAACGTGTTCCGCTCTTGAAGGCTAGTGCAAGCAGAGTCTTCTCTAGCGCATCTAACTTGAAATGCTCCATGAATGTCGACAGATCAAAATCACGAAAGATGTCTTCGGTGCCACTTTCGATGGACTCAGCTATCTTTGCAGCTTGGTCCACATCGTGGGCGATGCTCTTCATCTCCCCGACGAGTATCTGGTAGTTGCCCGGATTCGCCACGGGGCGGTTCAGGCCTGGAAATATTTGCGGGGCATTGCCGGCAACCAGCCGTGTGAAGTACTTAGAAAAGACCTCCATTCCGTGTTCGTCGATGAGCTTTTAGAAAGAGCAGGCAATGTTAGCAAGGCCCGTCGACGGCCGAGACGGAAGGGGGCGGGAAGAGGTAGTGCTGACCTTCTTCAGCTGTTCGAGCTGTATATCCAACTTGGCTCGATCCTTGTCGTCCTTGATGGTGCTGAGTAGAAGATAGATTTGGGCGACAACGATCTTTGTCAGGGAATTGGTCCCCGTTGGGCTGCTAGTGCTGGGGCTCGCGCCAGCACTGAAGGCAGCCGTCTGAGATGGATGGGGAGAATGAGAAGATCCTGTCTGAAGAGAATGTGCAGCAGGATTTGGTGAAAACGATCCCGCTCGAGGTGGTGGGACCATGGAGGTGTATTCGCGACTATCGGGGGGGAAGAACGAAGCTCCTGCTCTCACGGTCGAGGCAGGGGAGAGGGGCGGAGAGGGACAACGGACGTTGTGAGGCTGGAGTAAGAGGTGCTGGGTAGCAATGATCCCTTCATGGAGTTACTGTTCGGTCGTAAGCTATCACTGGGCGAAAGCGCGACGACAAGAGAGGGGGACTCGATTGCTGCGCGACGCTGGCAGTGGAAGCTGTATGATTTTTCTTCCGACAATGATGATGAAGCGTGTCAGGTTACTGGTGTAGATATTACGTCTCGGCCGTAAAAGGCAGATGGCTGCCGTGCGCAGCAAACTAGGGCAGGTCGAACTTTGATGGAGGGAGGGGGGGTTCAAGGTTCCAGGTGCGGTGCGGTGCGGTGGTGGGTCGGTGCGGTGGAAAGCTGTGGCACGGCGCCCTGGCAGAAAAAGCGATGCTGTGAAGCAGAGGGCACACGTGAGACGCGGAAGAAAGCCCAGCCACTGCACGGAGTAGTAGTATTGGAACAACAGAGAGCGGCGATGATCAGGTCGTGGAAGGGAGTCCGCGTGGAGGGTCGAAGGGCGAGCACTGTGGAGGGATGTGGTTGGGTTTGGAGCACAAGTAGAGGAATGTGCCTGGCAAAAACTGACGGATACGGCCACAAGTCACTGTGAGAGCCCCCGCCACAGGCCCGTTGTCAGCATCTCAGCCACTGTCCTTCCGTCCGCCTGTGTCGATGTCTCACGTGACTCGATGACTCCACCGGCGACTTTTGGTTGTGTGCATTGTCTCAGTGTCTCTTGTGTGTTTGTTGCCCTGCCAACGTCATAAGCACCATCACCCTAAACAAACGACTGGCACTTGAGATCGATGCTACTCGCACGTGGACCCGCCCTCCCTCAATCTGAAGACCGATTACTGCTCGCAGAAGTCAGCAAACCTCAAGATCATCTTCACTTTTCCAGGACACGATTCACGAAGTCCGAATCACAAAACGTTTCCAACGTCACAAACCATATACTCTAAACACCAAACACATATACATAATCAGGGCCTACAAGGCGATCAGGCACGATGCCTGCTGCAACGGCAGAGACTCCGGCCGTGGCCATGTCCTGTAAGCGACGGCAGACACCGAGCTTGTCCCTACCCGTGAGCTTCCCGAGCTAACTGAACCATGCGCAGTCGCCAACAACTTCTGGGGCAAGGACGATGCTGGTGTCGGTCCATTGTTGGAACGAATGCAGGGCGCCAAACAGACATGCGACGAACTCAAGGCTTTCTACAACGGTATGCGTTCATGACAATAACCTCCATGTTGCAGTGACTGACGATATTTCCCAGCCCGCGCATCGATCGAAGATGAATATGCCAGGAAGCTCCTGAGCCTGACTCGTAAGGCGCTTGGGTCTCAAGAGTCAGGGTCACTCAAAGCATCACTCGATACCGTCCGAGGAGAGGTCGAACAGATGGGGAAGCAGCATCAGAACATTGCGGCACAGATGAAGAGCGAGCTGGAGGAGCCTCTGGCTGCGTTTTCTGGTGGTATGAAGGAGAGACGGAAGATTGTTCAGAACACGGTGGAGAAGCTGCTCAAGACCAAGATTCAGCAGACCCAGCATGTCAACAAGGTATGTCCAACCTTCATCGACACTGTGTCTGTTTATATCCTAACCAGCCTTTCAGACGCGAGACAGGTTCGAGCAGGACTGCCTCAAGATCAAGGGCTACCTCGCGCAGGGCCACATGGTCATGGGCCAAGAAGAGCGACGAAACAAGGCCAAGCTGGAAAAGACCCAGATCAGTGTCGCAGCATCTAACAGCGAGTATGAAGCGGCCGTCAGGGTCCTCGAAGAGACGACCGGAAGGTGGAACAGGGAGTGGAAGGCGGCCGCCGACAAATTCCAGGACCTCGAGGAGGAGCGCCTCGATTTTACAAAGAGCAGCCTCTGGACTTTTGCCAACATATCTTCGACCGTGTGCGTCAGCGACGATGCATCGTGCGAGAAGGTCCGCCTGTCCCTGGAGAAGATGGATGTCGAGACGGACATTATGTCGTTCATCAAGGAAAACGGCACAGGCCAGGAGATCCCGGATGCCCCCAAGTACATCAACTTTTGCCGCGGTGACGTCGCTGACAACCAGTCTGACATCTCCGAGGATGACAAATTTTCCGTCGCCCAATTCCCCAGAAGCATCAATCCGGCCTTTAGATCGTCTTCTCCTCAGCCATCCATGTTGGACTCACACCATGATCCGAACTCGAAGCTAGCCAACAGCTTGGCGCACCGCGACACCAAGCTCAACGAACCGGAACTTCCCCTGACTTCTCAGCCGCCTGCCCCTCAGCCGCAGCAGCCTCTTCGGACACAGCAGGCTATCCAACCTCACCAGCCTCCCCAACCTCGCCCGGCACAGTACCCTCAGGCTCATGTTGCTCACGCGCCATCCCCTCAGGCACCACCCCCCAAGGCACAATATCAGACGCAAGTTGCCCATACACGGCAACAGTCCCTCTCACGGGAGCAGTTCTCTCAGACGCAGGTTGCCCATACACGGCAACAGTCTCTCTCACGGGAGCAGTTCTCTCAGACGCAGGTTGCCCATACACGTGAGCAGATCCCCCAGGCACAGACTGCCCACGCACGGGAGCAGTTCTCGCAGACACAGGTTGCCCATACACGTGAACAGCTCCCCCAGGCGCAGACTGCCCACACACGGGAACAATTCCCCCAGGCGCATGCGACCCATACTCGGGAACAGCTCCCCCAGGCGCAGGTTGCCCATACAAGAGAACAGCTCCCTCAAGCGCAGGTTGCCCATACACGGGAACAGCTTCCCCCGACGCGGGTTGCCCATACACGGGAACAGCTTCCCCCGGCGCAGGTTGCCCACACACAGGAACAGTTCCCCCAGGCGCAGATTGCTCGTACACAGGCCCTTCCTCCGGCACAGGTTACCCAGGCACAGTCTCCCCGCACGGCCCAGCCTAAGGAGCAGTACTACCAGAGGCCGGCGCCGCCAACATCGCAGATGTCTTACGACTCTTCTCACCGCTCTCCTGTTTCGGCGGTGCCTCACGACCCATACCCTAAGGATGGCATGACAATGCTCTGCCGCACTGGCCCGCCTTCGGACCTCAGTTCGCCGGTGGCTTCAAACAGGCCTTCTAGCCGAGATGAGAACAGCGAATACTCCAACCCGACATCATTCTCCAGCCAGGAACCCCCTAGTGGAAAGACGTCTCCGACTAAGCAGGACCAGCCACCCATGCCCAGCCCAGAGAAGAGGGTGTTCAAGAAGAAGAGCGGTTTCTTCCAGAATCACAGCCCATTCCGGAGAAAGAGCGTCAAGGAGGCCCAGTCCCCCGAGCGTCGCGGCGGCGCCAATACCTGGCATGCCTCAAATGCGTCGCAGAGTGGAAGCCCGGCTCGACGACAGCAGGTGTACGAACCAGAAGATCAGGGCAACCGATTTGCCCAGGCTCGCTCTCACAGCCCCGAGCCCATCGATGCCAACGCCAGCGTGGCCCTGGGCGTAGGACAGAATGTGCTGCCGGTGCAGCCCCAACGCCAGCAGCCTGCCAAGGCAGCGGCAGAAGATCCGGATGACGGTGACCCAATTGCGCAGGCCCTTGCCGAGCTCAAGGGTGTGACACTAAACAAGGAATCATCCGTTCGCATGTCCGCGGACCACTACCACGGAATCTCAACGCCCGCTCCCGGGTCCGAGGCAGCAGCCAACGCACGCTCCGTCCCGGCCCCTGGACGCCGCGGGTCTGCCACCGTCAGCCAAGGTACACCCCCTCCATACTATGGACAGTCGGGCCAGCAGCAGGCAGCCCAGCAGCAGCAGCAGACCCCGGTGTCGCGCCTGGGTGTCCCCCCCCCGGCAGTCACGTCAAAGGCGATGAAGGAGGCCACCAAGAAGGCTACAGAGCAAGCCAGGGGGGTCTTTGGCGAAAGCGGACGTCGGGACTCGGTCGCGTACGGCGCCAGCTCGCCGGCTTCGCGCCCGGGAACCCGCGGTACGGACATGCCCAGGACTGCCTCGCCCGCCCCTACGCGCGCCGCCTCACCCCAGCCGCCGCGCACTGCCACCGGACGACGTGCGGACTACGGATCCGCGTCGCCCAACCCTTACCAGAGCCCGAGGCAGACGACCAACTCGCCGTACGGCAGGCAGTCGCAGCAGTCGAACCGCAACTCAAGCGATTACTACCGCCAGGCAACGCCCAACGACACCAGCGGGGGGGGGGGCTCTCCCGCAGCCGCCAGGGGTGCATCCCCGGCAGCTGCCAGGGGCGCGTCGCCCGCGTCCTTCAGAGAGTACCCGCAGCAGCGACCGCAGAGCAGCTACAGCAACGCAGGCGACATGGCTGTGCAGCTGGCGCCCGCCGGTGACGATCCTTACGGCTCGATGAGGAGCCGCGGCTCGTCTGGACGTCCCGAATCCCGGGCCATGGGGCTGTACAATGGAGACGGCCGACAGCGCAGCAAGAGTGTGGCCGATCCGTCCAGGATGTACACGCGTGACGGTCGCCCGATTCTTCACTATGGTAAGAGCTCTCTCTCTCTCTCTCTCTCTCTCTCTCTCTCTCTCTCCCTGTCCCATCCCCGTCTCTTCCCCCTGTTCGAATCTGTTCCCCTCACAAGAATTGGTAACTGACCAAGCACAGCCCGCGCCTTGTACATGTACCAGGCGGCCATCCCAGAGGAGCTGGGCTTCGCAAAGGGAGACTATCTTGCCGTTCTGCGTCACCAAGACGACGGATGGTGGGAGGCTGAAATCCACAATGGAAACGGCCGTATCGGCCTCGTTCCAAGCAACTACCTACAGCCCTGCTAGCCCTGCTAGCCCTCTGATAATACCCCCCTTCGCTGCTTTTTTTTTTGGACTGGCAGAGGAGGAAACGAAGCTTGATGCGGTAAGGATGAGTCCGATGTATATGCTTTTCAAGCCTTGCTTTTTATTCATGTCTCTTCTTCTTCCCTCGTAGTCCCTTTGGTCTACTTTTCACTCCTCTCCATCTCTCTTTTTTTTTCCCCAATATGGTATGGAGGATTTGAAATGTTCCTTTTCTTGTATTTTTTTTTCGTCACGTATGATATGGCTCTCGAGAGAATTGTCATGTTTCTTTCTTTCTTTCTTTCTCTGAGCGTACCCTCGTTTATTCATTCTCTTTCTATACTCTTCTTTTTACTTTTTTTTTCGTATGTAGTGTTTTGCTTTCTTTTGAACCGTCACTATAGGAGATTGTTACTTTGGCCTATTTGCCTCTACATGTATGGATTCTCACTACGAGTACCAGGTATGCTTAATCTGTATCACCAGGAGGGATGGGGCCGTGGGCTCACGACACGATCTAGTGATTTAGGATCGAATGGATGGATCATACGGTATAGGATAGTTAATGTCAGTTTATCTTCGATTTGCGATCCTTCTCTCTCTCTGTGTGTGTGTGTGTCTCATGCTTTTGTACCTACCCATTTGCTGCTTGCGGCGATGATGATGGGGGTGGCCTGATGCGATGACGACATGGGTTTAGTCACTGTACGTTAGCAGTTATAGTAGCGTTCATGATGCGACTATTGCAAACCACCTGAATCGAGAGGCGAGATGTGGCAGTCGATCGATGGCATATTTCGAAGGGCGATCATCTTTATTTGCATCATCATACCATCTGATTCCTTAACCTGGCGATCTGCAATCTCCTTGTGCCGGGTAAGTAGCTGGCGTATATGTACATGAATGATATGTGAGAGCACCAAGTCCAGACCCCACAGCAAAACCCGCCTGTGAATGACGTCCATCACATGCCAGCTCTCTCAGGTCGCCAGCAAATCTCGTCTCACCACCAACATCGAAATCACCACGGCCGCCTGCGACCGCACCTCCCTGCCACTCAGACGTCGCGCATCACCCGCTATCATGGTATGCATCATCTCATCCTGCCTGCATGGACCCGCACATGCGTAATCTGACAGTGAAGCCGCAGGAGACGCTGCAGGAGACGCTGCAGGAGACGGTGTCAGACGCCGTCGATGTCATCACATCCAAGCGCACCAGGCGAGCCGCTGTCAACACGGCTGTTCTGCTCACGGGGGGTACGGCGCTCGTGTTCGTCGCAGCCATCGCTTCGGCGCTGTTCTTTCAGAATTTTGTGCCGGACCAGGTCCTTTCTGTGCCGGTCTATCTACAATACGGGTAAGTGGACGTTGTGTTCGGGAATATATAGAAATATATATATGCATGATGCATGCCTCCTCTCTCCCGCGAGTTTTCCTCCGGCTGACATCGGCGGGTCCCCGTTCTCGGGTTCTTCTCTCTCTCTCCTTCTTCTGCAGATCCTCCCCACATCCCTATGGTGTCGCATCCCTGACAGCGCCATGGATCAAGTCAGCGCAGGACTACGACGTTTCTGTAACGCTGACGCTGCCGCCGTCGCGACCCAACGAGGAGCGCGGCAACTTCATGGTGTCCCTCCACCTTCTTGACCGGGACGTGACGCCGCGGCTCCTGGAGGCGGCGCAGGAGTTCTCGTCGCGCAGAGACCGCCACCACTACCACCACGCTGCGCAGGGAGGATTCGGCGACCAGGGCGGCGTCGTCTTCAGCTCGCGCCGGCCGGCGCTGGTGCCCTACGTCGACCCCGTCGTGTCGGCGGCGTCGCGCACCCTGTTCCTCTTCTACCACGTGCTCTTCCCCGGCGCGCGCACGCACGAAGTGACGGTGCGGCTAGCGGAGCGCGTGGCGTTCGGGAGGGCGCACTCACTCCCCGCGTCGGCGTTTGTGGAGCTGGAGGCTGGGCAGGATCTCCAGACGTACGATGTGCGGCTCAACTTCACGGCGCAGCTGAGGGGGCTGCGCTGGCTCATGCACCACTACCGTCTGCCTACGTATCTGGTCTTCACCTTCTTCTTCTGGGCTTGCGAGGTGGTCTTCATGGGGCTTATCTGGGCCATATGGACGTCCTGGGCGTCATCCGGCACCTCGGCAGCAGACAAGGGCCGCGACTACGGGACTCCCAGCGAGTCGGACGACACCGCGGGGGCGGAGGCGGAGGCGGAGCGGGAGGAGGAGGAGGAGGAGGAGGTGGCCAACTCCTCGTCGGACGATGGCGTCGTCTCGACAACGCTGAAGCGCGAGCTCGGCACCGTCAAGAAGGAGGAGGACGAAGAAGCGGAGCGCGACACGCCACTGTCCGAATTGCCGCTGGGAGGGGCCGAGGCAGACGACGAGAGGGATGCCGGGCCGGACGCGAGGCCGCAGCACGGTGAGCGGGCCGCCAGCTCGAGCTATCGCGAGGAAGGGGGCGGACAGGTCAGGCGAAGGGACAGCGGCCGGCAGGGTGGTGGTGGCCGATGATGGCGATGGCGAGGAATGATTTGTTGTGCTGTACCAGGTGCCCTATATATCTCCACATCCCCTCCCGTCCCTCCTGTCCTATATCTTATAATAACGTTGTATTCAATAATGGTAGGTTCACGATACTACCGGTATTACTAGCGCTCATGGGACATGACCAATCTTCGTCATGCTGGACTGGGAAGAGACACAGCAGCCAGCCACCCAGCCAGCCACCCAGCCACCCAGCCACCCATTGATGGGAGGAGCAAGCCACCAACCGGTCAAGCAATCCGAGCTGAGCCGAGCAATGCTCGCACAGCAGTTCGTCGCTGCTACGGGTTCCATGCAGCACATGACGTTTAGCCGGTGGGTTGGTAGCCGGATATGTCACTGGCACGAACAGCCACGGAAGAGTCTGGACGTGGTCCCGGTGGCTGGGACATGGGGGCCGTCACGAGCAGTCATGGTTATCGTAACGGTGTAGCAGTCAGTGGTGTAGGTAGCAGTGGTGTAGGTAGCAAGCAGTGGTGTAGCAGGCAGACACAGAGACCAGCCGCCCAGGCGCTCAGCACATCGGGGCCCGAGCTCAGGCGGGCACGGGCAGGGCAGCAGCTTCGACAGCGGGCGGGGCTCCATAGGTACGGGGTACGTGTACGTGCCTGCACTGACACTAGCAGCTACCTGGCCGCTATACGTACATGCACACTGCCTACCAGCAGCTGCCCATAGCGGGAATCGAGGCGCCCGGGCAGCTCCATCGGCCAATTCTCACAGGTACCCCCTTGTACATATACGCGGGCACCGGCGGGACACCACCCGCTGACGTCTTCCACAGCACTCGACCTGTATACGTTATCCCGTATCATTATCATTATTATTTTATTACATGTAATAATGATGATGATGATAATAATAATAATAGTAGTAGTAGTACTAGTAGTACTAGTAGTAGTAGCAGTAGCGCGCACCACCTGTACGGAGAGTAATAGCAGGAGTAAGAGGTGCAGACAGACGGCAGCAGCATGGATTTGCGCTCTGGTATTGCTCACTTTGACATTTTGCGCCGGACTTGTCTTGATCACCATTCTCTTCTCTTCTCTCCAGTCTTTAATCTTTCTCCCAACTCTCCCTCTCTCTCCCTCTCTCTCCCTTTACTTTCATCGTCAAGACGACTGCGAAGAACCGCGCTTCAGACTCTCACCCTCTCTACCCGGCCAAAGTGCACGGCCGTCAACCTGCACGGGAGCTGTTACTCTCTCGTGCTCTCTACCCACCCGCCCTCCATCACGCTAAAGCTTACCGCTGCTTGCTATGGCTGGTAACTGAGCTCGACATTGCTCTTGCCGAGGAAGAAGAGAAGGTCAGCGACGAAGGGCGAAGAGAGAACAATTATACGCACAGCATCTTTCCCCCTCTCCCATCCTGCGATAGAACGTGTCTTCTTCTTACCTTCTCGAGGGGACAGGGTGCCACTCGGACTAGAGACTTTCTCTCTCTCTCTCTCTCTTTCTCTCTCTCTCTCTCTCTCTCTCTCTCTCTCTCTCTCCCCCCCACTTTCTCTCTCGCTCTCACACACTCTCTAATAACGCGTCGGTGAACGAACCGTCCAAGATCCCACCACCAACCCCCCACTCTCCCTCTCTGTCTCTGGGGCGCCCGATCGAGTCCGACCCCATCATCATCTTACCGCCTACCGCACGAAACACAGGGATATAATAATTTTTTTTTCTACCCCTCCTCAACGCACACAACGAGAGAAGAAGAAAAAAAAAGCAACGCCAACACGAGATAAAATCACAGTCCGCCGACCGCCGACCGATCAACCGCCGCAGCAGCAGCAGCATCAGCAGACGCCATGCCCTGCTTCAAGGGCATTGCGGTGAGCATCCATGCCAACTCGGCTCCGCTCCCCGAGTACGGCATGCAGAAGCAGTCGCGCTTCTCCCGGATCAGCACCTACATACCCGTGCCTCAGCCGCAGCTGACGGGCGAGGAGAAGAAGCCTGAGCCCGCCAAGTTTGCCATCTCCATCACCCTGCTGACCCCGGGCCTCGCCATCCCCTACTCGACCCCGAAGCCCACCGAAGCCAACCCCTCGCCCCAGGCACAGTACGTCGGCGGCCTGCCTCCCGGCTCCGTTGGCGAGCGGGGCAAGTTCTCGGGCGTTGTCAACCCCTACACGCCCATGACCAACTCGGAGAACGAGACGATTGCCGCCTACATCTACTTTGACGGCCGCGCCAAGGAGGAGGTGGCCACCCTGCTCCGCCCCGGGGAGGAGACGTGGGTGAATAGCAGATGGGTCCAGGTGCCGGACGCCGAGGGGGGAGGGCTGGCCGAGCGCGAGTTCCTCTTCCGCGAGGTCGGGCTCGAGCGGTGGCTCAACGGGCTGGACCTCCAGGGCCACGACACTGCCGAGAGGATCGAGAAGCGCCGCCAGAAGTTTGAGAGGCGCCAGCGTCGGCAGGCTGCCCAGCTCGAGGCCAGCGCCGGCGGTATGAAGACCGAGGACCAGGGATCGCCCAGCAAGAGGGACATCCTCCGCTACGGTGCCGACGACGACACCCCCCTCGAAGCCGTCGACGACGATTCCGATCCCCTCTCCTCGGACGACGACGACGACATCCCCGAGGCCACCGGCCAGATCAAGGTGGCCATGTTCCGCGTCCTGGCGTCCGGCGAGGTCAAGAAGGGCGAGTATTCGCCGCAGTTTGACGCCCACGAGGGCGACGAGGAGGACGGCGGCAACGGCAACGGCATGGGCGCGGACGTCGAACACACCACCAGCTTTGCCAAGCCCAAGACACTTGATCCGAAGACTATCAGCACTCAGACGGTGACGGGCATCGACGCTCCCGACAAGCCCTATGCCGTCTTCACCTTTTTCTACCGGGGCGAGAGTATGCTATCCCTTCTCCGTGCCCCGTTGCCTCCACGTCCCCCCCCCTTCCCCTCCCCCCCCGGGCGGTGCACGGGCTAACGGTCACTGCAGAGCAACTTCAAAAGGTTGGAGTCATGAACTCGTCCAAGGCCCCGCAACCTACCCCTGGCTCGGCAAAGAGGCGCTCAGGCCAGCTCGACTTCTCCAGCATCGGCCCGCTGAAGGCAGGCGGCACTGTCGGCTTCTCGGCCTTCCGTGATCGGGATACGGAGAAGAAATCCAAGGCACGCAAGAAGAGCAACGGAAACATTGCCGACGACAGCGACGACGACGACGACGACGACGACGACGACGGAACGGACGTTCTGAAGATGGAGGACACTGACGATAAGATCGACGATAAGAAGCTGGGACCTGAGGATGCGCAATCCTCTGGGGAGCTCGCTGACGGTGTCAACCGCATCCATGTACGTCTTGGACTCTGGGAGCGAAGGGGGGGGGAGGGAGAAGAAGAGGGGATATGAACCCCAACGGAGATGGATATGCTGACACAGTGCCTCGACAGCTCAAGAGGGCACACTCCGCCGAACCGTACAGCACCCACCCCACCCCGGAGGCATCAGGGGACTCCTCGACGGCAGCGCAGGATGCTCCGACGACGGACCAGCCCCCGCCGGCAGGGGACGGGCCGCCAGAGCTCGCCGTGCCCAGCGCACTGGCGCCCGACGTGGCCCTTGTCGGCAGTCCGCTCAAGAAGCACCGTCCTAGCGTGGACTTTTCGGCATCGGAGAATCCGAATAAGTTTTCCTCGACACAGACTATGACGGCCGCACTGGACTCCGTCCTCTCGGGCGGACCTGCGCCTGCGCCCGCCAACACCGCCTCGCCGAGCGCTCAATCAGAGCAGCAGCAGCAGCAGCAGACCAAGCCTTCGATTGCAGAGGCAGAAGAGGAGCTGTAGTATCACTGTACCTCCATGACGGCTCTATAGGGCCAACGCCCACGCATACAACTTTACAGAAGGGAAGAGATAGCTCTTCTTCACTGGAGAGAAAAAGCAGAGGATCTTCCCACCCGCCGGAAACACAGGCGCATGGGAAAGAAACGAGTTGTCCAAAGATGAGGATTTGGATAATCTGGGTGTCACGAACAAATGAGATGAAGAACGAAGAATAAGGATCAAGAGAAAAAGAGAAAAGAAAAAAACAGACAGGAAAAAAAAAAAGAGGAAAATAAAGAAAAAGAGCGACGGACAATGAATCTGTTCATGTCGTTATTATGAACTATTATACTCTTAAGAATACATGAATATGGAACATTGTGATGAGGGATACACCTTGCGGGGCCGATGGGGTTATGTATCTAGCCATTCCGGGCCATTGTGTTTTTTTTTTTTTCAAGTTTTTTTTTCCACGGTAAACGGGGATGGAGCGAGTTGTTTTACACATCTCCTTTATTGTTGATAGCAGCTTATTCTTGTGCCAATGCAAGAGTCGTTAAGCAGGGTTACACTTGATGGCCTGACCGAAATAGCACAATGTACGCTCTTGTGCCAAGACACACGAAGACTACCGACTTTCGCCTCCAAATGCACATCCATACCTGCTACACTGTCTATACCTGTACTTCAAAGGTCACGTTGGCCGTCTACCGTGGAGCATTACGGGGAGCATTACGGGGAGCATTACGGGGAGCAATGATGGGAATGCGGATCATCCTGACCAGAGAAATTATGCCGTCGTCAGACAGCATGGAGGCGTCAGGGGCACAACCGCCGGGTATAGATAGGCATTGACCTGTTGGGCAGATAATACTCGACTGCCGATATCGAGCTGGTCAAGGATTGTCGCCTGGCGGTGTGGAAGACCATGCATGCTCTGGACGGCATGGCTGGGTCGGGGGTACCTTGGAAGGGACTATAAACTTTCCTTCTCTCTGTTAGCACACTGCGCGGCGTAAGGGAAAAGAAGAAGATGCGACGGAAGTGGTGGAGGAGAGAGATAGGGCACAAGATCAGATTGTTGAGCTTGATTGTTAAACAACATGGAAAATTCAGTTGGCTGTTCTTAGAAGTAGAGATAATCATCATTCTGTGCTTGGGGGTTGATTTTGTAAAGACAAAACAGGTGACAAGTGAACGAAAAGTGAGGTGGACAAACCTTTGGTTAGAGAGGCACGATGCTGAAAGAACAGAGGAGATGTATTATTACCCGTCACCGGCAAAAGTCCAATGAAGGACTCTTCTCCCATGCTCTGCAAGTTGATGGTGGTGGAAGGAAGTGGTTGGGAATTTTCTTTCTTCGATTGAAGATTTTCGCAGCTGCCCTTTTTACATAAAGCTGATGGGATGACTAATTGCGTGAATATATATATATGCAGTTAAAGGGGGGGGCTTGTTTGACGTGCAAAGAGTATAATAGTGGTATTATTACTTTAATATGCATATGTATTCTAGTAACAGGTGCGCTGGAAGTTTCGAGGCAAAGCCCACTGGAGGAAAAAGAAATCACTGGAACGGGTAGGATGCACTGTGTGAATAGCAAACAAGACGTTGCTTCTTGGGTTACAGGTGTGAGCTACGACGGCAGATATATGTTGGGCTACCGTGTTGGAGATACGGGACAATAATACGGGCGAGGATGAAAACAGAGGCAAGAGGTCTTCACTGTCGGAAGGAAGATATGGAGGGAAGTGTTGAAACTGCAGCCGCGATCGCCTCGGCATGCTGTCATCCTGCGAGGGCCTCGAATGGGATGATGCCATTTGAACAGAGAAGCCATGAGCCAAGCGTTGAGATCACTACAGGCACTAGCAGCACTTTTGGGGCATGCCCGAAACCCAAGTTGATGCCCGGTTGCATGCATGCGTGATTGTATATGCCAGATCGCGTACATCTGTCTGGGATGGGGTAAGTAGTCCTCAATAGTATCATTACTTCATTACTTAGCAGTACTGTCCCTCAACTCGAAGACGATAATAATACCCCGCTGCCCAACTCCTTGCACTGTGCCCTCCCCCCCCCCACCACCATCGTCGGCCCCTCCTCATCATACTCGCAATTCCCTTTTTCTCCCCTCCCCCCCCCCTCTTCTCTTTTGCGTCAGACCACAAGCTTGTTGTTGTTCTTCATCTCCTGCCACCTCTGCGGCTATTATACCCAAAAACATTCAAAATGTCTAGTAAGTTCTTTAGTCCTTTCCTGTCACTCTTTGCGATCTGGGGGAAGGGGGGGGATGGAAAGAAAGAGAAACAGTGAAGCTAACCGCGCAAAAAAACAACAACAGACTTTGAGGACGTTGCCAGTATGATGACTCCCGTTCTTCTTGTTTCCACTTCTGTACGATATCTGACTACCATCGAAATAAACGAATAGAGCAGTTCGTCGAGCTGTACTACAACCAGTTCGACTCCGACCGCAAGGCCCTGGCTTCTCTCTACGTTGGTTCCCCTCTCCTTTCGGCACGCGCGCAGGCAAAAACGACGGAAATGAAATAAGGAAGGAGAAACTAGCTGACCAAGGTCTTGACCATAAATAGCGTGAGCAGTCTATGCTGACTTTCGAGTCGTCCTCTGTCCTCGGTGCCACTGCCATCACCGACAAGCTCTCTGTACGCTTTCCATGAGATATATATCCCTACAACGAGTACCCCAGAAAGGCTAACACCAGCTTCCAAAGTCTCTCCCATTCGGCACCGTCAAGCACCAGGTCTCCACCCTCGATGCCCAGCCCGGTATCGTCGACGGCGGCATCGTCATCCTCGTCACTGGCCAACTCCTGGTATGAGTCCAAGCCATGGCTGTGCCGAACAATCCGAAGAAGATGAGCAGGGTAATGACTGACACGTTCTGTCTTACAGGTCGACGAGGAGCAGCGCCCCATGAACTACACCCAGGCCTTCCAGCTGGCCCGTGACCCCTCCGGCCAGTACTTTGTCTTCAACGACATCTTCAAGCTCGTCTACGGTTAAACAGTTGCAGCAGGATCGGTCGAGATTGACGCCGGAGCTGTTTCGTCGGAAGAATAAAGACGAATTATTGAACAAAAAAAATCAGAAATAGAAGACTCTAACTACAATCTTACGACTTTCCCGTGGTCTCTTACGTACGGTTTCTCCTTCGTTTTCCCCCGCCATATTCTCCTGTCTCGGACGTTCAAGCGTAGTATGAGGTTTCGACTGCTCCTTCTTTTCTTTATTATGTCATGTCTCTACCCGGCGTAGATTATTTGAGGATACGCTTGACGAGAAGGGGCAGAAAGGGAGAAGGGGTTGGTATCCCGTTGTAGAGCTCTTCATCCTATATCGGGGTGGAACTTCCAAACTTCTGCCTTGCAACGCAATACGCATTTCCTACTACCCACCTCGTACGTCTCGACTGCGCCTTCATGGCTCCATCCTTGGACATGACCGAACCAGCGGGGTAATGCCGTGTGGTTCTGCTTGCGATGTACAAATTTGAGTGGGTATCCACTCAACCGTCTTTCTCAGACTAGGAGACAAGAAGAGTTTTCTCTTCTTCTGCTCGAGCGACATTAGGCACGAGTAGTCGCGGCAACAGCATGCCTAGAGACGCAGGAGATGGCGTTGAAGCCTTCCTGACACTTGATGACGACTATCCAATATATGCATATAACGCGAGCACAAGACACATATGAGGAGTAACCATTGAGGAAAAAAAGATCAAAACACCAGGTTAACAAGAGAGTATGTATTTCACAATGAGTAGACTTTTGGGGACGGCAGAGTTCGCACGGGAAGAGGGGGAGGGGGTGTGGTGGTTTCAGGTCCGTAGTTGAAAGGCCGCTCGAAAACATTAATTCATTTCTTTGTTTGCCCTGAATCCTGCAAAACACCATTGACCCCCTTTTTCTTAAAAAAACAACCCATATGCATGCCCGGGTATGTGGTAACACATTTTTTTTTTCATCTGTCTGATTTTTGCTTTTGCTTTTTCTCCCCCTTCCTTAGATCTTGGTGGCAGCCTCAAGAGCCTTCTGCTTCTTGATGATCTTCATCTGGGCCTTGGCACCCATAATGCCACCACCCCACTGCCTGCGGGTGGTCTCGTGCTCCTGCATGAAACCGTCCTTGATGGCGGTGACGAGCTTGGTGAGCTCGGACTTGTCCTCAGAGCGGACCTCGGTGAGGGCCAGGACGGCGGCGGTCTTGAGAGGTACGAGAGTCAGCGAATTTGAGTACAAAAGGGTCTCAGCAGGAAAAAAAAAGAAGACGAATACCTTCTTGTGGACGACAGTGCCGAGACGGGCCTTGCCCTTGACGATGGCGTAGGGGACACCCATCTTCTTGCAGAGAGAGGGGAGGAAGACGACGAGCTCGATGGGGTCGACGTCGTTGGGGATCAGGACGAGCGAAGCCTTCTTGTTCTCGACCAGGCCGACGACGTGGTTGAGACCGTACTTGACGGTGTAGGGCTTCTTGCTGACGTCCTCCTTCTTCTTGCCCTCCTTGACGGCGGTGGCCTCCTGGAGGAGACGCTCCTTCTTCTCCGTCTTGGTCTCAGGGCGGTACTTGTTCAGGAGCTTGAAGGCCTGGGCCGCAGTGTTCTTGTCGAGAACGTGCTGGAACTGAGCGAGCGCGGGGGGGACCTTGAGGCGCATCGACAGGATCTTCTTCTGGCGCTGGAGGCGGATGTACTCGGGCCACTTGACCATGCGCGAGACATTGCGGGAGGGCTGGATGGCCTGGCCAACACCGAAGTTACGGGGGCGCTTCTCGATGAGAGGGTTCTATTTTTTTATTTTTTTTTGGTTAGCGACCGGGGTCAAGTAGTTCACGGAGACGGTGGAGAGAAGAAAAGAGGAAAAGGAGAGAGTCTTACCTTGGGAGCCTTCTTGGAGCCAGCCTTGCCCTGAGGGAAAGGGGCGGCGGCGACCTTCTTGCCAGTCTTGGGGGGCTGTCATTGAGAAAAGAAGACGTTAGCAAGCTATTCAAAGCCAAGAACGTCTTCTCTGAACTCTAGTGAGAACACCGTGACAGACAGTTTCATCCACAGGATGTGCCTGCCCGATGTCTCCAGCCAGTCTTCACCCAAGGTTCACCGAGCCCGATGAAGAGTTGGTGAACCCTTTAAGGTGGTATTTTTGTTCAATCGCACAAGTCCGCAGAACGAAACATTGTGGATGTTGAAAATCGATCACGCACGAGGCATGATTGAATTCAATAATACTGTGGCCGTTAGAGCCCAGATGGAATTCACCTAGGTACTCACCATCTTGGGTCCTGTGACGGGGGGGGTTAGTTGCTCGGTTGTGAGGAGCAAATTCCTTGATGCGTGATCGGGTTGGAGAGTAAAAAAAAGAAGAGGTGCGACTTTCCACCGGTGGATATTCTCGTGGTCAAAAAAAAAATTAGGGCTTGATGCGCCACATTTTATTTGCAGTGCGTGAGTCTAACTCCACTCTTAGAATGTGTGGCACATGCATACTGTGGCTGGTGATTTTCCTCCTATGTTCTTTTTTATATATATTTGTTTATCTTCCGATAGTTTGTTTCTGGCCCATCTTAGTCATAGCGGGACTTGGAGGGGTGATCTTGGAGGGGCATTTGAAAACTACCATTCTTAGGTATTGACGAGTTAAAGATCAATAGTCAGTTCAGCAGCAGCAATATTTAGACGACTGTTTCCATCCCCAGAAACCTATCCCGTCTTTTACCTGAGAACTGTGCATCATATTCTTGGTGTACTCTCCAATCGTGGCTCATACTCTGTTCTTTGCTGTCGCGACAAGCAACTGCCATACACCTTTCGCCACTAGGGTTGATCAAAGGGACACCACGACCTAGAGAGTGGGAAGGCAGAAAAGATAGGATATAATACCGAGATTTCAGGGCCACGATGCCTCCGACACTATGTGTACGCTGCCAGGCTAACCGGGCGGTTGTCAAGCGCCCCAAGAACCATCACAAGCTGTGCCGGGAGTGCTTCCTGTCCGTATTCGAAGATGAGGTCCACCACACTATCATCTCGTCGAACCTATTTTCGCCCGGAGAGAAGGTTGCGATAGGCGCATCAGGCGGAAAAGACTCGACAGTCCTGGCGTCTGTCCTCAAGACGCTAAACGAGCGTTACAACTACGGTGTAGAGCTGATTCTGCTCAGCGTGGACGAGGGCATCAAGGGCTACCGCGACGACTCACTAGAGACAGTCAAGCGCAACGCAGTGCAGTACGAGATGGCACTAAAGATTGTGGGCTATGACGAGCTGTATGGCTGGACCATGGACCAGGTCGTCGAGACCATCGGCAAGAAGGGAAACTGCACATACTGCGGCGTGTTCCGTCGGCAGGCCCTGGACCGGGGAGCAAAGATGATTGACATCAAGCATGTCGTGACGGGACACAACGCTGACGATGTGGCTGAGACGGTGCTCATGAACCTGCTGCGCGGCGACGTGGCCCGCCTGTCGCGGAGCACCAACATCGTGACGGGCGACGCGTCCAGCGACGTCAAACGCAGCAAGCCTCTCAAGTACGCGTACGAAAAGGAAATTGTCCTCTACGCCCACCACAAGAAGCTCGACTACTTCAGCACCGAGTGCATCTACAGCCCCGAGGCTTTCCGCGGAACTGCCCGCAGCCTCATCAAGAACCTCGAGAAGGTGCGGCCCAGCGCTATCCTGGACATCGTGCGGAGCGGCGAGGACATGGCCCAGTTGACACCCGACAAGGTCCAGAACGCCTGCGCCTGTGACGAGAACGAGGGCGTGGGCGGCTGCGGGTCTGCCAACGGGCGGAGCTCTGGAAATGAGCTGGAGCAGATGGAGGCTTCTCTCAAGAAGGACAAATCCAAGAACCACAAGGTCCTCGAAACCGAGGTCAGGGCCGCCAAGAAGACATCAGCACCACCATCAGTCAACGGCGGCGATGACGTCGTGGTCAAGCTGCCTGTGCGCAACAGCAAACGAGGCAGTAAGGAACCTGCTCCGACGACACTGCAGACTCTGGGGCGTTGCGTCAAGTGCGGTTACATGTCAAGTCAGTCCATCTGCCAGGCATGTACACTGGTGGAGAGTCTCAACAAGAACAGGGCAGATATAGCGATATAGAAATCACCGTTGAATCTACCAAATGGCCAGTTTCTTGTCCTTTGGCCTACTTTTTTTAGGCGACTTGTTCATCGCATATTAGAACAGCGGAAGCTAGAATATGTAAATTGGTATTGAGTCTAATTGTATACTGAACAAGGCCCCTGCTGACCGGTATACGGCTTTTCTTGACCGTCGACCGTCCGCGACGCTGTGATGGGATCCAAACCATCTGGACCATCTCTAAGCCATGCGCCTCTCCAGCTATGGGGGGGGTCAGCATATAGCCCTTTCTAGTCATCGAGCACCATTCTAGCTGGCATCTTCTTACCTTCCAGGGGTTGTTCAGCTCGAAGCCAGCAGGAGCCGTAGCGTTGGCGACCTGCTGCGTCTTGGACCCTGTCAATCGCACGTCGCGCAGCTGCACTGTAGGTTGGGACGCGAGTTTGTCAGTATCACGTTCAAGGAAAGGGAATCTAGGCCGCATGGTGGTCAAGGCTTCGGTGTTGTCATACTTTGCTGGAGATGTTGTTAGCCGGGATGGACCGAAAGGAGGGGATATATAGTCGTACGAGCGACCGCGCCGCATTAACAGTGACTTACCTTGTCCCATTGATCCAAGGAGTGTCGAGGAGTTTTGCCTCCGTTCTGAGATGTTCTCAATGCAGCAAGACCAAAACCAGAGGCGCCAAACATCTAGTTGTGTGTCAATTCTCGGGGGGCCCTTGATTTCGATCGCAAGGCAGGCTACCCAATCCGGGGTTGTCGGAGACGTACCACAATCATGATGCCGTAAGGCAAAAGAGCTTCGAAGGGAACGGGCATGGTTGTTTGAAGAATGTGCCACTTCGAGCAGACTTTTCGCGGGGATTGATCGGTAAAAGAAGAGAGTAATTGGAGGTGGTCCGAATTGAGAGTAGCTTGTAGGTTTGACGTTCGTCTCCAGCCAAGTCGATGGGGTGATGCCAGAGGCCGTGGGGAATGGGGAATGGGGTACGGATGGAGATGAAGCCTGGGGTTGGATGGGGCGCGGGCTCGTTTTCCTGCCTCAGGCCAATGAACAGCCGAGCATTAGAGGTGGCGTTTTTGTTAGGACTTACACTGTGTAAAATCAGGATAAACTGCACCTATTCCTGTCACTGTAAGTTAATAGTCGCTCGCACTGTGAATTGGTGCGTCGCGACTTCCCCCCGATCAAGGGAGACGCGGCCGACGAAGGCGATTATCTAAACCCGAAACCGCAGTGAAGCGGCGCGTCGAGAATCCCCACGAACCTGTCTTACGACCACACTCGCTCCCAGACTTACTGAGAGAGAGCGAGTGAGCACGGAAGAATCATCCACCTGCTCCTCACGGCTTCCCAGACACGAATGCCCACGCGCTGACCTCTCCACCCGCCACCTCGCCCCCTCACAGCAGCGCACGCTCATCTCAACCAATTCGCCAACGCCTCTCCACCCGACATGCCAACTACTAGAACCGAAGACCTTTGCGGCATCAGCTCCAGGCAGTCCAAGTAATGGCCATGGCGAGCGCCCAGGCGATGGAGGAGGAGCTCCAGCAGAGCGTTCTGCTCTCTCAGGAGACCGACGAGATCTACGACGCGTCAAACAGCAACGCGACGACAGCATCCCAACGCAATATAAAGGTGGTCAGCTTCAGCAATGACAGCGGCGTCAACGGCGTCAACGGCGTCAAGGATATAGAAAGTGATCGTGATGCATCAGGTGAAGAGGTCGAAGAGGAGGATGCCGAGGGTGAGGATGATCTCGACCTCATGCCCCAACCAAACGATTACCCAGCTACGGCACTACAAAACGGCCATACCGAAATTGTCGAAGAGGAGGACGCAGAAGGGGAGGAGGAAGATGCAGAGGGCGAGGAAGAAGAGGTGGTGGGCGCTGTCAAGATCAAACCAGCCGATCTGGTAGATGACGAGGACGAGGACGCAGAAGAGGACGACGGCGCCGAGAGTGACGCTTCCGATGCTCAAAACGCTGCTGACGAGGACTCGGACGAAGAGGAGGAGGAGGAGGATCCCCCTTGGGAGGATGCACGCGATGCAGTTGAGGATGAAGAAGAAGGATCCGAGTTGGCCGCTACTAATATTTGCGTCTTCTGCAAGCAAGACGAGGAGCATGACCCCAGCGAGGACTTTGAAGCCTTCTTAGCATGTCAGGCTTGCGGTGAAAACGGTATGCGCCGTCCATTACCTGCGTTACGCATCCAAATCACTTTGCTAATTCACGTGTCGTAGCTCACCAACAATGCGCACGCGACGAAGATGCGTTGAATGAACGTAATGGTAAGCCCTCTGATCAGAATGCGAAACAACAAAAAATCACAAGACCGTTTCTAACGAGAAGTAGATTCTACACGGTGGAGATGCCCTGAATGCTATAACGAAGACGAGCCAGACGCAGAGAGTGCAGGGGATCGGGAGAGCCCCGCGACAGACGCTCGACTGGCCTCACAAGAATCCGAGGTGCCAATGCTGGTGAAGGCAGGCAGTGTGGAAGAGATGGTAATGGACGACGACGCATCCAGCTCACGAATGTTGCGAAAGAGGAAAACATCATCGATTGACCCTGATGATGGTGTTCTGGCCTTGAGGAAGCGGAGGCGAAATACATCGACAGATCTTCGCAACGACGATGGGGCCGACGGAAGTGACGGGGGATCGCGGTCTGCAAGATCGTTGCGGCTCAAAGTTGCAGGTTCGTCATCTGCCACAATTGAAAAGCACACGCGAACCTCGTTGATTGTCAAGCTTCGCGTACGCCCAGGTAGCCTAAAGGAAACTATGGGACGCAAGAGGCGCGGCAATGCAATGGCGGGAGGAAGAGGAGGCAGAGGCTCGAGACGGACAGGGACAGGACGGCCACCAGGACGGCCGCCTCGGAATGCGACACCTCTGTCTGCGATCACCAGCAGCAACCTCGGACCTTTGATCGAAACACCATTCACGGCCGACTCCTATTCACAACCTTTCTACTCCTTTTTTGACCGGGACACGGACGATACAAAGGGAAAGCCATACGGAGATATTCTGACCGAAGCAGAGGCTGATACGACTAAGACCTTGCCCGCCGCCGAGGATCGCAGACGGTTCGACCAGGCCAAGCGGAAGGCCGACGACGAGTGGAGGGCACGAGTGCTGGCCGTGCAGGCAGAGACCTACATTCCGGTCCGCAAGCAAAAGAAGACGGGCGACCATGCCAGCCAGATTGAGTGCATCGAGTTTGGCGGATGGGAGATTGACACCTGGTACGCTGCGCCATATCCTGCAGAGTATAGTAGGAACCGTGTCCTCTACATCTGCGAATTCTGTCTCAAATACATGAACTCGGACTACGTGGCCTGGCGCCACAAGCTCAAGTGTGCCGCCAAGCACCCACCGGGAGACGAGATTTACCGTCACGGATCCATCTCCTTCTTCGAGGTGGACGGCCGCAAGAACCCCATCTACTGCCAAAACCTGTGTCTCCTGGCCAAGCTCTTCCTGGGGTCCAAGACGCTGTACTACGACGTGGAGCCCTTCTTGTTCTACGTGCTATGTGAGTATGACGAGTGCGGCTACCATTTTGTCGGGTACTTCTCCAAGGAGAAGCGACCGAGCAGCCTGAACAATGTGTCGTGCATCCTGACGCTGCCCATCCACCAGCGCAAGGGATACGGAAATCTCCTCATCGACTTCTCTTATCTGCTCACAAAGGTCGAGGAGAAGACTGGATCACCGGAGAAGCCGCTGTCTGACCTAGGTCTAGTCTCGTACCGCAGCTACTGGCGACTGGTCCTCTGCAGGTACCTGGTCGAGACGCTAGAGAAGGGCAGCTGCAAGGTAGACGGACTCAGTATCAAGAAGATATCCGACGACACAGCCATGACGCCCGACGACGTCGTCGCCGCCCTCGAGGGGCTCCGAGCCATTGTCCGAGATCCGCAGACTAAACTCTATGCGTTCCGCGTCGATGTCGACTTCTGCCGGCAGTACGTCGCCGACTGGGAGAGCAAGGGCCACGTCAAGCTGAAACCGGAAGCCCTAGCCTGGACGCCGTATGTAATGGGGCGCGGTAGTGCAGCGAATCTCGAAATGGCACCGATAAGCACGGTGGCGTCCCGGGAGGAAGATGAGGCCAAGCTCGACGAGGGCCTGGGCGCTGGAGTCCCACCCAAGGCCATGATGAACGGTATCAGAAAGGCAGCTGTAGTTGCAGGAAACGGTATCAAGTGCGACGTTGGGACGACCGTCGCAGATGGCGAAGAAGGACCGGCAGATCAGCTCAAGGTCGAAGCAGCCTCACAGGGTACCGATGGGGGCTACGCAGCCGCGACCGGAGAAGGGGAGGAAGATGACAAGGGGAGCGCGACGCCCCGCGCCGGCGACCACAAGATGGACACCGAGGAGCCGGCGTGGGATGCTCCTTACAAGAACATCCCGTCCACGCGGTTCGAAATCTTCCCTCCGATGGGTGGTGGCCGTCGCGGAGGAGACCGGTCAAGACAGAGCGTCGGTCGACCTGGCGGCGGCGGACCCCGACGCTTCCCCAGCGCCAACACTCCCCGGCCCCGACCGCGCAGACCCTCGGGCCCCAACAGCGCTAGGCGCACGTCATCATCGGCGTCATCGCGTCCCAAGTCCAGCTCGAGACGCAAGAGCGGCGGCACGGGACGCGGGCCGGGACGCTGGCCAAAGGGAACAAAGAAGGCAGATTACGGCAATGCCATGAGCGGCCCTGGCTTCCCGCCTGGCTGGAATGAGAAACAGGGCCAGCCACCGCCGCAGCCGCCGCCGCCACCGTCGCAAGGAGCGGAGGCTGCCGCTGCCACCAGCGAGGCAGCACATGCAGACCGGGAGGAAGTGCGTGTTCTAGTATCGACGACTAGTGCTGCGGAAGAAGCAAACGGCGGTGGTAGCGGTGGCGCCGTCTCGGCACAGGACGAGGAGGATGTCGACGCCGAGGGAGAAGATGATATATAATGCGCCTTTTTTCTCTTCTTCCCCTGTCTTTTCTTATTTTCTCTTTCTGTCATTCTTAAAGCGAGCGAGGGGGGTTTTTCCTGGTCCAGGGATCTTTTGGTTTTTGTTTTTATTCGTTTCAACTGTACATATGAAAAGAAATTCCCTTTTGTACTGCAACTTTGGCGTCCGCGAGGGAATTGGGGGGGTTGGGGAGTTGGGGGAGAGGGAGCAATGATGGTGTAATTTTCGACTACTGAATTCCAAACAAGAAGCTTCCATTGACCCCCCCCCCCCCGCCCTTACATGATTTCCTCTTTATGCGCTGTCATGGCGATGATTATGATGGCCTCTCACCCCAGAAACCCTTTCCATAACTGACGAGTATCTCCTCCCCCTTCCTGACGCCCTCCACCCTCCCCTTCTTCCCGGGCCTGCCGACGACCCAGAAGCCGACGCAGAGCTGGGCCCACTTCTCGCACCAGACGGTGCCGAACTCGGCGTTGGGCCTGTCCGCCACGCCTCGGTAGTCGTTGACGAACCGGCCCTCGTTCCCCTGCCGCGCCGCGTCCACCGCCACCCCGGCCTCCTTGTCCAGCCAGAGGTCGTAGTCGCTCTGAGGGTCCGTGTCCGCCGGCCCGGACGAGTGCACCCGCCCCAGGTACGGCAGGATGAAGGCCCCGGGCTTCAGGTCCCGCGTCGCGAAGAGGCCGCGCTGCCCGCTCGCCGGGTGCGACGGCGTCTGGATCGTCTGGATGCGCACGTTGCCGCTCGGCGTCTGCGTGTACGCCGCCGGCACGGTGCTCGGCGTGCTCGGCCGGATCGACGGACCCGTCGAGGTCGAGGGTGGCTTGGTCCGTAGGGCCTGCACTTGCGAGGGTGAGAGGTGCTTCGAGTGTGATGGTGATGTGAGGTATGGCAACGTCGAGGGCCAGTTCTTTGGCACGGCCATCTCTCCGGGAAAAGAATGGTTTCTCTTCCAGTTCGCTTCCTCTTCTCTTCTCTCTCGATCCCTCTTCGCTGTTCTCCTCTCGAAATCTTCCGTGCTCCGTTTATGGGGAAAAAAAGTTTTGGTTTTTTCCTTCAAGAGTACATCACGTGTCGCAGATTCGACATCATCTTCAAGACAACTGCAACATTGCCAATCTAGCTAGCTACATTCACAAAAACAACCATCCAGCTCCTTCTTTTCTTCAATCCTTCGCCTCCTCCCCTCCCGCTTCGTCTCCCATCCTCGCATCTTGTTCTGGTCTGAATCTCTCACAGCATTCATTATACTACAGGTAATATCCATCGAAAATTAAATAGAAAGAAGAAAAAAACTGAAACGAAACGATCAAAACACAAAAACTTTCAGGGTAAGATTCTTTTAGTGAGACATGACCTCCTTGTAACGCTCCATACCAAGATCAACCGAATAGGCCAAGAGGCGGTCCTGCGTAAGTGGCAGCTTGAGTATCCTCCAACGAAACTCGACATCCTATATTTTAGCCATCGTCAGCATTCCGTCTCTCATATGAAGCCGTCTCGAGTCGAGTTAGAGATGGGGAGAGGGAAGGGAGTGAAGCTTACCTGCTTCTTCCTCGTCATCTTGACAATCTCCTTGGCCGCCTCGTCGGCCATGTCCGACAGAGCAGCGAACCGGATGATCTCGTCCTCGCCGACACTCTCATTCATGGCGTGCAGACCAGCCAGCAGCCTGTCCAGAGTGGGACGAGGCACGGCCTCGCCCCTAGCGCGGTGCTGCACCAGGCTGAGGAACAGCGTGTATACCTCGCCACCGTGGTGCCAGTCCGACACGAGCTCGCGGTGGCCGTCGAACTGGGCCATCATGGCCGCCAGGTCGGCGTAGCCGCGTTCGATGATAGCCTGGGGCGCCACCTGGCGCACCAGAACGCGGTGAGCCTCGACAAACGAACCTGCCTTGAGCAGGCACTGTACCTCGGCAGTCGCGTCCTTCCTGACGCTGCGCATGTACAGCGCCAGGGCCTCCCAGATCCACGTGGCGGGGATGCGGAACTTGTCGGTGAGCAGGGAGAAGTTGGCATCCGTCTCGGGGCCGATGAGCCCCGCGTGGCGACACAGGTGTTCCTGGATGGCCTTTTGGCGCGCCGTCGCATCGCTCAGGTGCAGCAGCACGAAGATGGCCTCCATCCACTCGCCCGAGCTGGTCAGCTGCGCCGCATACGATAGCGTGGCCGCGTCGGCCTTCTCTTGCGCCTTGTCACCGAACGACACCTTGCCTGTGGCCACGAGCGCGACGCCCAATTGCCAGCAGAGTCGCATGTCCAGCGGAGACAGCTGCGAGTTCTCCGGCCGGAGCACCGCCTCGAGATCGACATCCGCGTCAGCGTACAGCTGCAGGAGACCCCAGAGGAGATCCTGCCTATGGTGGGCCTCGTAGTCAAACCAGAGGGGCTGGATGCCTTGCTCCAGGTACCACGGCTGCGGCACGTCCTCCCTGTCCTGGATGATGTCCTGCTGGAACTTGCCGACAGCCACCTTCAGGTCGTCCTGCTGAGACACGGCGTACCAGAGCCGCAGACCGAACGCCTGCTTCCAGTCTAGGCCGAACTTCTTGGAGATGACAAACGACTCCATGCGGTCCTCGACGGGAACACCCTTCATCCCCTCACACACGCAAGTGTTTCCGCCCAGGAGCTCATAGATGGCGCGGATAGGCTCCGAGAACTCCGAGAGCATCTTGGAGTCGTGCCACGCCTTGACCTGCTCCCTCATGTCCTTCCTAACAGTGTTGCTCGTCCCGATCAGCGGCACCAGCGTCGCCAGGCGAAAATTCTTGCCCTCGAGCAGATGCTTGCAGGCTTCCGCGATGCGGTGACCAGCAAGGCAGGCGACAGCTTTCTCCTCGGGCGTGGCGGCCAGGCCAATCGAGGTCGACGACGCCGGACCCACGAGTTCGGCCCAGAATGCTGATAGCCTGGACTTGCGGGATGCGGATCCCGCCCCGTCCATGTCGTCAAAGAGGATGCCGGCCAGCTCCCAGACCCACTTCTCGTGGATGCTGGCAGGGTCGTTCATGTTCTGGTGGTGAAAGATATCTTGCACGTTGGTGGCACGAAGCTTGGCTGAGGGGACGTCATCGACAAGGACGATGTCGGTCAGGCTATCCTGGGTGCGCAGGAACCTCTTGGATGACTGTAGTGTCCGGCGTCAGTGACAAGGTACACTCGTGAATCAGCACCATGGGTAGGAGGAATCCTTACATCTGCGGAAAAGGTCGCAAGGCGAACAGCTTGGTGCTCACTATGGATGGTTGACCTCTGGAAGGAGAGGATATCCGATGTGTCGCGCAGGGATCGGCCGTTAGCCGTACCAATGGGACGAGTCACAACCAACGTTTCGTTGGGACCCCAGGTCGGGCGGCCACCATCGTGGAAAGCCTTTTCGGTCTCTTCAATAGTCAAGACCTTGTCTTGTCGTTCGTAGGGCCACTAGAACAGAACGGAACGGAAGTCTCAGCATTCAACTCGAAAAGTACTCAAAAATGGAGAGGAAGAAAAAGGAAGAGAGAAAAAAGAGATAGCTAGATGTAGGATACAAGGGGTTCGCTCCTTTTTTACGATCTCAGAGGGGAAGGAAAACAGGGAGACAGGATCAAGATACAACAAGGGTACGGACCTCGGGGAAACCTTTGGCTGGGGTGATGGCTGTCGAGGCTCGCAGCTTATGCTGCTGCTGCTGCGCAGCGACCGGCTTGGGCTTCTCGAACAATGAGTTCATCAGGTCAATGCTCGTAGCGAATCCTCGGCCCTTGTCCATGGCAAGCCGGGTACTGGTGGCTGCGAGCCTATCCTTATCGGCCGTGCTCTTTCTCCAGACTGACGACTTGCGTAGGACATCATCACCATCGCTATCATCGAATTCGCTGAACTGACCGGTGCGGCGCGTGGGCGACCCTTCATTAATCTCCCGAAGGAGCTGACGGTCTCTTTTAGCAGGGCTAACCGTCTTGCGCAGCATCTCCGTCCAGTCGTCGCCGTCGGCGACCTCGAGCTGGACAGGGTCATTGGAGCCCTTGAGGGCCCTCATGCGCGCTCGGAGGATGCCACCAGGAGTGCCCATCGGCTGGACAAACTCCTCCTCATTGGCATCCTGGGACGAGGCATCGTCGGGCTCCGCGGCGTGATGCTGTCCGAGCGAAGACCTCGTCATGTCTTCATCGTCGGACACGTCATATTCGTCACCCATGTCATCGACCTGCTCCTCCTCGAGCGACAGTCTGACATTGCTGGGTGCAGAATCCGCGGAGCTAACTCCTAAAAAAGACTGCTTGGCGGGGACATCATCGTCGAATGCGGCGACAGCTGCCTGCTCATCAAAGGCACCGGGTAGCGTCTGAGATCGACGGAACTGGAAGGTGTCGTCCCCCATGGAGGAAGACGAGCTGCCGACGGACGCGTCCAGAGCCATCATATGCGACGGCACCAGGTTAGCGTCGGCCATCTGGGGGTCCGCGACGCCCGTGTCGTCGTCAGAGTCTTCGTCAGAGTCGTCCAGGCCATACGTCGTGAAGTGCTGGACGGAGAAGACCCAGACACCCGTATCCTTCTCGTACGTCTCGAACTCGGTGTCGGGGATGCGCTTGAGACGCTCGACGTGCTTGGCGAACTTGCGGAGGTCGCTGGGCGACCTCTTGTCCCGGCTGCCGCGCGGCCAAGACTGCTCGAGAGTGATGCGGGCGGGGACGTTGAGACCCTTGCCCATGGGAGGCTTCCTGGCAGTGACTGGGTAGACGGTGGCTGAGCGGGGCTCGAGCTGAACAATGCCACCGCAGAGCTCGTCAATCTCGATGCCGCTGATGTCGACGGGCTGCTTGAAGGCAATGGAGCCGACATTGTCGCGGCCGATGACGAAGCCGTCAATCTTCTGGCGCTGCACGCGGTTCATGGCCTGGAGGTCCTCGAGGCAGGGCTGGGTCCAGTAGGCACCCGGGGCCGTGTCCAGAGAGGCGGGAGACTGGCGTCCGGGGGTGGATGCGCTCTCCTCTTCCTCGACACCCGAGAGCGAGAGGGTGAGGGCGCCTTGGCTCTTGTCGGTATCGGGAAGGTTGCCGAGTCCGTCGGAGGTGCGGTTCTGGCGAGGGGTATCATCCGGCTGCGAGACGGGAGATTCGTCGGTGGCGGGCAGGGCGCCGCGCACCTGGGGCTCCTCAGAGCTGTCGACGCTCGTATCAAAGCTCACACGCTTGGAGAGCTTGTGGGTGGTCTGAGAGGTGGGCAGCTGCTTTTCCTTCTGGGGGGTGGTGAACAGGTCGCTGCGCATGTCACGGCTAATGACAAGCTTCTTGGATCCTGTGCTACCGTACCAGCGGGGCGCCGAGTTGGCCGAGAAGGCACCGGGGGCCAGGATGCTGTCCTCGGAGTTGAAGTTGCGACGCAGGTTGTTGGTCGACATGCTCTTGCTGAGAGCACCCGTAGAGACGGACGAGCTCAGGAAGCTACGGCCTTGGGTGCCGGGAGTGCTGGCAATGCTGCTGGCCGGGCTCCCGCCAGGCGTACCATACGTGCTGTAGGAGAAGCCGAAGCCCCTCTTCTGGGGAGTGGCGTACCGCGAAGCGGACGAAGGAGCGAGCTTGTACATGGGCAGGATGGATCCACGCTTAGGCCTGGAGTTGCCGTTGACAGAGGTGGCAAGAGGACCAGGGTTGGACACCTCGTTGCTGCCAACGTTGGAGAAGAGCGACGGGCTACCGTAGGCCGAGACGTCGTTGAGGTTGGCAGTCAGGCCCTGGGGGCCGTTGTTAGACTGCTGCGAGGCACCCAGGAAGGAGCTGCCCATGCCCTGGTTCTGAGGCGTCTGGTTGGTGCTGCCGCCAAACATCGGCTGACCCTGGTTCTGGTTGTTCTGGCCGCCGAAGAGGCCGGTCCCGCCGCTCTGGGAATTGCCAAAGAGGCTGGTCTTTTGCTGCTGGCCCGAGCTGGCATTGCCGAAGAGGCCGGTCCCACCCGTCTGCTGGTTCTGCTGCTGGTTGTTGTTCCCAAACAGACCGCCGCCGGTGCCAGTGCTCTGCTGGGCAGGCTGGCCAAAGAGGCTGCCACCAGCGGGGGTGGCGGGCTTGTTGCCAAAGAGGCCACCTCCAGTACCGGAAGCGCTCTGGCCAAATCCAGTACTCGACTGCTGCTGGTTGTTGGCGCCGCCAAACAGCCCTCCGCCAGTCCCGGTGTTCGGCGTGCTGTTTCCGAAAAGACCACCAGCTGGCTTCTGCTGGTTGTTATTACCGAACAGGCCACCACCGGCCGCCGGCTGCGCCGGCGTCTGGTTCTGCTGGCCGAAGCCGCCACCAAAGGCGCTCCCGGTCCCCTGCTGCTGCTGGGTGTTATTGTTTCCGAACAGGCCACCACTTGGTTGCTGCTGCTGCTGGTTGTTGTTGTTTCCGAACAGACCGCCGCCGGTGCCGGTGCCGGTGCCGGTGCCAGCAGAGCCGAAGCCGGTGCTTGCTGCACCGCCGAAGCCGGTACCTGTGGAGGGAGTGCTGCCGAACAGGCCTCCTGCGGGCTTGTTAGCCTGGTTATTGTTACCAAAGAGGCCACCGCCGGCAGTGCTACCTGCAGAGCCGAAGCCCGTGCCAGTGTTCCCGCTACCGAACGCCCCGGTGGTGCCGGATCCGAAGCCAGTGCTCTGCTGCTGCTGGGGCTGGGTGCTGCCGAACAGGCCTCCTCCCGTGGCGGCAGGCTTGGAGCCAAACAGGCCACCAGAGGTTCCTGTGTTGCTACCAAATCCCCCAGACGCCGATTGCCCAAAGCCGCCAGTGGTGCTGGCAATGTTGTTGCTGTTGCCAAAGAGGCCTCCGCCGGTATTGGCCGTGCTTGCTGTGTTGTTGTTACCGAAGAGGCCACCGCCGGTGGTCGAGGTGCTGGGGGTGGAACCGAAGCCGGTGCCGCCAAAGTTGGAACTGCCAAAGGCGCCAGCACCACCAGTGCTGCCGTTTCCGTGGCGCCTTCCCTGGGCGTAATCGACGAGTCGCAGCTCCTCAGAGGACCATTTGCGGTAGGGCTCCTGGAAGAGGATATTCTGAAACGAGTTGGACTGGGTCGAGTTGGACTCCTTCTCCACGTGAGCCTGAAAAGGGGTACTGGCGGTACCAGGGGGTTCGCCGGTGGCGCCGCTCAGGGCAGTATTGTTTGCGGCGCCGAAACCGCCGAAGCCGGTGCCTGTTGTGGTGGTGCCGGCGGTGTTGCCGCTGCCAAAGAGGGACGATCCTCCGGCCGCACCTGTGGAACCGAAGGCTGGCTTGCTCTGGGCATTTCCGAAGAGGCCGCCGCCGGTAGAGCTCGGGGCGCCGCCGCCGAAGGGTGACGATGTGTTGGTATTGCTGGCAGCGCTGCCGAATCCGCCGAAGCCTGTCGAGCCGGTGGTGGTAGTGTTGTTGGTGGCGCCAAAGAGGCCGCCTCCTGCACTGCCTGTAGTGGTAGAGCCGAATGCTGGCTTGCCTCCGAAGCCGCTACCTGTGTTGGAACCAAATCCGCCGCCTGTGAGGAGTTAGCACACTCTTGTTCGAGATCGAAGACGTGTAGATGAGTGGCGAGAGCGAGGATGGAGTTCGGGGGGGGGGGGGGATGCTGGGAACCGCGTACTCGTCGATGAGCCGAAGCCACCTGCAGCGTTGGCACCTCCCGTGTTGGAGCCAAAAAGGCCTCCACCACCAGAGCTGGGGTTAGTCTGGCCGAATCCACCAGTCGTTCCAGAGCCGAAGCCTTTTTCCATGCAATGTCAGCATCGGGGGTTGATGATGCGTGGTGTCTGGTTGGGTTCCAGATCTCCTGCTTGCTTACCGGATGTCGCGTTGTTGTTGTTGTTGTTGTTGGCCTGGCCGAAGCCACCGAATCCGGAGGACTGGTTGTTATTGGCCTGGCCGAAGCCGCCAAAGCCTCCGCTGCCGAACGACATGGCGACGTCGAATCGACGCGCAGAGGTCGCTGCTCAGATGGGTATGATGGGAGAGATGTCGTCGGTCACGAGGATTCGAGGCGCCAGGCGCGTATCAAAACGTAGAGACGAGGGAGGGCGTGGACGGTATAGGGATCGAGATGAAAGAGCTCGATGAATCGCACGCCAGACTCTGGATCTGCCGTCAGGACGGGGGAGACGCAGGAGCTGTCGGTTGCTATCGCGACCTTGGTCCCCGAACCGCCAAAGATGCCCTTGGGGGAGATTGGTGAAAAGAGCTCAGGCACTGTGTTCGGGCGCAGGGAAATCGACGACGACGCAAAACGTGACAATCGACAAGGGAAAAGAAAGGAAGAGAGGAGAAACAAATGAGAGAATGCAGGAAGCGGAGAGGTTGGTTGGTATAAGGGACGGTACGACGCGCCCTTACTCACACCCTCGTTAGCTGGACCTGACCTGTGGTGACGATGGGTGAGGTAAGCTTTTTTTTTTTCTTTTCGGCCCAGAAGTGAACAACTGAGAAGAAGGAAAGGGCCAGGCAGAGAACAGGTAGAGACCACAACTAAGGAGAGCCACTGGCCAATCAGAAACGGGGGAAGCTGTTGTCTGGGTGGTGACGCTGACTGACTCAGGGTGTTTACCCAATCAAAGACCGTCACATGACCTATACTGATGAGTCAAGTCATTCTTTCCCGATAATCGCATACGATCGATACCTTCATCGCATGTACCTCGCTGCTTCTGGGTCTTCTCTCATCGCGGGCCAGAAGCGCGTCCTTTCGCGTCGTCGCAGCGCATCGTCAAATCGCATCCTTGAGATAATACATGTAGAAGCATATACCCAGCCACTTTCTCTCTCCTTTCCTCTAATCCGATCAATCCGGGCTGTTTTCCGGCTCCCGTTGCTACTCCACTCTCCTCAACTCTCTTCATCCGCTTCCGATTGCCATATTACTCTCACACAGGAGCTTCATTTTACTTTCTTTTTGCTTGTATACACCAGTGCCAAGGGAACTCTCGTCTGCTTTTTTTTTGGCAGGCCCGTCTTGCCTCGCGCGCGCGAACGATGAACCCGCATGCGACACCCAGACCATTTCCCATCCGCTCGATACCAGGCGGAGGGGGGCCATCTCTGCAGACGCGACAACCCGTCGCACCACAAGTTTCCAACAATGAGGTCTACAATACGATACCAGAGGAAGACCGCGAACACATAGACGAAGTCGTACGTACGCAGGAGCACTGAATCGAGAATCGAGGGGAGGTTCCAAGAGAAGTGAGTGCAATTGTGCTGACGAGCAACAACCGACGACCAATAGTTCGAGTTGATGGATATGAAGAAGAAGGGCTGGCTAAACAGCTACGAATTCCGCCACTCCCTGGCCGCCCTAGGCTTCGACATGACCAAGCCTGAGTACTTCCACGAGCTCGAGACCTATGGCACCATACCCCCCGACTGGCCTGACGCACACAGCTGCCCCGTCAACAGACTGTACATGTACCTCGACCAGTTCCGCCTGTGCGCCTCCAAGCTCATCTCGCAGCGAGACCCGCGCGACGAGGCCGTCAAGGTCTTCAACATGTTCGACTACGACCAGGACGGCGTCATCTCCTTCGATGACATGCGCCACCTGGCTCAGGACATCAAGGAGGAGAGGTCCATGTCCGACGACGAGATCCAGACCATGATCGACCACCTCGACCACGATGGTAAAGGCGGTGTCAACCTCGAGGAGTTTATCCAGATGATGGAGGAGGCCGGTTAATATCAGACGCTTTATATGTACATATATACACAGACACAGCACACAACACACACATACATCTCCATGCCACATCATCCCCTTCTCTCTCCCACCCATACTCGCCGCGCTGTCGGCAACGCATACACACACTGGATAGATCGAGAGAGAGAGAGAGAAGAAAGAACCGTCTGGTCAGACCTCTGTTTTAGTCGCAAACACTGTTTAATTGGTAATCTGAATACGAGATGATGGGGGCCGGTATAATGTAGAGTTCATACAACCTGCCCGTTCTAGACGGAACCAACTTTTTTTTTTTTTGAGGGAGGGGGGGAATTGTTAAAACAGATAATAGAATATTATACAAAAGACAACTGCTACAATTCTCTCTTCTTCTATTGCGTACGCTTGAATCACTCGGTGCAAAAGGCAGATAAACAAGTAGATGGAAAACAACAAAAAAAAAAAGTGATGATGGCTATCTGGAAACACCTACAATTTTGGCAACACTCCTCATCTTCCACATGCAACAGAAAACCCGTGGGTTTCGATTTCGTTTTTTTTCTTTCTTGTTCCTTGACTCTCTTCTTCTCTTGATCCCGCGGCTTTTGACTCTCATCTTCAGACGAAGAAAAAAGAAAGAAACCCTTATCCTTGAAAACAAAGGCAGCAGAACAGAGAGAGGGAGAGAGAGAGAGAGAGAGAAAAGCAACTTCATCATGTATCAAGCAGAGTACTTATCCGTCAAAGGACAGTGGAGGTAGCGGGCAGGAAGACACGGACAGTAAGGGGGGTCGAGTAAGGAAAGGGGATCAAGAGACGGTGGGATATAATGAAAAGAATATGAGGAGTTGGCAAACAAAAGAGACAGTTTGACATTGTAAAGATAACGGTGGTTTTCTTTCGAAAATCAGTAGAAAAGAGAATAGAATAGTTCACCAGCCACCCAACGCCTCCCTCAGAAAGAAAAAGAAAAAAAGGGTTTAACATGGTTTGTGAGAGATAGCAAAGGAGGAAGCAAAGACAATCGAGGTAAGATATTGAGAACGATGTAAAAGGGGGGGGGGGTTAAAAATGAAGATAAAAAAGCCGGCAAAACAGCCTTGAGATATAGGTTTTGAGTTTTTTTGTTTAAAAAAAAAGTAGGTAATAATAACGGGGATAAAAAAAAAAGACGGCATAGAGGGAAAATTAAAACTGTATCAAGTCCTGGTTCTGCTGTTGCTGCTGTCCCTGCTGACCTCCGTATGGGTTGCTGGCACCTCCGAACTGGCCACCGTAACTGACGGTCGGCAAGCCCGTAAACTGCTGACGCATAAAGGGGTTGCTTCCCGTAGGTTCCGGGTTGAGACGGTTGACGCCCGACCCTGCGCTGTTGATGAAGGTGCCTGGGGCGGTGTGCTGAGCGGGGATGCGCAGGTTACCCGTGTTTCCGTATGTGTCCATGCCGTCGCCCGAAGCGAGGAGGGCGTTGAGCTTGGACTCGTGCTCGCTCATGGGGTTGCCGTTCACCGTGGTATTGGTGTTGGCAAACGACGGCTGCTGCTGCTTCTGGAGAGAGCTGAAAGACGCCAGGGTCTTTTGCTCCGGCACGGCGCCGAGGCCGCTGCTGGTAGGCTGCGCCGATGAGGGCCGTTTGTGCTGCGCGAACGGGTTGTTGGACCCCGTGGGCGTCGGCATGAGTGCAGACGGCTGGTTGCTCTGGCCGTTGGTCGCCCACGGGTTGTTGCTGCCCGGCTGGGGGTTCGGTCCGCCGTTGACCGGGGACGGGATCTGCAGCGATGCCTGCTGCGTCTGGAGAGGAAGCTGCTGCTGCGCGTACGGGTTGTATCCGGTCGGCTGGGGCTGGAAGGCCTGCTGCTGCTGCAGACCGTACGGGTCCATGCCCGTGGGCTGGGCGCCAAACGGTGTCTGGTAGGCACCCGGGTACCCCGTCATCTGCGGCTGCTGGAAGCCAGCGTATGCGGCGGGCATCATGCCTGTGGGCTGCGGCTGCATCTGGCCCTGGTCGACCGGGTTGGCAAACCAGTCCACCTGGTTGCCCTGCTCGTATCCTCCATTGAAGCCCGTGGGCTGGGGCTGCGTCTGGACGGGTGTGTCGTCAAACAGCGATGCGGCGTTGCTCTGCTCCAGCTCGCGTCGGCGCCTCTCGTCCTCCTCCTTGCTGAGCTTGATGGCCTTGGCCAGGTCGTCGTCGATCTCGGCGGCCGGGCCGCGGCCCTCCCTCTTCCTGCGGTCCTCCTCCTCCTGGAACTTGCTGGCCTCCAGGGCCAGGCGGTATTCGGCGTCGTCCTCGTCCGACATCTGCGGCCTCTCGCGGCGTCGGGTGGATGGCTCGGCGTAGTTGCTGGGTGCGAACTCCTCCAGGCCCGTGACGCGAGACTTCCACGACTTGCGATCGCTCCGCTCGGCACGCAGGCGCTCCTCGTCGAGGATCAGGGACGTTATCTCCTTCGCAGCGATACGCACTGACCAGCCGATTCGTTAGCAGCAATCCGAAGAGAGGCCGAGAGAGGCGGAGAGAGGGCAGCATACCATTCTGGCCAACATCGCGACCCTCCTCATCGACATACTGAAACTCGCGCAGCGTCTTGATGATGTAGACGCTCTGACGGGCCCAGGTGACGACGAGTTCAGACCCCTCGTGAAGGCAGTAGTCGAGAACCTTGAGGGCCTTGAGAACGTGGCGCCAGTTCTTGCCCTTGTCGTTCAAGCGCTTGTCAATCATGTCCATGATGTCGTAGAAATCGCTGGATCTGTAGTCGCAGCAAGGTGTCAGCTCAGTATCCCTGGAAGGATGTCCCATCATCGAAACGCACGTGTTGAAAGTCATCTGAGCGATTTCGCTCATCTGGGTGCCGGTAGGACCCCATGGGTCATTGCTCGTAGCTGTACGGGAGGGGCCATTGTCAGTCTCGCAGGTAGCTTGATGAAGGGTGGGAGAGTGACTGCGGCGCGCGAACCTTCTCTGACTTTGATCTGCGTGCTAGAGTACCCCTTGGTCACATTCCTCACGCTCCTCATTACTCGCGACATGATGGGCGATGTATATAACTTTTCAAGAGCGTCTCAGTCCGTCGAGTGCGAAGCCGAATTTCGCGGGATGAAGGCGGCGCTCCACGGATTGGCAGGGCAATGTGTATTTCCACGGCAGCTTTCACGGCAGCGAATATATATTCAGCATGCAAACCAGTCAAACACTCGTCCCAAGAGAAAAGGGGGGATCCTGCGTCCTTTTAGTCAAGGCCGTGTGACGTAGCGTGCTTGCGTGGAATTCTGGGGGCGGTCGCAGACACAGAGGAGCCGTATTCTCGCGAACAGGAGAGGGCTTCGTGATTTATCTCTCTCGACGCACGATGTATTTGAATTGAGTATCGTGAGGGCGAGCAAGCCTTGTTGCTGGGAGACGTCGGCGGGGGGGAGGAGGCGGATATTCAATGGCCTGGCGGTCGGGACCGGGGGGGGGGCTATTCTTCTTCCTCCCACAAGGCGGGAATAAAACGATGTCAGGTCGGTTGACGATACAGAGTCGTAGAGAGAAGGAGGATGTGATGGAAAGAAAATAGTAAAAAAAAGAAGAAGAATCTCGGTCGCCTGAGGGAAGAGAAGGATTTGTTCGACGGTTCTTGGATGGTTGGCGTGTGTGGGTGGAGAGAATGAAAAGCTTCTTTTCTTTCCTCCCGCTGTCTTTAGGCTTTGGGGAGATGATGGGATGGGAGAGATGAATGGATCACTGTACAGCATGACCCTCTGTGAGTAAGTGGGCACTCTAGCCGGTGCGGGTGAGTGGCTGTGTGGCTGTGCGATACACCCAAGTGTCAGTGGATGCGTACGTGTATTCTTCCTTCTGAAGTCCACCGGAGTCTTTTTCATCGCTCCCACTGCTGCAGGCAGTCAAGTGCCCATCTGCACGGACCGACCGACCATCCATAGACCATCATATTACCATTATTACTACTACCGGACGGCGGAGAGGGGGCCCTGTGGACAAGCTCTCCCTCTCCATCAATAGGGCCCGCGGCGGCCGGGAGGCAACTTGGGGCTGGGTAATTACGTATCAGAAGATGATGACATAATGGCCGAGTTCGGGTCACGCCGACTCTGCTGCGATGCACCGTCTTGCTGATTCCTGCTGACTCCTGCTGCTGCTTTTTATTAATAAACCAAGTGAACCAATATTAATCTGTAGTACCAACCACCTCCTTCACCAGCCACCCATGCATGCGTCGTATCATTTATTATTACACGTACGTATGTAATCTGTACAGATTATCATTACTCCGTACACACGCGCACACACTCACACACTCACTGTCACGCACGCATCATCTACGGTAGAGGGGAGGGGTCAGTACCGCTAGGTTCAGAGAGCCATTTTCTGCATTGATGGAATACGTGTTTGTGCCTGACATTTACGAGTCACAACTCACCGTAGCGTGCATATGTAGACTCTAGCTTTTACAAGTTATTACCAGCAAGACATACGTGCTCATGGCTACGTGTACAAGAATAGACGCATTGCCAAGCAATCACGGCTTCTTTCTCATTTATCCCACATCTACGGATTATAATCTACCAGATCATTTGTTGCCCTCCTGTCCAGTAGCTCACCCCCTACTACTACTAACTACCCAGCTCGTTGTTCCTCTAGCTGTCCATGACCCCATGCCCGAATTTCCGAACCCGGTCATGCAGATGAAGATTCCGGGAGACGCCAGCATAACCATATATTCCACCCCGGTGCGCGAATCCAGTAATACGGACAGCTTCTTCCGTTCTCCTTGCCATGCCGACCGATGACGATAAATCTCCACTGCGACGCATCCGTCTCCACACCCGGTCTTGTCAATGATGTGAGACAGCAGATATGGGTGAGACAGGAGAAAGGAAAGAAGATATGCGAGTAGCAATCTCGAGATTCGAGGATACTGAAAGTCTGAAAAGGAAAAGGAGGAAGAAAAGAAGACAGAAGAGGTGGCGTAGGGTATTGATGGCTTAAAAAAAAAAGAAGGAAAGAAAAGAGGGAAACGTCCCGTGACGCTGGCAGGGATTCCAGAGTGGTTCGATTCGCTTGAACGTGACGAAGATGCCAACCATCCTCTCGAGGAGCCAACAGCGGAACTAGCCAATCTCCCGCTGAGACGCGGCCGTCTCTCCAAGCGCTTGAATACCTTAGCGCCGACGGGAACGACACCTCCGGTAGCAGCCGACGAAGACGACGGCGGGGCGGTAATGGGGTCCACGGATGCCTCCACGTGGTTTTCCAGATCGCTCCCCTTGGCTTGTAATGGCCGACGGACCGACGAAGAGGGCAGGATTCTGGAGTTTGGAGAAACCGTCGTCCTCGTCGTCCTTGTCGCGACAGACGGAGGAGTTGGGGGGGGGGGGTATCCGCAGTGACACCGTTCCGCTCTTTTCGCCGTGATCTTCCATCTGTTGACAGCTGGACCCCTTCCGGACGAGACGGTAGGTGTATGGGATCATCGGAGACCATGAGATGGCCAAGTATGGCCATGTGCACCTCTGGGGGCAGATTGTAGGAGGAGCGTCTACCGGAATTTGGCAGAAGCAGTCGCCGGGACACGAGCTGATCGAACTCGCTTTCTACGATATCGTCCAAGTAAATGCCACGAGTACCCGGATATTTGAGCTTCAGACATGGATGGAGAGTGCAGTTGTCGATGGCCATGTTGAACTGGTTCATTATGCGACTATAGAAAATCCTCCACGGCAAGGCTTGCGGCTCACCGATGATTACAGAGAATGTGCCATTACATGTCCGAGGATGTGGTTACCTGGACACGGAGTGGAGTTCCTCGGGAGGCTGCAGGAAACACAACCGAAGCGATGCCGAAAGGCATGGAAGATCTTATAGAGGGCAGCTGTGCATGAATTGGGAGTTGAGCGTGGGTGGTACGGAAGTGCAGGCCGGGAGTGCGGGCAGCTGTTTGGTGAGGTTGCCGAGTCCTGGGTAGCCACCCCCCACCCCAGATCAGTCTCTCAACTATTTGGATAGCCGAGAGTGGAAGAAGTAGCAGAGAGGCCTCGGGGGGTTTTCCCTGAGATGATGGAGGGAATATGACTTTTCTGTTGGCTACCAAACGCCTCGCAAACTGTCTGTCTATTCAAGATTGTATTGCGAAGAAGAAGAAGAAGAAGAAGAAGAAGAAGAAGAAGAAGATTGCATCGTGTTTCTCGCCCAGCCCGACTCTTACATATGACCCCGAAATTCCAGTATCTGAGCACACGGCCCCCTCATGACTTGTAGTGCATCGAACGGAAAAAGTCCATGACGTTGGTGAAGACGACGAGGAGGATGCCGCCGCCGGGACCGAGACGGAGGACCTGTTGAACCGAGTTAGTTTCATCCCCTTTTTTTGCTTCTTCTTTCCGGACAGGGCTCTGACCTTGGGGAGGAAGCCCTTGTACAGGGCGCTGAAGCCCTCCTCACGGGCGACGGTGAAGATGGAGGGCCAGGCCCAGTTGTACTTGGGGATCTGGCCGGGGACCTTGGGGGTGTTCTGGATGCGGCTCTTGACGACGTCCATGGGGGTGTTGAGGACCGTACCGACGGTTCCACCGATGGCACCCGAGAGCAGGTCGTTGATGGTCTGGGACCTCTTGTTCTCGGCCTTAGGCAGGAGCTGCCTGACCTGGAAGATGCAGCCAAAGTAACCGGAGTTCCAGAGGATGTGGCGCCACATGGTGCTCTCGAGGCCTTGGTACAGGCTGAGGGGACCCTCGTTGCGGATGATCTGGGCGACGCAGTCGAGGGCGCCCTTGTAGCGACCGGCCGAGGCCTTGTCCTGCAGGCGGATCTTGACGAGCTCGAAGGGCACGACGACGACGGCCTCGGTGGCTCCGGCAGTGGCTCCCGTCAGGATGGACAGCGGCTGGGTCATCTGGGCCTGGTTGAAGACACGGCGGTACACCTTGCCCCACTCGTCGTTGGCGGCGAACTTGGTCGCACGCTTGGGAGCCTCCATCAGGATGGGGGCCGAGATGCCGCGGTACAGTCGCGAGAAGCCCTCGTTGCGGACAATCTTCTGGAAGCAGTCCACCATGCCATTGTACGACTCGGCACCGGTGCCCGTGCCCGTCTGCAGCTGACTATACATCACATGGTCAGTTGCCGACGATACTCCCGGGCGAGTATAAGGAAGGGGAAGGGGGTGTTTACACTCTCGTCTTGACAACATCAAGCGGGTACCTGTTAGAAGGCGCGTCAGTCGGTCTGTTCCGAAACGTGGGGGGCGAAGTTCGTTATCAAATACTCACATAACAAGAATCTATGGTCAAGCACACGAGATAAAAAGGAGTCAGCATTTCTCATCCATATGAATAGATTCAAGAGCTATTGCTGCGGTGTGCCTGTAGTTGGGGCGGTTTGTTCATACCTCCGAGACGCCCGCAATTGCGCCTAAGGGAGGGGAAATCAGGTCAGCTTCGCACGTCGATTGACGAGGAGAAATATTCCGAGAGCGGCGGGGAAGGGAGCTCTAGAATTGGTAAAGAAAGGACATACCTGCGGCGAACTGGTAGACAAAGGGGAGGGGCTGCTCGGTGGACATGTTGGGCGACCGGTAGATGGATGAGCCGTGTAGATGAATTGACGGAGGAGGAGGGGGGGAGGGGAAAGAAGAGAGAGAGGAGGAGAGACTTTTGGAAGGTTTCGAAGTCGGAGCGAGATACGGCGAGAATGTCTCATGGGATCCGTATACGGTACGACTTTTGGGTGAATTTGGTACCTGGTGGAGAGAAGGCCTAGCGACCACGGACAGCAAAGGTGGGGGGGGGGGGCTTGTTGGACGGCTCTCTCTCTCTCTCTCTCTTTTTTTTTTTTTTTTTTTTTTTTGGTTCCCTCCAACGACTGATTTTCAGGGCCTCTTTAGTGGGTTCTAGGTGGGGTGTACCTCCTACAGGGCAGAGAATATTATAGTCCGGTGGTGATTCGTTACAGGGAGTCGTCCACTAATTACGATCAGTAAAACAAATGCCAGCAGTGGACCTACCAGGCTACAGGCGACAGCTTATCTGGGGTCGAGCCTCAGGGACATCGGGCTATGTCCGTGCGAGTGCTACCGCAGGCTTTTAAATGGAGCGCTGTGGGACGCAAGAACGCTTGTCCACAATTGAGAGCCAAGCGAATTGTAATACATTCTGGCGATGCGGCTGGTTGTGGCCAGAAGCTGCCCAGGAAGCTGGGAAGTCCCCTCTGCTACAGCCTATTCATACTTGCTGCAGTGGTACGCCACCGTAGCTCGACCTAGAATTGCCGATGGCGCTAGAATCGATGCATCCCAAGGACGAATATATCACAAAGTTGCAGGAGAATTACCCGCCGGTGGTAGCCTTAGCCTCTACCTCTGCTATACAGGCTGGTAACACGGCAACCTGCCGTACGTTCCTGCCTCTTGGACTTGGGACAATGTGTACGGAGTAGGGTGTGTACGTAATCCAGCCCTCCGCATGCCCGTTCAGACATCAACATCGTCAGCTGGCAGACATGCAGGTACGAGTATCCATACGGGGACATCTCAGGTCTCCAATTCATCGGGTGTTACGGACTCGGATACACGAATGCACATCAATCTGGGGATCACACCCGTTCTGGGTCGTAAGGTGGCGCATCCGATCCCGTTGGTGAGCAGCCGACCGTGGGGCATTATCGGCAGTACTAAAAACGAGAGTCCTATACGGCAGGTGCAGACAGGTGCAAAAAAGCACTTACTAGTAACATCAGTACTGCCACCCTTAGGGCCTCTTCGGACTGATGGATTGTCTGTTATGGGCCATGAAAACCAAGAAGGCATACGTCATCGTCTTAGAAGAACAAGTCTGGATAAATCCCTAGGGCCCTTGCGTCGCGGCCATGTGCATCGGTTGTCCACACGGTGGAGGCGTCGACGACTGAGGAACCTCTGCTCGGTCCAAGTTTTATCGGTAGCTTTGCGACACGTTGCCACGGTCCACACATTATTGGCTGCCTCCAACAAAAGTCGACAACGTCACAGTCGAGCGGATATTGTGAGTCGAGAGGAATTCACGTGTTGTGTGGGATGGCAGAAGGCGAAGGAGGGGTCATCTAGAAATACAGATGCGAACAGTTGAGCGGGAGAAGACATTCCTCGGATAGCCGTAAAGACTGGATCTGCACGTGGGATGAACATTGCGAGAATATAATAGCATCATGAGAGCAGAGTTGTAATTGTTCGAAGGATAAAAGTCAGTAAAAGACTCGAGGACAGTACGAGTACATGTACATGTGTAATAATCTGTAGGGTTTGGCGTGACGCGACGCGGGCCGACTCCAGGGTTACTCGTAAGTACATGTACCTCTTCCCCTCCCCCACCACGAAAAAAGGAAGTCGATAGGAAGGGCTCACCACACACCAGAAGTCTGGTAATCGAGCGTTATCAGACGCCTCTCTGCCACTTCCAACCGAACAACGTATTAATACCGCGTCTCACCCTCTGCACCAGACAAACGCTCGTCAACTTCTACGATAGATTGATTCGGATCCCTCTGACTCTCACGCCAAACCTATCTTCCTCCCACACCGAGTAACCCGTCGTACGTCATCCCTGTTGCGACAGACCGGCTAGCCTGCCACAATACCCCCGATACGGCGATAAGTCATCTTAACTCCCCGAATCACCCGTCGTCGCCGCCCCTTATACGAGCTCAACAGCAACCACGCCCCTTGAATCTGCCCTCCTCTGCGCATCAGACCTCTGCTTTTCCAGGCGGCTTTCACGACGCTTCGAACCGCACCTTTAAACAAGCCGTGGTCCATTGAGAATCCACAGCGAGGTGCTCACTTCAAGCGTCTGGAATAAGCCCCCATCCCATCGCCACTCTGTCTATCCCACATGAGTCACTTGCTGTGGAAATACTACTGGGATCAAGATGTCGACAGGTTTCGGCATCTCCTGGCCTCCCCGACCGCTGGTCAGAGCACCCAATACCCTCCCATAGGCGGTGTTGGTGGCAGCAACAGCTACCTGGCCAGGAGTCCTGGAGCCGTCGCCCCGGGTACCTCCCCGAGGTCGACCACCAAGTCTCGCCGACCATCTGGCTTCACGTCAGCCAAGCCGGGAGGGGGAGGAGGAGCAGCTGGCACCTTGGGGAAGGCTGAGGTCAACAGCCGAGACCACGCCGGCCTGACCATACTCCTGCGCACTGCCTCGTCAACCGGACCCCACGCCCGCGACTTCGCCCAGGCCCTCATCGACCACCCAGCCATCGACCTGTACGCCCAGGATGCCGAGAGCGGCTGGAACGCCCTCCACCGAGCCCTGTATGCCGGGAATGTCTCTATTGCACGCATGCTGCTGCACAAGGAGCGCGAGAACCTTGTCAGCCACCACACTGCCGCCAGCACCAGGGTCGGCCGTCTCATCAAGACCAAGGACAACGAGGGCAACAGCCCCTTCGATCTTTACAACTCCACAATTGCCACGAGGTCTCTCGACCGGCACCAGGCGTCGGCCAAGTCGGACTCAGATGGGTCCGAGAGTGGTGATAGCACTGGGGATCTGGCTGAACAGTAAGTTTTGCTGCGGTGAGCCGGACTTGGATGGAGGAGAAAGCTGACACTCCTGTGTGAACTTCTGCAGGGCACCTGCGAATCGTCACGACTTGCTACAGGTCCCCGTGCAGGGAGATGAGCTCTACGTCTTTGGAAGCAACAAGAACCTCTCCTTGGGTGTTGGGGATGGCGACGATCGCCAGTTCCCCGAACGTATCCAGCTTAGGCGCCCGGACAGCCTGATACGCAAGCTCTATGAGGACCACTGCGCAGATAACGGCCTTGACCCCCCCGAACCGGATATGGACCTGGATAGTATGCCGACACTCGTGCGCAACGCGCCCATCGTCATCAAGGACGTCGTCATGTCCAAGCTCCACTCGGCCATCCTCACCACAGACCCCGCGTCTAACCTGTACGTCAGCGGTGTCGGCCGCGGCGGCAGGCTGGGCCTAGGCAACGAGAACACTCAGTTCCGCTACGTCCCCGTGCAGGGTCCCCTCGCCGACAAGAGGATCCAGCAGGTGGCCCTGGGCCAGAACCACACCCTGGCCATCGCTGGCAACGGCGAGCTGTGGACCTGGGGGCTCAACACCGACTCCCAGCTCGGTTACGTCCTGCCGCCGCCCACCCGACCTGATGAGGAGCCCATGTGCGTCACGCCACGACAGGTGTTTGGGTCCATGAAGAAGGATGTCGTTCTGGGAATCGCTGCGTCGTCGGTGCATTCGGTCGCGCACACAGGGTCGTCGCTGTACTGCTGGGGCCGCAACAATGGGCAGCTGGCCCTGATGGACTCGGACTCGAGATCGCTCGACGTGCAGCAGACTCCACGCAAGGTGGCCGCGTCTCTGCTGTCGGCACCCATCGAGATGGTGTCCGCGGCCGACAGGGCTACGTCGTGCCTGCTGTCCAACCACACCGTCTGGGTGTTTACCAACTACGGCTACAATCTGGTCAAGTTCCCCATCCCTGACGTCTTTGCCAACTACAGCATGGCGGCTGCCTCCTACTCGAACCGCTACGAGCCTGATCGTAAGAAGATTGGCTACATCACCTCAGGCGGCAGCACTATCGCCGCCGTCACCGCCCGCGGTGACCTCTTCACCATGCACATCAATCAACAACAAAAGGACGATGCTGGAGGCCAACAGTCCAACGCCATGTCATCGACGACCAACCCTGTCAAGATCAAGGGGGCTCTGACCCAACCGCAGTGCATCTGGGACTCGCGCAAGGACGCAGTCGTTTCGGTCAACGTCGGTGAGCACGGCTCCGTCATAATCTGCACCGAGTCGGGCGCCGCATGGAAGAGGGTCAAGCGCTCCAAGGGAAAGAACACCGGCTTCTCTGCCGATGTCAAGCAGAAGGACTTTAAGTTTGAGCGCGTCCCCTACATCACCAACTGCGTTGCCACACGTAGCTCTACTTTCGGAGCTTTCGCCGCCGTCAGGGCAGACAGCAAGGTCATGTCCCAGCAGATCAAGCTCCGGGACCGCACCATCTGGGAAGACATGGCATCCCTCCTCTGCCTCAAAGACTTTCGGGGAACGCCACCTGTGTTCGAGGGTGCCAAGGTTGGGGATGAGGAAAGGGACAGCAAGCAGAGGGATTCGTGGGAAACTGCCGTCTCCCGGGAACGCCAGGGATCTGTTGCATACGAGGTGCTCCGGTCTGCCGACGTCGAAGCCGACTTGCTCCAGTTGCTGCGGGCGATCTCCTTCCGCTACCGGGACGCTGACGTGCACCTGCGGACCTCGTCTGCCCCCGATCTCAGGATACCCGTGCACAGCTTCCTGCTGGCGGGGCGCAGCTCTGCCCTGCGCAGCGCTTTCGTCGAGTTTCGGGAGCACGGTGCCCTCGCCGACCCAGAGCACATGGCTATCGAGCCGGGCGGCGACAACGGCAAGACGACAGTCACTCTTGCCAATGCCGATATCCTCACCGTACTCAACATCGTCGTCTTCGTGTATCAGGATTACATGATCCCTGTGTGGAAGTACACGCGCGAAGCGCTGCCAGGAAAGGCACATCGGTTCCGCCAGGTACGAATAGAGCTGATGCGATGGGCCACTCGGCTGGGCCTTCCGAAGCTGGAGGCGGCTGCCAGGCTGCAAATCGGCCAAGTAGAGCGGTCTATGGACAAGGACCTCCAGCAGGCCAGCAAAGACCCAGCCTACCTGGACGGTGGGGACGTGGTTATCGAGCTGGACGGCAACGAGGTCACGGCGCACTGCCAGCTTCTCTGCCAGAGGTGCCCCTTCTTCCAAGGTATATTCCAGGGTCGCTCGGACGGGCAGTGGCTCGCCGAGCGGCGCAGCGGGCTAGACCGCGGCGAGCGTGTCCGCGTTGATCTGGGCCACATCAGGCCCGAAACCTTTGACTACGTCATCTTGTTCCTGTACGGAGACGTCGGGCCCGAGGTATTCGATGATGTGGTGTCCTCGGACGGACTCGACGACTTCGCCGAGCTTGTCCTCGACGTCATGTTTGCGGCCAACGAGCTGATGCTCGACCGGCTGTCGCAGATCTGTCAGCTGGTTATCGGCCGCTTCGTCACGACGCGTAATATTTCCAACATGCTCAACGAGATCAGTGCCTGCCACGTTACCGACTTCAAGGACACGGGGCTCGAGTACATCTGCCTGCAGCTCGAGACCATGCTCGAGAACCACTGCCTCGAGGACCTTGACGAGGACCTCCTGCACGAGCTCGACGGCGTGGTGCGCGACAACCAGCTCGCCCGGCTCCCCATCGCGCGCAGCGGCAGGGCGGACCTTATCCTGCGCCAAAAGTACCCCGATCTGCCCGCCGATGTCGACGAGGAGCACCGCGTTAGGGTCAGGGAGCTTGCGTACAAGGCGTCCCAGAGGGAGGATGACAGGAAGCTCTCGTCGTCCTACAGAGCTCGCGTGGGGAGCCTGGATGATTGGATGGCCGCGTCGCCCACAGCCGACAAGTCCCGTCGCAAGTCCAAGGCCGGCTACAACGGCAACAATGGATCATTCAGCCCTATGTTACGACCGAAGAACTCAACGGCAGATTTAGTCTTCGCCATGGACGACGACCCTTCGCCGCTCGCCGGTAGCGCCCCGGCTTCTCCGGAGCTCTCGGCTGCGGTGGACAGCCTGAACCTCGACTGGGAGACAACCACACCTCTACCCAAATCGTGGCTGCAGCAGGCCAGCAAGTCTGATGGCCGTGCACCGCGGTCACCGGACAGCCTGGGCGGAGAAGGGTCGCCCCTTGCCAACAACGCCAATGACGACAACAGAACCGACAAGCCGCAAGGATGGCTCGGCGGCAGCGGCAACCCGTGGGCCTCGGCTGCACCCCTGCAGATGTCCAAGCTCGATCTGAGGAACATCATGTCAGAGACGAGCTCCAAGTCTAATCTCAGCGCTAGACTGGCGGGAGCGGCAAAGAACGCGGCTGCCGCGTCATCGTCATCCAGCGTCGGCGGCGCTGGCAAGCAGGCCTCTCTGCTATCTCAGGCGAGGATGTCACAGAAGGAGAGGAAGAGGCAGAGGCAGCTGCAGGCCGAGGCCGAGGCAGCCGAGCAGGAGAAGAAGACGCAGGCCGTCCCCTGGGAAAAGGTACCCGGCGAAGGAAGGCGGGGTAACTCGGGTGCCTGGGCCGCCTCGTCGTCGGCCTCGGCAGCACCCAAGGTATCCCTCCAGCAGGCCATGGCGTCTGACTCGGCAGCCGCAGCGGCGGCGGCAGCCCAGAAGAGCAAGAAGCCCCTCGTTGCTCCGGTGTCCCCCTCTTCCAGGGTCCGCGCAGCCTCCCCGGATACCAGGTTCCCGGGCCAGGGCCGTGTCAACAGCGGCGGCAGCAGCAGCCCGGCTTCTGGCCCCACCACCAAGTCCGCCGCCGCCGCCACCGCCGCCGCCGCCACCCCCATCACGCCTCACTCCAAGTCGTACATTACGCGCACTGACAGGATGAATGAGATGGACACGATCGGGGCCAGCATGGCCGACATCATCGGGCATCAGAAGCGAGAACAGCAGCTCGCGCGCGAGGCCGTGGCCAAGCGTTCCCTGCAAGAGATTCAGCAGGAGCAGGAGTTTCAGCAGTGGTGGGATCAGGAGAGCAGGAGAGCTCAGGAGGAAGAGGAGGCTCGACGAAACAACAATAACAACAACAACAACAACAACAATCACCATAATACTCATAATGCGAAGACTTGGAAGAGGCCCAGGAAGCTTCAGCAGCAGCGGAAGCCTCAGCAGCAGAAGGATGGGAGTGCCGACGGCAGCAGCAGCAGCAAGCCGTCGCAGAGGGGGAGACGAGGTGGCGGCGGCGGCGGTGGCGAACGGGCCGATGATGATTCTGCACCGTCAACACCTAGGGGGAGGGGGAGGGGGTCATATAGAGGCAAGGGAACAAGGGGCGAAGGTCAGAGCAGCAAGGCTTGAAGGGTGGTGACGGTTGTTTCTGGCTTCTGACATGTATATACACTGTACTAGATACCTGACGTTTCAGGGGGGGGGGGTTTCTTCCATCTCGAAATGAGAACTGGAATCGTGTTACTGTTCAATGACAGAATCTTTGTATGGAATGGTGAGATTGTCGTTGTCAGGACCCTACATGTACGTATCACTACCCAGGTACCTGCGAGTCAGGAAAGGGGGAGACAGAGAGGCGCCGGTCATCAAGGTGTGATGGAACACGGGATGCACGTCAGCTTGGTTTGGATGGCGAGATGGAGTATCTATACATGGCGTGTGACTTCCCTTCCTTCTTTTCACGAGTCGTACCAATAGTAGGTAGTGAAGGCAGTGAGGATTCGACCGTATCGGGTGAAGAAATAGAGAGAGAGAGAGAGAAGAGAAACAGGGAATCCTCACTCCGTCTATCGATCCGATCTGGTGTAGAGGGGGTGAGCAGGGAGAAGGTGGAAGGTGGAAAAAAAAAAAGGCAGCAATATCGGCTATGACGAAGCAGCCATTATCATCGACATTGTGGGGTACAGACGGTGGTTACAACCACAGCACGGCGCATACCAATACGGTGTGTAGGATGGAGGCAGCCATGAGGGTAGTACGACGGAACAGGGGGGCGGAGGGGACAGGGGCTGGTTACTAACTTACCAACGTCACCTAGTGGTCAGAACAAGATATCGTACGGAGTAGACGTACGCGTAAGGAGCTATACAGATATCGTAATATTGTAATAAGCCGTACATCACTAACAGATCACCATCATAAGAACGGTACCATGTACGGAGTAGCAGGGAGGGAACATCATACCACACGGCGCACTGCAAGCGCACACTCGTACGGTACAGAGCACTCCGTACGGTACGGTATGGTCCAAGGAGGATGATATGGATCCCGAAGATGGAGATGCAGGGGGATGGAGCCAGCCAACGGGGCCCAAGGACAGAGATACAGCGGGGGAAGCCACTGGAAAGGAAGAGGTCGAGGGTCTGAGGGGCCACTACGAAGTACGGTGACCCCCTCTTATCTCTCGTCCCCCCCCCCCACTTTGGTGATCGCCGGGCAGGCTGGAGGTGCTGGGGATGATGGGATGGGTCGACACCCAGGCGGGTCCAGGCGCTGTAGGTACAGATGCAGGTCTGCACTGGGTACAGATTACCGTCCCAAGGAGTATCATTACAGTATCACAATCTACAGAGCACTGCCCGTCCGTAGTGCTGCCGGTAGTATCGGTAGCGGGCCTACCCATACGAGGAACCGTAGCAATAGCCTACCTGTAGGTACGAGTACATATTACCTACAGGTCCGTGACCGCCTGACGCATCGCCGCTCCACTTGCCAAGTCATAGTCACGGTCACGGCAGTAAGCGAGCAGATGATGTTGACCTTGTGTCTTCTGTGCTGGTTGCCTGGATGGTTGATAAGAAGGGAAGGAGAGGGAAAAAGAAAGGAAGGAAAAAGAAAGTGTCAGGGAGTCACAATCACCATAGTCAATCACTCAACCTTTTCTTCTTCTTTCCCTCGCGCTTTCTGTGCGTACGTACCCTACGTAGGATCGACTTTCTCTCTCCTCTGGTAACCAGATCGAACCCCGATGACACACTCCCACCGCTGACTGTTTTGGCCGATATCGTCATCGCCGATAGAGAGCCTTTCTCCTTCTACCTCTCTCTCACTCTCACTCTCTCACTCTCTCTCTCTCTCGCTCACTCACGTGCTCGCTCGCTTCCTGGTACAGAATCTAAAGTCTTCCCTCGCTATCACCGGCTTCGATCATACTGCAAGTCAAGCCCGGATTCATCTTGTCTTATAGCAGGACACACGGTATTACGTGTTTGTGCGTGCGTGTGTGTGGGCGGCGTATACGTGGACGTGCGTTACCTGTCTGCTATTATTCAGACAGAGAGGGCACGCACACACTGTCTTGTCTGCCTGCACCTTGCCGATTCGAGCCACCGACTCTCAAAGCAGCAGCCAGCAGCAGCAGCAGCAAACCCAACGGCAGAAGCAGCCTCCAGGTCCGCCTCCTCCTCCTACCTGTACTCCTCCTCCACGCCGACGAATCGTCGAGAGTCCTGCCCGTCTGTCCCTGCGGCCTGCATCACGCTTTCATCGACCTTGCGTCCATTGGTGCCTCATTCAAAGGGTCACATCACCACACAGACCGCATCCCCCCCCCCCCCCCCAATTCCACGCCTCCTCCCCTCCCCCCCTCCTTCTCGCTCTCTTTTTTTTTTTTTCTTCTCTCCCCGGCCGCCGTTTCTCTCTCTCTCTCTCTCCCTCCCATCATCATCGTCATCGTCAGACCCGCCAACCACCGCTTCGGCCTGCATTCCCACACATCCGCACCACCAGATAAAGACCACAACGATGGAAGAGCATATTCGGTAGTCGCACCGACACCACCACCGCCGATCCCTCCCCTCCCCCTCCCAGAGGCCTTGATCGATTGCTCTTTTCCTTCGAGTGTCGGCATTCGACATTCGACATTCGACATCGACATCGACATCGACATCGACGCCGACACTGACCCTTCTCCCCACCTCTCGCTCTCTATTACATCATCGTCAGATCCGTCCGCCGTTTCCCGACCATATGCATCAACAGCCACGCGGGCCACCTCGGGTCTCATCCCCAGCCCGCACGACTCGCCCCAGCCATGATCAAGCGAGGTCTCGCGCCGGATCCAACGTCTCGTCGGCTAGAGGTTCTGTCGGCTCGCCCGCCACCGGTAGCCAGCATGGCCAACCCCCGGTCGAGTCCGTGAAGAAGCTCGACCAGATCGTTCAGGTATGCGTGCCGGAAACTCTCACGTGAGAGACCACCTACCCAATGCTGACCCTTGTCTCCTCCAGAACTTCTTCAACAAGGCTGCCGTCTTGATCATCGATTCACGAATGCGGACCAAGCCTACACGCTCCACAAACGGCTCCAAGAAGCCCAATAAATGGGTATGAATGGCTTCGGCAACAGAACTTGTCCCCCCCCCCCCCYCCCCCCCGGGGCATCGGACGCCGAGACTAACACTTCCTTCCCTCTCCGCCAGTTTCAACTCGACACACTGGAACTCGACGATTTCCGCGATGAGCTGAGGACATGGAGGACGAGCGGCAGCATAGAGAACCAGCCTCCGCCGCTGATAATCGAGGTCTACCTAGACACCTCACGGCTCAAGGACAGCCAGAGCCTGACGATTGTCGACGACGACGGCAAGCGCTGGGACGTCATGGAGCAGCTGGGCTCTCTGGGCTCCTACACCGACGTCGGCTCTTCTTCTACCTCGCAAAAGAACACCGAGGTCATCATCGAGCGATGGCGCGTCGACCTCCAGCCCAAGCGCGACCCGCCCTCCGACGACTTCGGTCCCATCCTCCCTACCATCTACAAAAAGGCAATCGTCTTCTTCCGCTCCTTCTTCACAACCACCCGCGTTCTGCCCGCCTGGAAGTTTGCCAGCCAGGATGCCGCTAGGAATCCTCATCCGGCCCTGACCCCTCGCTGCCGGATACGCACCTCGCTCCCCCCGCTCCACGGCCCTGACCCGCTCAGGCAATCCATCGACGGACGAGACGCCGTCACAGACTACGTCTTTGGTGATCTCGACATACCCGTCGGCCGACTCAGCACGTCGGTCACTTATAGGAACGACTGCTCCTTCCACATCGACGACTCCGAGTCCCTCCTCAGCTCCCGTTTCATGGGTGTCGACGAGGACTTCTTCAAGCCTTCGCTACCCCAACGCGCCCGCACCGACCAGCAGACCCGAGGAGGGCAGGTGGCCGAGGTCGTTTCCCTCAGGGAAAACCGTCCTCCTCAGGCAAACGTGGCCGAGGCGCACCAGACATATGGGAGCCTGTCGACGTTTCACGGCAACGTCCCCATGGGTACCAGTCCCATGACAGCCCTGAGATCCGTCAGGCCCCCAGGTTCGGACACGAGCTCGCCCCCGACGCCCATTACGAATCACGGCGACTCGGTGCCGTCCGGTCCTCTCCCCCCGGCGCGAGCTTACTCGTCGCGACCCGGCACCGGAGTCGGCGACGGACTCCTGTCCAGGCGACCCTCGATCTCGTTCCAGCCCTTCAAAGCCGGATCGTTGTCGGGCTCGCCCGTCCCGCGGCAGCCGGAGCCCGAGTCCCCGGCGTCTCCGCACTCGTCGTCTTACAGGGCGAGCGGTCCACCATCCCTGCAGCAGCCCCGCGCCCGGACCTCGCTGACGGCTGGGATGCCGGCATCCCTGCGCGGCGGACCCCCCGCTCAGCCGGCGGATGCCCCGAGCTCGCCCCGCCCCAGCACCGCCGCCACCAGCCGCTACAGCAGCAGCTTCACGCACAGGAGGGGCCGCCTCTCCATCGGGGGCGCGATCAGGGCTGGCGACGACGAACAGGGCGGCAGCAGCGGGAGGCAGAGCCTCTCGTCGTCGGTGGCGCAACCCGGCTCCGGTCTCCTGGCCGAGCCGGGCACGAGCTCGGGCTCCTTCCAGGCAGAGGAAGATAACATCTCGGAATTCCTCAAGGCCCTCGACAGCAAGAAGACGCTCAAGAGCTTCGACAGGTCGGAGCGCGGCGAGTCGGCCACCAACAAGACGGTGGCTCAGCTGTCCAAGTTTCACATGATGAAGGACTCGAACAATGCCCTGACCGAGTCCATGACGTCGTCGGTGCAGATGCACCGGTCGTCGAGCACATCGAGCCGCCAGCTGACGAGCGTCCCCGGCATGGTGGCGCCGGCCTCGGTATCGGCATCTTCGTCGCCCAGTAAGCCGCACTCGCCCCACACGCCCCACACGCCCGCCATCCCGTCGAGGCTGAGCGAGCATTCGACCGCGGACCAGCCGACCGGCCACACGAGGACGTCGTCGCGACGCTTCCGGCCGCCGGCGGAGTCGACGGTGCCCGAGCTGAGCCCGGAGAACACGGTGACGCAGGACGGCACCACGGCCATCGACATACCCCTATCGCCCAGGCTGGCCGGCGCGTATCAGCGGCGGTCGAACTCGGTCCAGCAGGGCCGGACAACCCTCGAAGATGACTACCTCCCCTTCGCGCCCGACCGCAGCGCCAGCCTGGGCACAGACGACAGGGAACCGCCGACCATGAGCGGCCTCCTCGGCCAGCAGCTGGCCCGAAGCGGAGCGGCGGCGCAGGCTGCCGAGGAGGAGGATGATGATGATGAGGAGGAGGAGGGGAACGCGCAGGCAAGTCTCCGGCCGGCCGCCGAGATCCAGCCCACAGGAACGACGGACACGATGCAGCAGCACGGCTCGTCTGGGGGCAACCCGTCAGACGGGTTCCTGTCCGGCGTTCCATCCAGCTCACCGTTTGGACGCCGTCGCTACACCGGCATGAACACCGGAAGCGGTACCTCTGGGGCGGGAGGACGGCGACAGACGCCGCCGCAATCGGCGCGGGGAAGCTTCACGGGGTCCATCGGCCGGCTCGCGCGGGAGGATAACGATTCTCTGAGCGGAGAGCCGCTAATGTTTGACCTCTCGGAGATGGATGCCCAGGGGAGGCGAAGCCTCGAAGAAGGACGCCAGGCCGGTAACGCGGATCGAGGCGGTGGTTACGACAGTCGCGGCGGGGGAGCATCATCATCGAGGAGAGGATGGTAGAAGAAGTGGAAAGGGCGAAAAAATGCATGAGGCGATGTTGGGAGTCAAGACATTGTCATGAAAAGCGTGGCATTCCTCTATCTATCACCACCCACGGTGGTTATCGTAGCCTCTTCTCTTCTTTCTCTCTTTTCTTTTTTTTTTCTTTTCTGTTTTGCGTCAATGCCCTCTTCTTTTCCATGGGTGGCTATGGAACTTCTTCTTCATCAACATGTGTATATTGGGTCTGGGGCGAGCAACATGAGCAAAGAAATCTCCTGTCTCTTTTTTTTTTCTTCTCTTTCTTTCTTTCCCTTCTCTCTAATTTTGGTTGGCGTTTTGTTTGGCACGGAGAGAAAAGAAGATGGGGAGATATCCCCGGTATAACTACATTTGAGAGCATTACAATGTGGTCTTTTTTTCTTTTTTTTTTCTTCTGTTTTCTTGGTGTAAGGATGATTGCGGGTAAAATGAAGATGCGTATGTATCATGGATATGATGCCTGAACTCGATAGTTAATAGTAGCTGTTTCCCCCCCCTTTTTTTCTATTATTATCTCGTGCTACTGCTACTTGTATACGAGAAAAAAAGCAGGACATGAAATAATAACATGGTAAGGGATGATTGAAGAGACCGGTCAAGGATATTCTGATCAGCTTCGCATGATAAATTGCCAGCTGTAGGGTGATGAGGAGGAGGAGGAGGAGGAGATACGCAAGAGAGTGTGGCGCAACTACGTAATGTATGGCTTAGTGCGGGGCTGAGTCGCCGAGGCTGAAGCTGTGCTGCCTATTTCCAGTGCTTTCCAGTGCTGAAGTTGCCTTGCCGCCTGGGCTGTTGTAGGTGTAGGCTAGGCACTCTAGGTACAAGGTACAGACCCGAGACCGTGCAGTAAGTAGCCTGTAGCCTGTAGGGGTACAGTAGGTAAGGTAGGCTACCCCCAGCGGCCCCCCCCCCAAACTGAAAAAAGGCGGGCGCAAGTCCAGAACTGCTGATGACAAGTTGGTCCGATGACGAAGTGGAGAGCCACACATCACAGAGACAAGAGAGAGGGAGAAAGAGAAGAGAGAGGAGACAAGACCAAGTTCAGCATAGCATTTTACCGTCATTGTCATCGTGCTCCCCCCCCTCCCCCCCCTCCCTCCAAGGCCAGCGATAAGCCTCGCCAATTCATCTGATTCATTCTTCCAACTCACAACATACTCTCTCTCTCTCTCTCTCTCTCTGACATACAAGCGCAAATATCCCTGGCAAAGAAATCGTGTGGATTTCTCTCTCTTTCTATTCCTCGTCTAACCACACCCCCCCTCCCTTCTCTTCCGTTTACTCTTCTACTCGGCTCGACGGACGAAAGAAAGTAGACGCTATGTTTCGTGCGGCAGCTACGGGGCCTTATGATGAGGCTGTCGGTATGTTCTACGCGGTGTGCGGAGACGGGAAAACGGGTGTGAGAAGAAGAAGGAGGAGGACGAGGAGAGGAAGAAGAACGAGCGTGCGAGGAGAGGAGAGAAGAAGAACGAACGTGCGAGGAGATAAAGCTAACGGGGACGGTGTTCACAGCCAAAGCGACAGACGAAAATCTTACATCCGAAGACTGGGCGGCCATCATCGAAGTTTGCGACAAGGTGACGAGCGACGACAATGGCCCCAAGGAGGTTGTCCAGAGCCTCATACGACGACTTGCCCACCGGAATGCCAATGTTCAGCTGTACACTTTGGAGGTGAGGTCCATCCCCAAGCATTGTCACGATGACGCCAGGTCTTGGCCCATGACGAGAGGGGAAGGAGGACGGATATGCGACATGTACTGACCGAGAGGGGAAAAAAACCACAGGTCGCCCACGCCCTCTGCCAGAACTGCGGCAAGCCTGTCCACCGCGAAGTCTCCAGCCGCGCCTTCACCGACGCCCTCCTCCGCCTCGCCAACGACCGCAACACGCACTTCCAGGTCAAGGCCAAGATCCTTGAGAAGATGCAGGACTGGAGCGACATGTTCAGCAAGGACCCGGACTTGGGAATAATGTACGACGCCTACTTCCGCCTCAAGCAGACGAACCCGACCCTGCAACCTCCCAGCGCGCCGACAAAGCAGGGGCTCACCCAGGCCGACCGGCAGAAGGAGGAGGATGAGCTGCAGATGGCCCTGCAGCTCAGCCTGCAGGAGGAGGAGAGGAACAAACCCCCGGCAGCAGCAGGAGCCGCCGCCTCCACCTCTGGCACTGCCGCGGCGGGGCCGAGTAGCGGACCCCAGAAGCAACACCCGCAGCGGCAGCAGCAGCAGCAGCAGCAGAAGCAACAGATTGCGTCTCAGCAGAGCGCGTCCCCGGCCCCTGCCCCCTCTGCGGGGACCACGGCCGCAACGGTCAGCCGAGTTCGCGCCCTGTACGACTTCGTCCCCTCCGAACCCGGGGAGCTGGAGTTCAAGAGGGGCGACGTCATCGCCGTCCTGGAGAGCGTGTACAAGGACTGGTGGAGGGGTTCGCTCAAGGGGAAGACGGGTATCTTCCCCCTCAACTACGTCGAGAAGTTGACGGACCCGACGCCCGAAGAGCTCCAGCGCGAGGCGCAGATGGAGGCCGAGGTGTTCGCCGAGATCAAGAATGTCGAGAAGCTGCTTACGCTGCTCAGCGCATCGAACACGGCACCGCGAGAGGAGGATAACGAGGAGATTTCGGTGGGTCTCTGCTTTCCATGCGCGCATTAGAGATGGGAGACCCCTCCCCCCTTTCTCCCCTCTCTCTCCGTGTGTGTGGCAGTAACTGACATGGGGCTCGCAGAAATTATATCACCAGACCTTGGCTATTCGGCCGAAACTCATCAAGCTTATCGAAAAGTATTCGCAGAGGAAGGGTGAGTGAGGTCCACGAGAAGAGCTTGTGAAAGCAAGAGGGAGATGTGAAGAGGGATTGAAGGCTAAAAACTTGGCAGACGACTTTACACAGCTCAACGAAAAGTTCATCAAGGCCCGCCGAGACTACGAAGCCCTCCTCGAGTCATCCATGTCGCACCCTTCCAACAACGCCAGCTACGCCGGGCCCTACGGCATCCGCCCGGCCGGAGCTCCCCCCCCGACTCAGGGCTACTCCCAAGGATACCCGGTTGGTCCCGGGTACGCCGGTGTCCCGCCGGCCGCGCAGGACTCCTCCCAGCAGCGATACTATACCCCTGGGCCTCAGGGTCACCAGGGAGGCGGTAAGCCAACTCCCTCCCCTCCTCCCCCCCCCCTGATCCTTATCATGCCGACTAACACGGCGCACTGCAAGACCGTCTGTACGCGGCGTCGCCGCCGCCCAACTTTGCTCCACAGGGTACCCCCGCCCCGGCACCATTCTATGTCGCCGGAGCCGAAGTCCCGTCGCACCACGCCCAGCAGCAGCAGCAGCAGCAGCAATACCCCCCCAGAGAGGAGCAACAACAACCTCCCGCCTCGTCCCCCTCCCCCCCTCTGCAGCCGCAGCAGCCGCAGCAACCGCAGCAGAAGCAGCAGCAGTACGTCCCGTACTCTCAGCCGGCGCCCAGCTCCCCCCCGCTGCAGCAGCAACAAGCCTTCTCGGGCGGTGCGGGCCGCATAGCTTCCACGGCACCCCCCCAATACGCCGGCGCTCAGGAACTCGCCACGTCGGTGTACGACTCGCCCATCGCGCCGCACCACGGCCTGCAGTCCCCCCCTACGTGGCAGGCAACGGCGCCCGTGTACTCCCAGCAGCTTCAGGACCAGCACATCCAGCCGTATGGTGGCGCCGCCGCCGCCGCCGCCGCCGCCCCCTCCGCCTCGGTCGACCAGGTCTCCTCCCCCCCACCCATGCCGACCGGACAGCCTCCGCAGCCTCCGCAGGCTCTGCAGCCTCCGCAGCCTCCACAGCCTCTGCAGCCGCCGCAGGACGGAATGGTGCCCTTGCCTCTCCGACCGGGCGGTCTCTCCCAGCAGCAGGAGCCTAGTGCGCCGTCGCCGAATGATTATTATAGGAGCGGTGTTTATTGAGGTGGACTTTTTGTTTTGTTTTGTTTTGTTTTGGGTTAAAACATGGTAATACAAGCAGCTTTTTCTTTCTTTCCTGAATTGGGTTGTTTTGCATGAGTCGTTGCAAGTAAATTGTATCAACATGACATGGTAGTAATAGCATGTAGACTATTACTATCAAGACGTATATGTAGTCGACACATACTCGACAAGTAAATCCTAGTGAAGTCAAGTAGAGTCAAGTAGAGTCAAGCAAAGCCAAGCAGAGACCAGTACATTCAAGTAAAACCAACCAACACGTAGAGATGATTGAAAAACACAATCCAAGGTTAAAAGTAGTAGACTACGAGAAACAAAAGTAAATCCCATCGTGAATCATATATCGTCATATTACCACATTCAGTTTTCCTTCCTCATGGAAAAAAGAATGAAAAAAAAAATAATCAAGAAAATCACCACCTCCGACCAAACACCTCGCTTTCCTGCCTCTGAATACCATGATTCTTCCTCACAAGACCGCTACCACTCCTAGATGTATTGCTGCTGCCGCCGCTACCACCAGGACGGGACGTCGTCTGATCTACGGCATGATGCGGGACGGGATCTGGAACGGGAACGGGATCGGGGCCGCCCACATGCGCAGCACCCGGTTTGAAGAGGTCGATGATCTCGTTGATGCCGAGCTTGAAGGCACCCTTGCGCATGCCACCCTCTATCGCCTGCTCTGCCAGCTCCCTTTTCTTGTCTTGGAGGGCCAGGATGCGCTCCTCGATCGAGTTGGACACCGTCAGCCGGTAGATTACCACGTCTACTGTCTGAGTTAGACGGTGGACTCTATCGATGGCCTGTTCTTCGACGAACTGGTTTAGGGAGTTAGTATCTGATGTCATGTGTGCGTGCGTGTATGTGTGTGTGCATAAAAGACATACCGGATTCCAAAATGGTTCTAGAATGACAACCCTCGTGGCCGCAGTGAGATTGAGACCCAGACTGCCGCACTTGAGACTGCAGAGGAGGATGCGAGTCTGAGCGTCCTTGCGCAGGCTGCGCAGGCTCTCCTCCCTCTCGTCGTTGCGCATGCTGCCGTCGTACCGGGTGAAGCCGAGTCCCTCGTCCTCCAGGAACGGCTCCACCAGGTCCAGCATCGACGTGAACTGCGAGAAGACGATGAACTTGTGCTCTGCCGCCTCGCCGCGGAGGATCCTGAGGAGCTCGCGGATCTTGGCCGACGCGTGCATCTTCGAGTTGGCGCCCACCGAGCTTCCGCTGTCACTGCTCTCATCTGCGTCGTCGCTCTCATCGTCTTCCTCCTCGTCCTCCTCGTCCTCCTCGTCCTCGTCCCCTTGCTCATCAGATGAGTCTACTACCCTTCCGGCAGACTTCTTCTTCTTGTCAGGTACCTTCTTGGGGGATGACCTGTCGTCCTCTAGCGTCTGAGACGCCATCTGCTTGGTGATGGCGGAGATCGACAGGAGCGAATCGTCGTCGTCGTCGTCGTCGTCATTGGTCTCGTCATCGACGACAAACCCGCTCAGATCACGGCTCTGCTCATCCCCTTCCTCCTCGTCAGAGTCCTCGTCCGAGTCTTCGTGCCTGAGCCACTGACCACCACCTTCGGCATCCTCATCCGACTGACCGCCAGCCTTGCCGAGGTCCGATCCATCCCTCTGGTCCTCGGGCACAATCCAGCTTCCCTCGTCATCATCCTCGTCGTCGCTGTCGACGACCACGGCATTGCGATTGCGACGACGACGAGGCTGAGCCTGAGGCTTCGCAGTTCCTGCTGGCATCTTCCTGGACTCCTTCTTCTTCTTCTTCGTCGTCGTCGTCGTCTTGGTCTTCTTCTCCTTCTTCTTCTTGTCCTTGTCTGAACCTTTCCCGTCAAAATAGGCCAGGTCATTAGAGCAGTCCGTGCACATGTCCCTGGCGAGACGGACATCTTCACCGGCCAGCTTGCTACCGCAGATGGAGCAGCTCTTGGCGACGGCGGCGAGGCCCATGCCGGAAAACATGTCGACCATGGAGTCGACATCGGCGGCGACCGTCTCTTTGTCCTGTAGCTTTGGGCCGCCACCGCCGAGACCGGTAGACATGGCATCCTTGTCCAGCTTCCCGGCAACGAGCTTGGGGTGGTCGCACGCCTGCCTCATGCGGAGCAGCAGGGTCAGGGCGCCGGCGTAGTTGACCTTGCCGCCCATCATGGCCTCGATGCTTCTGTCGGCGCGGGCCTCGAGCCTGGTGTAGAACTTGCGCTCGGCGGGCGTGAGCTCGGTGGAGACGAGGACGACTTTGCGCTGGGTGACCTTGAAGCCGCTGGTGGTCATCGACTTGGTCTTGCCACCGGCATCGGCATCGGTATCGGCATCGGCATCGGCATCGGCGGCGGCGTCACCCTTCCCCTTGTCGCCGGATGCCGTAGGTTTACCGCCGGGGATCAGGGCTCCCTCCTCCCTGAGTATGTCCTTTGTGCGGCGCTTCATGAAGCAGCGCAGGACCGAGTGGAGGCGGCGGATGGCGATGTGACCCTTTCCGTTCTTGAGCGGCAGGTCGATCTGCTGCTTCCACTCGCGCAGGTCGTCGTAGGGGCGGATGCGGAGGAACTTGATGAGCGACTGCAGCTCGTCGAGGTTGTTCTGCATCGGCGTCCCCGACAGGCACCAGCGATACTCGGATCGGAGGGCACAGCAGGCCTTCGTGGCCTTTGCGTTGCGGTTCTTGATGGTGTGGGCCTCATCCAGGACGACGCGCCACCAGTTGACGCCGAAGCAGCCGACCTTGACGTCTTCCGACGACGCCCCGAACTCGGACACCAGGATCTGGTACGTCGTCACCACCACGTCGTACCGCGCCAGGTCCTCGCCGTCCTTCGTGCGGCCGGGCCCGTGGTGCACGCACACCTTGAGCCGGTGGGCCTTGGCCACCTTGTCGTCCATCTCGGCCTCCCACTGACGGATCAGGGCCAGCGGCGCCACCACCAGGGTGGTCTTGTCCACCCCCTCGTAGTGCTTCTTCCACCGGCTGCCGCCCTTCCCGTCACCCGTGTCCCTGGCGTCCCTGGCGTCCCTGGCGGGCTTCTGGTTCGTCAAGATGAGCGAGATGGTCTGCAGCGTCTTTCCCAGTCCCATGTCATCGGCGAGGATACCGCCCTTGGGCACCTTCCCCCTCTTGACGGGGCCGAGCTCTCGTCCGCGCATCCACTCCACACCCTCGACCTGGTGCGGAAGCAGTCTGACCTCCAGTCCCCTGATGAAACCGCTCTTTGGGTCCTCGGACGCATGCTCTGTCCCGCCCCCACCTCCCTCCTTCCGTGCTTCCTCCTCCCCCCCCCCCCCCCCCTCCCCCTCCTCGTCATCGTCATCGTCGTCCATGTTCCCTTCGAGGAGATTCTTCAAGTCCTCATTCGCCTTGTTGGGATCCGTATAGAACACCTCGTCGGCACCTCCGAAGCCACCAAACCCCCCCCCACCACCGCCCCCGCCTCCGGAGCTGCCGCTGTTGGAGCTGAACACGGGCAGCGGTGGCGCCTTGCGGTTCCTGTAGGATGGTGGTGCGGGGGGCGGTCTGACCCTGTTGGCGTTCATGAGGTGGTGTTCCGGTCGTGACGACCTCTGGTTGAAGACGTTGGCCTTTTGCTTGAGGGAAGACATCATCCTCCCGTGGTTGGGTTGCTGACGTGCCGAAGAGGAGGAGGCCGTATCGTTGTCGTCGCCGTCACCGTTCTGCGATGCCAGACCCTGTCTCGCGATGGGCTTCAGGGCGGCGAGATTCCTCATAGCGCTGATGATGTCGTCTTCGTCATCGCTCGAGCGGCGTTGCAGTGCTGCGGCTGGCCGCGGGGGTGCTCGTTCGTTGACCATGACGTCTACTTCTCGGAGGGCCCTTGCGCGCTGGTCGTGGTGGCGGTGGTGGTCGGTTCGAGATGTACGTCAAGGAGACCTGTGTGCAGGTGCACCTGTACGGGAAGCGTTTCCCAAGGCTTCTTCTGCCAACGTCCGTTGTGTCTTTTGAGGAGTAGCGGCTGCAGGTGGTGGAGTCGGGCTTCTGTTTCGACGTGAGCGTGTTGTTGTGTGGCTCGAGAGCGAATGCCGCTCCAGGCTTTTTTGTTTCCTCGCTTCAGTGTCGTGGGGGATCATGGGGATGGGGATCCTCTCTTTCCTTCTGCTTTCTCTTATTTGATTCCCCCCCCCCTCCCCGAATCGAGAACGCGTGGATGAAATAGAGTTGACTTGGTTTTTTATCTATTTATTGTTTATCTATTTATTGTTTATTTGGTCTCTCTTGGTTTCTTTCTTTCTTTTATTTTTTTTAAATTTTTTTTTTGGCAATTATAATTTTATGGTCTGTACACAGAGTACTTGGGCTCTGGAGGGGTCAGGAGGGGTCCCTGAAAGCCCTATACATGTAGGCTATCACGATGGTATTGCCACAGCAACTGGGAACCTTTTTTTTTTTTTTTTTTTTCGGCAGCAGAGAACCCCCCACTGACAATGGGGGGGCGGGGGGGGGGGAGTGGTGGCACATCTCTCATTATCGATAAGCCGGGGACGTCACTGGGGCGTAGTAATACTGGCTATTACAGGTTAGTGCTGGCTATCATGTAATCTGTATAGTTTGGTGTGAAAGAGAATGATGGAATAGCATTCAGAGCCATGATATATATCAGATCCACCATCTGATACTCAATACTTCTTCTCAGCACCTACCCCCCGGGATTCAACACCCACGAGGCGAGGGTGAACAGTCTCATGATACTGACAGGGTCACCTCCGAGAAACTTTGATATGGCAAGATATGGCAGAGATGGATGAGATGGATGAGATGGATGAGATAGATATCTAGCTGTGATCATAACAACCTAGATTATATAAGAGATATGAGATGGAACTATGGGGGAGGGGAAAGGCCAAGAAAAAAAACAGGCAAGGGATTTAAATTGCCATGATGACGCCAGACCGTTTGTGCGCATTTTACCATGAAAACCGAAAAGGCAACAACAAAAAAAAAGGAGCAAAAAAAGAGGTGCTTTGAGGAAAGGAGTCTAGACCGAAGGACCAGCCTTGATGACTTCTTCCGTAGCCTCGCTCTCGTACTTGGCAAAGTTTTCGCGGAACAGCTTGCCCAGCTTGACGACCTCGTTGTTGAAGCTGTCCGCGCCGGCGGTCCAGGCCTTCTTCGGGTTGAGCAGCTCGTCGGGGACGTTGGGGCAGGTCTTGGGGACGTCTAGGTTGAAGACGTCGTAGGTCTCGAACTCGGCCTTGGCCAGCTCGCCCGAGTGGATGGCGTCGAGGATGGCGCGCGTGTACTTGAGCGGGCAGCGCTTGCCGCCCTGGGAGAAGCCGGCGCCGACCCACCCGGTGTTGAGCAGCCAGGCGTTGGCCTTGTGCTGCTCGATCTTCTCGGCCAGCATCTTGGCGTAGCGCATGGGGTGCAGGGCCAGGAACGGCTGGGCGAAGCAGCTGGAGAAGGTGGCCTGGGGCTCGTCCACGCCGTCCTCGGTGCCGGCCATCTTGGAGGTGTAGCCGGAGATGAAGTGGAACATGGTCTGGGCGCGGTTGAGCTTGGAGATGGGCGGGAGCACGCCGCGGGCGTCGCAGGTGAGCAGGATGATGTTGGACGGGTGGTTCTCGGACAGGCAGGGGATCTTGGCGTTGGGTATGTACTCGATGGGGTAGGCGCAGCGCGTGTTCTCCGTCAGCGTGGCGTTGTCGTAGTCGACCTCGCGCGTGTCCGGGTCGAAGACGACGTTCTCCAGCACGGAGCCGTAGCGGATGGCGTTGAAGATGTCGGGCTCCTTCTCGGCCGACAGGCCGATGGTCTTGGCGTAGCAGCCGCCCTCGATGTTGAAGACGCCGCGGTCGCTCCAGCAGTGCTCGTCGTCGCCGATGAGGGCGCGGTTGGGGTCGGCCGACAGCGTCGTCTTGCCCGTGCCGGACAGGCCGAAGAAGACGCTGACGTCGCCGTCCTTGCCCTCGTTGGCCGACGAGTGCAGCGTCAGGACGTTGTGCTTGACGGGCATCTCGTAGAAGAGGACGGTGAAGATGCCCTTCTTCATCTCGCCGGCGTACTCGGTGCCCAGGATGACCATCTCCTTGGCCGAGAAGTTGAGGGCCACCGACGTGGCCGACGTCATGCCCTCGGTGAAGCGGTTGGCCGGGAAGGAACCGGCGTTGTAGATGGTGTAGTCGGGCTGGAAGCCCTCGAGCTCCTCGGCCGAGGGGCGCATGAGCATGTTCCTCATGAACAGGGCATGGTAGGCACGGGCGCAGATGACGCGCACGCGGATGCGGTACTTCTCATCCCAGCCGGCGAATCCATCTACTACGTAGATGCGGTCACGCGTGTTGAGGTAGTCGACGGCACGCTCACGGTTAATCTTCCAGACCTATACGGGGAGGGGCAAAAAAAAAAAGTCATAATGTCAGTCTCTTGGCATACCACGAGTCGGGGGGGGGATAAAGTCTGTGGAGAGGCGGCTTCGCTCGTGGGTGGGTGTGGGGTGATTGCGTTGTGGGTGTGGGTGCGGGTGTGTGTGTATGTGTCAGTGAGGGGGGGATCTGCGCTTGCAGAGAGGGAGGGGTCCGGGTCTACCCCCCCCCCCAGTCTTTTGGGCCGAGGGCAAGTGTGCAGAGTGTTCGGGAGAAGTCGCGGCCAAGGTGAGTGATTGCGGGGAAGTGTGACGCCAAAATAAAAAGACGCCCGTCCAGATGACATGGATGCTTTGCAATTGCTCGCCTTTTGCTTGGCCTCTCGGTCAAGTTCCAGGCACGCGACAGCGTTATGCATCACGACCCCTGTCCGCCGAAAAAAGAAAAAAAAAAAAAGAAAAAAGGAAGAAAAAGCTCGATTGGCAAGGAGGGAAGGGAAGCGATGGCATTCACTCTCTTCTCTCTCTTCCCTCAATTCTCGCGTCTCGCAAATAGGAAGAAAGAGAGGGAAGAGAGGGAAGAGAAAGGAGTCATGAGGAGGAGGAAAAGAAGAGAAAGACAACAGCCGAGTCAGGATTGACAGTGGCAAGCACATACCTCGGGCGACATGGGCTTATTCACGGGTCCCCACCTATAGCGCGTCAGCATCCACAAAGTTTCCCCTAGTGAATGAACAAGGGACTCGAACTCGGAAGTCGAGGAGTGAGAAGAGAGGAGAGAGAGAGAGGAGCACATACCAGACATCATTCTCTGACGAAGGCTCCTTGACGATGCGCTTGTCGAGGGGAGAGCGACCGGTCTTGGTGCCGGAGTAGGCAGTCAGGGCACCGCTCGACGTGATGGCCGTACCGGTCTCGTAGACGAGGGCATCCTCGTACAGGACAGCGACGGGAGGGTTGGCGATCTTTACGCATCATGTCAGTCAGAGGGGAGAGGGGAAGGAGGGTTGAGCGAAGCTGCCAGGCGGGGGGAGCTCACGATGGCGACACGGTCGTAGTCGATGTGTGCGGTCTCATGAAGAGTTTCCTCGAGGTCGGTGTGAGGGATGTGAGGCCTGTAGGGAGGGAGAGGAGGGGGTTGAGCGTCAGCCAGTCCTCTCGACCTTTTCACCTTCCGACCACGACCACATCATCCCCTGGCAAGAGGGAAGGAGAAGAAGACGAGGAGGAAGCAACTTACTGGACACCACCAGGGTGCAGAGCAGTCTTGTTGACGGTCCGGTTGAGCACTTGATGCTGTCTGTCAGTCGAGGGAAGGAAGGGGGGGAGGGAGAGGCAGAGGCCAGGTTGAAAAGGAGTCGAGAGGCTCGGGGACAACTCACTCTTGAGATCGTTTAGAAGCTGTCAAAAATTCTAGCAGTTGGATTCTTTGACGGTTGGATCAGGATGAAGAAGAGGAAGCAGTCCTGAAGACGAGAGGGGGGGGGGGTCGTTGATGGTTCTTATAAAGTTTTCGGAATAGCCAACCCCCCCCCCCCCCCCCCCCAAGTTGCTCTGGGGACTCGTGTGTGTGCGTGCTAGAACCACGATGACTGCCAATGTACCCGTATACCCCCGTACATCTCAATTGTGTTACCTATCATCGTCAGCCTCCCCAAGGCTGCTCTTGCTCTGGCTTCGGGAAGGGAAGGGAAGGGGAAAAAGGGGGGGGGGGGGGGTGTGTGTATGCATGTTTCGGGCTCAGCAGTCTCGAAAAGTCTCCACAGATTGCGTAGCAGAAGAGGCAGCGGAAGCAGCAGCAGAACAGGCTCTCAACGGGCGCGACCTCGAAGACTTGTCGGATCTGAACAAGGCTCCTGGTTGGGTGGCGATCTGTTAACTACTAGGGGGGGGGGGGCCGAATGAGGTGCAAGTTTCCAAGGGTACAGATTGACGAGGATATGTCGGAAGAGGATGGACAGAGGACAGACAGACCGAGAACGCCACACGCACACACACATACGCATACACATACACGCACACACACACACACACACATACCTCCCCTCGCGGAGCACAGCAGAAAAGAGAAGAGCAAGACAGCTTTACCGCTATGGGAGACTTGGCACGTTCGTAAATCGGTACACTATCTTGCGTATCCGCAGAGGAAAGGATCCACTATCAATGTGGGACGGTGGCTCAAGTCTTGATAGTTCTTTTACGTATCTGATGGGTTTCGGGCAGAGTCCGTTTTGAAGAAGTCGACATGAGGAAGAGGTTCAGATGACGGCGAGGATCTCTCTATCTCTCTCCCTCTCCCTCTCCTCTCTCTCTACTCTCCCTCCCTCCCTCTCCTCTCCTCCTCTCCCTCTCTCCGTGAATAATCTCCAAGCTTCTATACCAAAATTTGCAGCTCTCTACAACAAAGGGG